GGCTGCTGTGGGAGAGTCTCTTTTCAATCTGATTGGCCAGCGTCCAGAAAGAGTGACTGCCATGGCGCTGTGACCCTGGTTTAGGCACTTTCACTGTATGAGGGATGTATTCCTCCATTCCGACGTGGATAATTTTGATTATCGAAGAACAGACAGCCGACGCATCCGCGTCAGTGAAACAGACATCTCTCTAAGGAAAAGGAAACAAGAAGTCTCTCAGCCCCTCCCAGTCGGCTTGTCCGTAATGCCAAATTTTGCGGCCTGTGCGAGTTTCTGCTGCCACAGCGGGTTCTGACCAAAACCTAACCTCCACAATACCGTAGTCTGAGCTACCCAGGGAGGACAGGGTAGCAGTGCTGTAAGGGACAGGATGCGCGGATAGAAAGAGATCCAGAATTCTACTGGCGTGTGACAAGACGCGGGGAAAAAAGTAGGGCTCGTCACCAGCTGGGTTAGCCCTTTATTAAGAGCGAACGCTTCGACTGCACGACCTGCTGCGTCGGTCTTGTTTGAGCCCAACCAAAGCTCATTATGGGCATTGAAATCACCGAGGAGAAATACCGCTGAAGCCGGGTGATCGATATTCAGGAAGTCGATCTTGACGGCGAGGAATTCAAGAAGGTCATTTGGGGGATCTTTTGGAGTTGAGGCGAAGCCTCAGAATGTCCTTCCGGTCTGATTCCATCTCTCTGCAGCAGGAAAGACTGCTGCGGACAAAGAAGATCTCTTGAAACTTGGCAAGTCATTATCCTCGTTAACTAGCTTCTGCACTTTATCCACCGTTGGTGATTCATTACGAAAGAAAAAATTGTGTACAATTCTCATTATGGCGATTCTGTCAAAGTCATCTATGGCATCGTTGTTTTTTTTTCTTGGCTGATATACTTTTTTGGGTCGACCAGTGAACGGTTAGATCTGTACTTTCGAACAATTCGGTAAACACTTGCACGACTAACGCCCGTAATACTTGCTACTTTGCGAACAATGTCCTGAACAGTTGAGTCACTCCTTCCTTGCATTTCGTGTTTATAAATGTTGAGAATCATTGTACATTGGACTGCCTGATATTCCGATAAGATTTTTCTAAAGCTACTTGGCTGAAAGAAAACAGGTAGTTAAGACGGTTAAGGGCGTCTCTTCTAGTACTGTGGTTCCGTCTGGCGTTCCGCAGGGTTCAGTTCTGGGACCTGTGCTATATTTGATTTACACTATAGACTTAGACTCATGTGTGGAATTTTGTTCTATACAAACGTATGCTGATGACACACAATTGTCATTTCACTTCAAATATGCTCAGTTAAATGAAGTGTCGTTTAAAATTAATACTGACCTAATCAATATTACGGATTTTTGTCAAAAGCACTGTCTCAGGATCAATCCTGAAAAGAGTTGAAGTATGCTTTTTTCTCCGAAACACATGTATAATAACATAAAGGACGCAGTTGTACTCATTATAAAGAACGAGCACATCCCCATGGTAGAACATTCTAAAAACCTGGGTGTTATCTTGGACTCTAACTTGAAGTTTCATAGACACATCGGTTACCTGTCTCAAAAAACGTATACCAAATTAAAACTTTTGTACTCCAACCGGTTCATTTTAAACTTTAAGACCAGGAAAAAATTAGTTGAAAGCTTGATCCTGTCATCTCTGCAACATTCTCTGATTTTATTCTGTTCTTATTTGGATTCGTCAGATCGGTATAGGTTACAAAAGATTCAAAACAGCTGCTGCAGGTTTGTGTTTGGACTTCGTAAATATAGTCATGTCTCTTCGAAGATTAAAGATTTAAATTGGATAAAGATGGAATCACAGTTTGTTTATGCTATGAAGGTGTTTGTCCATAAAGTAGTTCGCACAAAAAAGCCACCGTACATTTTAGAAAAGCTAGTACCAAGAGGTAACAGAACAGAAATCTCAGACACAACCTAAATTTTGCGATGCCAGTCCACTACACAGCCCAGAAGAAAGTTTCCAGAAAAGCTTCACATTTCATGCTGTCAAGTTATACAACTCTACAGATAAAATGTGTCGCAGTAAAACAATAGTACCTTTCAGGAGACTCGTTAAGAAACAGCTAATGGGATATTGATAGTTCAAGTGTGCATTTGTTAAAAATGTTTTTTTTCTTTTCTTTTTCTGTTACATATTACTCTGTTGGTTCATGTGTGCGTGTTGTCACACGTTATCTACTCAATTCATTTACTTACATTTCTTTTTCTTATTATTATTACTATTGTTTGTTTGTGTATCGAGTTTAACTATGTTACTCTTTCGCACACAGTTAGGTTAAGTGTACGAGGAGCCATTTGGCTAAACTTCGCCACACTGATGTATATGTATTAATAAAGACATTTATTATTATTATTATTATTATATTCAAGTTTACTTTAGCTTTTCCATGAAAGATAGAGCTTCAGCAAAGCAAACTCTGAATGAAGAGCTTCAATCGATAAACACATTATCAGAGCAGCACAACCTAAAGCTCAACTCTAAGAAGACAAAAGTAATACTTTTTGGCAATAAAAATACTATAAATATTTTAAAGGACACTATTTCGTTGAAAATTACAAGTGAAGCGCTTAGTTTCTGTGATGCTTCTCGTAATTTAGGCTTAACTGTTGATCCAAGCCTTCGTCTCTCACTCCATATTCAAACGCTAAATAAAGCATTTAGTTCCCTCAAAATCATTTATAGCAGTCGATATTTCCTAAGTAAAACACTAAAAAACTTTATATGAGACGTTGGTGCTTAGTAATTTCAACTATTGTAGCTTTATTCATGGGCCGTGGTTGACTAGTGCTGACATAACGAAAATACAGCAGGTGCAAAATAGCTACTATAGACTGACCCTTCGTTTGAGTTTCCTGAGCACTTCCAGGTAAAACTTGGCGTTGACGGTTTGTCCAGGAGGAACAAATTCATGGTGGACGATGCCTTTGATGTCAAAAACGACAATGAGCATCGTTTTCACTTTGGATTTGCTCATTCTTCCCTTTTTTGGGCGAGGAGACGCCGTCGTGTGCCACTCGGAAGATTGACTCGTCTCGGGATCATACTCAAAGATCCACGACTCGTCACCTGTGATTACGTTATTCAAAAATTGGGGGTCACTTTCACACATGTTCAAATTTTCTTGGCACACTTCCACTCGCCGCAATTTCTGGTCGTCAGTGAGCACTTTTGGGACCATCTTCGCGCACACCTTGCGCATGTTCAAATACTGTGTCACAATGTAATGAACCACAGATTTTGGTAAATTTAACATCTGGCCAATTAAATGAATACTTAGTCGACGGTCTGAGTTCAAAACTTAGCGCACACGAGTCACATTATCGGTGTTTGTCGAAGTCGATATATATATATATATATATATATATATATATATCGACTTATACAGGGTGTCCGCAAAGTTGGGGTTTTCCTTTACACGACGTGTAGATCTTGAAAACATAAGCATTTTTTCTTAGTATCATATACACCAATGTCTTAAGGGAACCGAGGTAAAGGGCTCTGCAACATCAAAAATATCTGAATACCGTCCTGTAGCCGCGACATCCCCGACTGGTACTAGGACAATAGCTCAACCCGACGACAGAACTGGGTCGGGGTCAGTGTGTCAGGTCAGTATGCAACCTTCAACCGACGGTTACGGTCACGCGTCTAGAGCTAATCGCGTAGACGAGAATCCCTCAACAAGCACTAGAGACGTGGCTAGAGAAGTGCAAGTATCAAAAACTAAAGTGTGGCAAACGCTGCGTGAAGAGGGGCTGTATCCGTTTCACGTCCAACGTGTACAAGCCCTTCAACCTGACGATTTTCCAGCAAGAGTGCGGTTTTGTGAGTGGTTGTTGCATCAACATGACAATAATCCGGACTTTTTTAAGTGCATATTGGTGACAGACGAATCTACGTTCACGCGTAATGGGGTGAATAACTTTCGCAACACTCATGTTTGGTCAGTAGAAAATCCGCACGCTGTCCGTCGGGCACATTTTCAACAAACATTTTCGGTGAATGTTTGGGCTGGCATGGTGAACGGTATGCTCATTGGACCATTTATTCTCCCAAATCGATTGGACGGGATGCATCAGCGGATTTCATTTTCTGTTGGAGCGGTATGATTTCGGGCAGAGACGTACTTAGCCCTTCTCGTCAACTGGAGAGTGAGTACTTTTTCCTTTATTTTTTTTTACTTGGTCGCCCTCGTTTCACTACACATTACCTTTGTTATTTCAAGGGTAGTTGTTTCTGAAAAGGAAAACCCCAACTTTGCGGACACCCTGTATATATATATATATGAAAGCAATATTGAAATCAACAGTGTGGCTAGATCTGTTTAACATAGAATGTGTTGTTACTTTCTTTCTATGCCCTGTATAGTTTTTAAAAGTTAAAAGCATAATCTGTACATGTATATTTTACTGCGAAAGCCTGTGTTGCTGTATGTTATTCATCATATGTATACTTTTTCTGTCTACCTTATTGATTTTGACATACAGGGTGGCACATCGGAAACGAAACAGACGCATTAACTGACAGCTCATTTTTTTTTTAAACGCTCAGACCCGTCGATTTTATTTTCGTGGCGGACACAAGTTTGGCAAAAAATCACGTTAGCACGTGCAGTCTCCTAAGCGAAGGTGACACCAACCCCAAAATCTTAAATGGAAAGGGGGGTCGAGTGATACCTTATTTTAAAGGACTTTCAATTCCCTTTATAATGATATAAAATTAATGTACTTCAGTTCAGTAGTTTTGAAGATTTATTGATTTAAAGCTAAAATAAAACTAACACATTATCATTAGTGGAGATCAGTACATTTGGCAGCAAAGTAATTTGAAAATGAAGAATGAACTAACCCGTTATGCAAGTAAATATTGAAAATGGCCACCATGACTCTCCATGCAATAATAAAGACGTTGCTCAAAATGTTGCCGCACATTTTGCAATATTTGAGGAGTAATTTGAAGGCACTCATTCACAATTCTTTGTTGCAGGTCTTCTAATGATGTTGGCTGAGTAGCATAGATTTTGCTTTTTAAATGACCCCACATAAAGAAATCCAAAGGTGATAAATCTGGCAATCTTGGGGGCCATTCAATGGCACCTCTTCTACCAATCCATCGATCTGGAAACGTCTGATCTAAATTTTGTCGAACACGTAATGCGTAATGTGGTGGGACACCATCCTGTTGGAACATCAACCTATACGCAATGTACCGCCGATCATTCTGATTGTCAATTATGGCTGTTAATGTAGGATCTATGGCGTCTTCCAGTAATTCCAAATACATTTCACCCGTCAAATTTCCAGGTAAGAAAAAAGTACCAACTAAAGGATCGCCAAAAATACCAGCCCAAACATTTAATTTTTGTGGCTACTGTGTATGAACCTCATGATAAATTCTGGGATTAGAATCGGAGCAATATCGGCAGTTATGACGATTTACTACTCCATTTAAGAAAAAGGAACATTCGTCGGAAAAGCAAGTTTTGCATACAAAATGTTCATCGTTTATAATTCGTTCGCTCATATCTTCACAAAATTGTAATCGCCAATCAAAATCGTCTTCATTAAGTTCTTGTACCAGGTGAATTTTATACGGATGAAAACTATGGGCCTTTAGAATCCGTTGGACAGTACGTCGACTAACACCACACACAGTCTCCAATTTGCGGGTACTTAACACAGGATCTACATAAGCTTGCCCTAAAACCCCCACTTCTATTGCTTCGTTCCTTATGGGATTTTCAATGTTGTGTATTTTTATTGGCGACTGACCCAGTTTCCTGAAATTTAGCTACAAGTTCTAGAACATATTTTCGATGCACGTTACTGCTCTCATGTCGCTCATTAAATATTTCTGCTCTTCTATTAGCGCACTGATTACAAGTTATTTAGCAACAAAGTTTGGTCAAATCAATCGCAAACTATTAACTAAATTTCTATTTAAAATAAGTACGAGATATTTCTTTATGTTTCCTCAAGAAATAACTTTTTTGCCACAAAAAAAAACGCTCCAATAGCTATTTTCAACAACAAAATGATAAACAAACCATGGGCGTAGTGAAGAAAAGCATTTACTTATTAAATAAATTCTTCTGAAAGTAGTACTAACTAATCTGATATACCTATTAAAGTCTACTTTAAGCTTTAAATCAATAAATCTTCAAAACTACTGAACTGAAGCTCATGTATTCTACATCATTATAAAGGGAATTGAAAGACCTTTAAAATAAGGTATCACTCGACCCCCCTTTCCATTTAAGATTTTAGGGTTGGTGTCACCCCCCAGGGGGCTGCACGTGTTAACGTGATTTTTTGCCAAACTTGTGTCCCCCTTGAAAACAAAATCGACGGGTCTGAGCGTTTTTTCAAAAAAAAACTGAGCTGCCAGTAAATGCGTCTGTTTCGTTTTCGATGCGCCACCCTGTATGTAATTACATATTATTCAATAACAAATTCAATTATTCAATTATTTGGGTGCTCCCCTCCAGTGGTTAAGTAGAGTAGCTGTCAGCTAGACTTCGCCACTGGTATTATATATATAAATATATATATATATATATATATATATATATATTTATTATACTGAATTTTCTTTGAAAATAAAAGACGGTTTATTATTATTATTATTATTTTACACAATGTTGCTACTTTGCCAAAGACGCAAAAGCTTTGTAGTTTTTGAAAATATGTTTAGTGGCGGCGTAGAAAAATACCAAGAATGTGTTGACGTTATAAAGGGTTCTTATTATTTCCAGAAAAAAAATTTAAGGGGTTGAAATTTGGGAGTTCTAGGGATTAGAGGAGTAGTAAATTCAAAATGCTATGCCCCTATTAGCCACATTTAATACATCATAGTTTTACCCATACATTTGCTTTTAAAATTTAGACTGAAAGAGAAATGTTTTCTATCCGCCTACTCCAGCAGATCTAAACAATCGCCTGTTGAACCAGTCCGGCGTATTCAGGGTGTCCGCAAAGTTGGGGTTTTCCTTTTTCAGACACAACTACGCTTGATACAACAAAGCTAATGTGTGGTGAAACGTGAGCGAACAAGTAAAAAAAAATAAATGTAAAAGTACTCGCTGTTCAGTTGAATTGAAATTCTAAGTACGGCTCTGTCGTTAAATCCGTATTTATACGTCGTATAGCTGTACGCTGGCGTTGTGGACGTGATCAAGGGATAGGACAGGACCGGCTTCGGTTTGGATCAGGTTTGTTTGAGTTTGCTTAGCCCAATATCTCGGTTCTCTTAAGACATTGGTGTGACATTTGGTAGCGGAGATGTGGAAAGTGACAACGTTGCCACATGGTCGGTAACTACCAGTAGAGCAGGGAAATAATGTCTATGGGCTAATTGTATGGGCCTGCTGCGCTGAACTTATGACGGCGTTGCGTAGGAAGTCATTTTTTTGATAGACCTCTGGCGTTTATTCTTTTATTTTTCGATATTACTTTTTTACTTTTTCGCTTTGTTATATCAAGCGTAGTTGAAAATGAAAGCTCCAACTTTCAAGATTGATAATTATGCTGACAAAGCAGTCCATTGACTCTGAGGAGGGCTATGGAAAATGTAGTCCTTGGAATGATATTCCGCGGTTTTTTCTGCTTGATCTTGAACTTATATAAAACAAGATGTAAGTGGAGGAGGAAGTACAAAATGAATCTGTAACATACAAAAACCAAAACAAAATTTGGATCTGTCTACCTTGACGGATCCATCAGAATTATGTGTCCTGTGCCGATATGGGGAATTTTGAGATATTACTAGATAATCAGCTGTCATTCTACCGTGATGGATACTTGTGAAATAGGGTATATATTGTGGTGTATGCAGAAGCGATTTAGGTACAGATGACTACGATATTCGCAGATTTTGATTTTTTAATAGTTATGTTCATGTTTTGATGAAAACAGTCAGCGTTTTGAGCTACTTAGGAGACATCATTTTTAACGTAGAATGTGAAATAAACACACTAATTACTCTAGTATATGGCAGATGCAAATGGTTTCATTGGAATCAACCCTACATAACCTCAAATGCATTAGCGGTGCGAGAGCTGATGGAATTTTAGAATACAAAGGTTGTTGTGCGTGGAAATGCCTCTATGTATGCATAATTACAAATGTTCCTCCTCGAGATGTCGTTATAGCCGAACACTCAACTCCAGCACATAAACGCCAAAAAAGTGTATAGATTGTCGTATCTCTTAATTTTCGTACGTCTGATGACTTGCTCTATACACTTTTTGTTGGGCCTCTATACATTTCCTACCGCAATGTCAGTCACAAATAGTGTTGCCAGATGAATATTTCATAAATCGGTAAAACTTGGTCCAAAAAGCGGTATATGAAGGAAATTGTTAGTCAGTCAATAAATTCATGCATTTTTTTGTTAAGCTGTAATAATTATGGCAGAACTCTACATGTAACTTGATTTATTATATGTTCTAAACAAGAACTAACAAGTAGAACTCAAAAATAGGCATTCCTGATATTGACCAAAACTAACCTAAGTTAAAAAAATAAGCATTACGAATATTTATTAGCTAATTTTAATAAATATCTTTGGTCATTAACCTCCTCAATTCATTGTTTCCCTTAAATTCAAAACAACTACTTCTTATTAGTCTCTGACTGTGTAATATTCCTCTAGTTGTACTTAAGCGGTTCCTTTGGATAGTTTTCAGCATATTTACTGCTGAAAAAACCCTTTCAACCCCAAATATTAGTATATATGTATGTTCATATGTAATATCATAGGGGCATTCAAATTTTCCATCTTGTACCTACTATGACAAAATTTGAAATATTATTTCAATAAAATATTTGTTCTCTCAGAATATTTGAAATACATAATTCATATTTTTATTACAGTAGCATATTTATTAAAAAAATCATACTTATAGGCTTAGAAACTCACCTTCAACCAAAAAAGAAGTCCAATATAAAAAAATATTAATGGAAATTCCGGAATACACGTGCCACCAATGCACATTGCACAACAATAAAAATAAATCACAAATTGTACGTCGAGGCACATAAAAATGTCAGCGAAATATTTCCCTGACTAGGAAACCTTTCCTTTAGAGGGGGTAGCAAATGATGTATTTACCTACCGAGAATAATAAAGCGGTATATTACAGAAGTAAAACTGGATAGCGGTAGATGGCTCTCTAAATGAAGCCCTTGTAACAGAGGTAGATGGCTCTCTTAACGAATCCGTGTAACACTGGTCACAGAACTAAAGATGTGTTAGTCAAAACAATATCATTTATTAGGTAAAAAAATATAAAAACCAAAAATTTCAAGATCATCTGTACCACAATTGGTTGACCAGGTGCCACAAAGTATTTTACAACAGTTTTTGAAAATACTCTCCTAGAAATAAATATTGATAAAACCCCGCAAAACCAAGCCTATCGTTATCGGCCAATCAACAACAGCGATTTGGTCAAGTGGATAGAAACAAAACTCTTTTCTTCTAAGGCCGGTATTAGACTGTAAAAGATCTTTGACAAAGAAGTTTTATAAAACAAGTTTTATGAAATATTTTACGGTGTAATATACTATCTTTTAACAAAATATTTCTTTTATAAAATATCTTTTATAAAAATTGACGACAGTGAGTAAATTTTATAAAATATTTAGCAAAGATGGCGGAAGGCAAGTTTGTCTGGTCAATTACTGCTACAAAATTATTAATTTCTGAATATGAGGCATTTGAATTGTTATACGACAGTAAAAATATTAATTATAAAAACAGAAATAAAAGATTGGATGCCTATAGATCAATAGCTGAAACTGTAAACACTGTCAGTGAGGGTTGCACTGTAGAAGATGTTAAAAAGAAATTAAATGGTTTAAGAAGTCAATATTTGGCCGAAAAAATGAAGGTAAGTCATTATAAATATCTTTATTTATTCTTTTTTGTTTACATCAAACAAATACTTATGGAAATACAACTAATTATTGTACATAATATTTTTTGCAGGTCCTGCGTAGCAAAAAAAGCGGAGCGAGAAGTGACGACCTGTACAAACCAACAGTATACTGGTTTCCTCTGCTAACATTTTTAGATAAATCTACAGATCCAGACCAATCCCAGTCTAATTTAGATGAATCGCTACTATCGCCTAATGAGTCTCAATCCACTAGTTCCACTACGAATATTATTGCACCTCCAGATGATGTAAGTTAATACAGAATAGTAAAATTAAGCATATTCTTCTTGCCATGGTACTTTTCCAGCACCATTATAAAATATTTTAAAATTTTCCCTTATTTCGCGACCATGGCGATTCCCTACAGTACGAGTTTGAGTGGTTAGAGTTTGCAATTCTTGAAGTTCTTCATCACTTAAAACGTCTAAAAATGTGTGTCCTTTCCTACTTCTAGAAATAATCTCATGGCAAGTATACAGATGTTTTCTTCGGTCAATCAACAAATTATGTATGGTACAGGCTGCAAGTACAATCTTTGTGACTTTTTCAGGGCATAAATTGATTGTAGTTAAAAATACCCTGAACCGGCTTGCCAATATTCCAAAACTACTTTCAACAATTCTTCTTCCGCGAGACAATCGGTAGTTATAAATCTTTTCTTCTCTGGTTATATTTTTTAATGGGTAAGGTTTCATAACATTGTAACTTAGTGGAAAGGCGTCGTCTGCCAAGACAACATAAGGTGTAGCAATATTAGCGCCCGGAAGATTTTTACCAGCAGGTATGTTCAAAATAGAGTTATCTGCAAGGCATTTTTTAAGTTTGCTTTTATTATACACGCCACTATCACCAATTCGACCATTTGTCCCCACATCTATGTAGATAAATTTATAGTTGGCATCCGTAAGTGCGAACAAAATAATGCTATGATAAGATTTATAATTAAAATGATGGGATCCTCCTTTATCTGGACAGGTAATGCGTACATGTTTTCCATCCATCGCCCCGATTGTATTGAACACATTCCATGTATCTTCAAAGTCCTTTGCAATATCTAACCATTCTTTCTCGGTTCTGGGTACCTATAAAATAAAAATTTTAAATATAAGGCTTAACTGTTGAATTATAATTAATTTTTTTTCCAGGATCAAGATACGAACAGTAACCTAAGTATAAGGTTAAATGAAGAAAGCTCAGTATTACCTCCAAAAATCAGAAAAATACAAAAATTTTCGCACAATTCTGTATTAACTAAGGCAGCAAATACAATGGAGGAAATGTCAAAAATAGCTAGAGAGAGATCAGTTTCTAAAGCAACACAAGATTCTTTAGAGACATTTGGTCAGTTTGTAGTGGCTGAGCTACGTGGTATTCAAGGTGCAAGCAACGAGTATACAGTACGGAAAACTAAAAGAAAAATTCAGATGGTTTTAATGGAGGTCTGGGATATGATTGATCAACCAACTCTGCTACCTAGCCCTGTTTCATCCCAATCATCTTCAAATCAATGGATATTAACAACCCAGACACCAGGTGCTTGTAATATTCTGCAAATTAATCCAGATAATCAAATGCAAGCAGATGGTAATACTTCAGAGGATGTAGTTGAAAATGCAATACATATGGCTAATATAACAAGATCTGATTATGATCCTGCATGTTTTTCTCAATTAAACTAAACTTTTTTTGTTTCACCGTGAGTTTTATAATTTCTAATAATGTTTAAAAAGTTTTGTGCAAATATGAATTGTCATTTTCATTTTTATTTCTAGTACTAACAAAATATATTTGTAATAAAAACCATATGTGTACGTTCTTTTATATATCTTTATATTTACCTTCAGAAAATCTCCCTTTAACGCTTGGTAAATAGCTTCACATGTCTCTGGGATTATGCCTGACAGTGTGCATTGTGGTATATGGCTGCTATATTGTAGACTTCTATAACTCCCCCCTGTTGCTAGAAAACGAAGTGTCACCATAAGACGTTCCTCTACGCTAATACAATTTCTCAAGTGTGTGTTTTGTTTGGAAATTAATGGTGATATCTTCGACGCTATAAATTTGAAGCTATCTTCATCCATTCTTAAATAGTTGATGTAACTTTTTAAATCTTCAAATTGTAGTTCTCGAAGCAAGGTATGATGAATTCCTTGTTGTTCACGTCGAGCAATCCAGGGCCTCACCCAAAGGCGTCGTTTCTTTTTGTTCTTTTTTAACAATAAACACACCGTCATAATTGCACTTATTGCAGCAGCACAAGCAACAAACCGATTCTCATCCATCGTACCTAATGATAAACTAAAAATATTGTAAAAGCTTTTATGTAGTATAATACGGTTATCAAAATTTGTAAACAAAATGTCTTCAAATAAATCCTACTAATATATTTTATACAATACCTTTGTCAAAGATCTTTTATAGTCTATGACCGGCCTAACCCACGGCCGCACGGGCCACGGGATTCTCTTTCTATAATTCATGAATTTCATGCCAGATATCGCAGGAGGCGGGAAACACACACAATTTTACATTTCATAGTTCTGGCATTTGTTTTAACGGCAAAGTTATAAGAATGATGGGTACGTTGTAAAAAACATTTTAACTTATAATATTAATTATATAACGGAATAGACCAGAGATTTTGCTACTCTTAGTAAAAAGCACGACAGTCTTGCGTCTTTTAATTCCCATTATATCTGAATATTTGTTATTATACACATTGAAGGTGTTAATTCCTCCATGGACGCGTCTTACGGGTGGTGCCATTTTGTTGTGTTTGTATATATATGAAGTGATGATTCTTACTGATGTACCTTGAATAAGTTCTGATAAATGTTTCTCAGACGTGTTATAGGTAGAGTGACCATATTATGTACCTTTTTTAGAACAGTACTTTCTTTTTGAAGTGTGTACTACTCTGTGCTTTAAAGTACACCTACATGCACTTTTTATAGAAAAAAAATGTGTCCCTACTTTTTGTTTGAAGAAACGAAATCGAGCACAAAGTTTTCCAAACAGAATATGTATTGAAAAAAGTAAAAATCTTATGCGAATTGAATTATGGTCACCCTAGTTATAGAGGGAGCTTTTATGAAATTATTATACATGCCCAAAAAAGAGTCTAAATCTGTTATGGATTGTGGAACCTTGTTACAGAGATGGATTCTGACGAAGAAATATGTTTCAATAACGAACCCCAGATGGGGAGAACAGTGGAAGCCTCAGGTGAGTTTGCCATTTATGGTCAAGTGCTGGATAAAATATCTGTTCTTACCATTGCATATTTGTAATTTAAATTATTAGAATCCTTATTACCAGAGTTTGTGACTGTTATATTATACAAGTAAAAGACGAAAGTTTGTCAAATTGATATAAGTATCCGTTCAAGCGAGTGTGGGTATCAGTTTGGTTATAAGTTCCGTGACTTCATGAATCAGCTGTTATATGAGTGTGTTGGATGCAAAAATCTGTATTTGGTATATAAGTACTTTTAGTGGAATTATATTTTAAATATAGAGAATCAGTTACTTAGTCGTAAGGAGCTCAATTTTTTGTTCATTGTTTGATATATACTTCAAAAAGAGTGCTTGAAGGTTGCACTTACAGAGTTTTGCAAATGATGCTAGTAAGAACAGGTATTTGCATCTGAAATATGCAAATATCTCATGGCGCCTGACTTTTTTATTCATGAAAACTCGAAAGTGTATGGGATACATTTATTATTATTTCACAAAAAAAACGTTTAGTACATAAAAAAGTATACTTCTAGTCAAACTCTGACGTCTTCCGGATCATAATCATCTATGTGGCCAGTTTCCATAACAGCGTCTTCTGTATTGTGGTTCAAACCTTTATCTATTATTTTATAGAAATCTAAATCTGGATTGTCTCTCCAATCGGCTCCATAATGCTTTTTGAGTAGGGAATCTATGGAGGATTTATACCTCTTAAAGTACTTCCGATTCTTTGGATACTTGGCTTCAGTTGAGCAACCTTTTTGCTCTTCCTCACTATTGTTTTTGCACAGCCCATGTCTGACTTGTAAAATACTTCACCTCTTAGTGTGACATAGTCCTTTTCCTTGCGAAATATAAATCTCTTTGATTCGTTACACTTAAAATGCCATTGGCTGGGTTTCTTCAAAACATTATCAGTTTTGGTCTTCCAATCAAAAACATCCCAACCCGCTCCAAGTTTTAATACCTTTGAATGTTGTCCAATTATGTCCTCATACTGCTTTCTATTTATTATGATATCTCGCTTCTTTATGACTCGTTCGACCAGTCCAAAAATCCTGTCAGATGGCAGAAATGAGTGCCCAACAACAGGAAATGTTATTTGCACTACCTTAATGTTTTTGGGGGCTTCAGTTGTTAGCCAATACATTATCATTGCCATCATTGTACTATTTTTATTTTGTCCACCGCACTCATCTGCAAAAAGGTGGACTTCTTCTATTTGGGCTCCAAAGTTAAACTTGATAAGGGTCTCGTGGACAGCAGAAGCAATGGCATTAGAATTTTTTGGATATTCGTGTTCCAGCCACACATACGATTTTACATTCATCGGGGTGAGTGAGGTGTTCAGTCATAACCTTTAGCTTCTCTGCTTCAGAAGTTTGCTTCTTCAGAGATTCCTTTGCATTGAGACATGTTGAGCAAGTGTCACTTAAAGGAGTGCCAAAGGATAAGTTATACTTTTGATTGATGTAACTGCGAAAATAGGAGATTTTAACCGAAAACTGAGGATGCTGCCTACAGTAGATACATCTCATACATCTTGGAGAAACTCAAATCACAAGGCAGATACAACCTAGACGATTGTCCCCTAACATAGTGACTTTCTACACACTTCATACTTTCTATAAAATGTTCAATAGATCGCTTTATTTCTTCAAATTTATCTCCCACTCTATTTCCTCCTCTTCTTTCTCTTGGCATTTCCCCATTGATGATGAACTTCCTCGAAATTCTCTCAATTCTTTCAGAGCTCAAATGAGTAATTTTCAAAAAAGCTTTTTTACAAACTCTCAAACTGCTGCCACCCACGGTAGGAACGAAATATTTCAAAGATATACCATGCAGATTTGTACTTGGTCTCTTTGGCTTCTGCCCTTCACAAAATTTTAAGACGAAAATATCTTGCTTCACTTTATCAGTGCTTGAATATAAATTCTTGTGGAATTGATGTATATCTTGCATTTTCAAATCTCTGCACCGATATACTTTTTTGCATGGTGACACGTAGGAAAGTCTGGTAGGCCTTTGGGTTTGTGCCTAGAAAAAAGAGTGTATTAGCCGTTAGGCCTGATATGAAAAAGAAGAAGCTTACCGTAAAACCTGCATTTTGACCCTTTTCCAATTTTCCCTCTGTACCAAACGTTTTCTTCCTTTTCCAACCTCACAGGGAGTTATATTCATTGGTAAATCCATATTATAGTCCTTCGCACTTTAACGTCCAAGTTCTATTGAGCACACAATTGCTATGTCCTAACCTAACAATTGTCTGACAGGTTCAGCGTCAGGTGATGAGAGTTCTGATTGGTCGAAAGCAAATACAAAGTTATGCATCTGGATGGGATCGTCAATTGCAGACTTTTGCTTCTGATTCAAGATTTTATATGGAATTATTTTAATAATCAGTCAGTTTTGCGTCTTGCTGATTGTACTAACATATACAGTTTTTGCAATTTCTGCAAATATAGAGTTTTGCATGTAGTACACTCATATGTCATAGTTATCACCGCAAAATTGTGGTATTAACCCAACTCAGGAGTAGTTTTATATTTCTGGTTATTATTTGAAATGTGACATGTTAGAATTTTGCCGGGTATTGGATATTGTTATTGTACTTCAGCTTCATTTTTGGGAAACTTGATACAGGCTGACTTCAGTTATACCATAAAGTGGGGATTGGAGCACGTTATTAGTTATACTCATTACTGTTGTTGGGGACACTCTAAATGTAATTCCTATGCTTAACAAAGTATCCTGTGTAGCCATATAACACAAGAATATTAAAATATGGCCATATAAACTCACTAGATGATGTCCACCTGTATGCGGTTTTGCTATAATATCTTTTTTCATCGCTTTTTCATCATTTCTGCTGAATCAATAAATGTTTTCTTGGACATATGGAAAACTTTAGAGAATTGAAAGTTATCATAGCTACAAAGCCATGGTTCAATCATTAAAAAAAAAAATCTGAAAAAAAAAAAACTTTTCTCCCATGAATATTATGAAAGGTTTCTTATTTAAACTTTCCATACACAGTTGTAGACGAAAAAGCACCTATTTTTAAGTGATAATAAAAATAATCAGAGCGATTCCTGTAACTGACGTCATCAACCCGTGTGTCATCTTGAACCATATTATAACCGCGGCACATACCACAGAAATGTTGGTTATTCGCTTGGATTTGATTATATATATAACATTGATAGTAAAGTTAGGGTCATATTAATTATAATGTGATATTCCTGCAGGTAACGAGGGGAATGGTGAAGGCCCTCGACCCAAGAAGAAGGTTCGATTTTCCATCGGTAAGTTGTCCTATTCCCTGTAGTGGAATGCCAATTAGATTGTATCGATATCTCATTTACTCTGTCAAAACAAACATGAGCAGTTAATTGTTACTTCTGTTCCCTTGTCGCTTTGTTATTCCTCGTAAATTAAGATATAATTTGGTAAAATAATGTAACTGTGCTTAGTCTGTAGTTAATTAACCGTCAGTGGGTGGTTCTTTGTACTTTGGATTTTGGATGCAAATGGTTGTGGTTTGGGCGCTACCTAGTTCCAAGAACTATGAAAAGAAATAACAAGTAACGAATGTTGGGTCTCTCTATATGTATACAGGGTGTCCAATAAGTACCACGACAAACTTAAGGAGAAGGTAGGCTTTGACTGACCTCCCAAATAACAAAAACTTACCTACATAAATGTGTCACCATTTTAGAGATATTCAATTTTTTCTTAAATTTAAAAAAAAGAAACCTTTTTAGGTTATACTTTGTTCATTTCTTCTATAAAATACTTCTAGATCGTTGCTTTATCATATACAAATGCATTTGTATGTGATAAAGAGACTATCTAGAAGTATTTTTTAGAAAAAATGAACAAAGTATAACGTTATTTGTACATGCAGCTAAAGACCACAGATGAGAAGGTTCATTTTTTAAAATTTAAGAAGAAAATCAACATCTCAAAAACCGTGACACTTTTATATAGGTAAGTTTTCATTATTTGGTAGGTCAGTCCTAAGCCTACTTTCTTCTTAAGTTTCTTATTGGACAACCTGTGAGATTGCAGTTATTGCATTTGATGGAGTATACAATATTGGATAAGCTGAGCAGAGGAACTCTATTTTTCATTTTGCAATACGACAATTTAAAGTGTTGCTCAGTCTAGAAAGTCTCGGCGTTTTATCCTTGATATGCGGTAGGACTGCAAAGTTAATTCTAGAATTGGAGGGAACATCATTCCAACAACAACACCGAAAACTTTCGGAAACTTTCTAGACTGTGCTACACTTTAAATTTTTTGGAAAGATGATAAGAGAAGCTTCAAGATATCAAAAAAACAATTTGTTGATTACATATACAATGACCCCAGAGGTCATTAGGAGGTCAAGTTTGTAAATTAGATTGGCAACTACCATTTTTGGCATCAGATTCGTTCGATCTCGAGATTCTACATAACAATAAATTTTAATACATGAACGGTTCAGTCAGTATTGTTGCTACTTGAATTTACAAACTTGACCACCAACTGACCGTAGGTCCTTGCTCTTGGTCATGTTTGAAGTAACCGACAAATTGCATTATAATTATTCTAAATTCTTTCTCAAAGCATTTTTTCCAAAAAAATGCGTTGTTGCCAAGTTTTTTAATTTATAACATTAATATTCTCGCAGGTATTGAGGTCAATGGAGAAGGCCCATCTACTCTGGAAGAGACCGAAGACACCCCAGGTAAGTTGTCCTATTCCCTCTAATAAGGCAGTGTATCATTTTGGAATTCTAACTATATTGTATTCAAATACCTCCCAAATAACTAAAACTTCCCTATATACTTGTAAAAGTGTCACCGTTTTAGAGATATTGAATTTTTTCTTAAATTTGAAAAAAACGAAACTTTTTATTTGTGGTCTTTAGCTACATGTACAAATAAGGTTATACTTTGTTCATTTCTTCTATAAAATACTTCTAGATAGTTGCTTTATCATATACAAATGCATTTGTATATGATAAAGAGACTATCTAGAAGTATTTTATAGAAAAAATGAACAAAGTATAACGTTATTTGTACATGCAGCTAAAGACCACAGATGAGAAGGTTCATTTTTTAAAATTTAAGAAGAAAATCAATATCTCAAAAACCGTGACACTTTCATATAGGTAAGTTTTTGTTATTTGGTAGGTCAGTCCTAAGCCTACTTTCTTCTTAAGTTTCTTATTGGACAACCTGTGAGATTGCAGTTATTGCATTTGATGGAGTATACAATATTGGATAAGCTGAGCAGAGGAACTCTATCTTTCATTTTGCAATACGACAATTTAAAGTGTTGCTCAGTCTAGAAAGTCTCGGCGTTATATCCTTGATATGCGGTAGGACTGCAAAGTTAATTCTAGAATTGGAGGGAACATCATTCCAACAACAACACCGAAAACTTTCGGAAACTTTCTAGACTGTGCTACACTTTAAATTTTTTGGAAAGATGATGTTAAGAGAAGCTTCAAGATATCAAAAAACAATTTGTTGATCACCTATACAATGACCCCAGGGGTCATTAGGAGGTCAAGTTTGTAAATTAGATTGGCAACTACCATTTTTGGCATCAGATTCGTTCGATCTCGAGATTCTACATAACAATAAATTTTAATACATGAATGGTTCAGTCAGTATTGTTGCTACTTGAATTTACAAACTTGACCACCAACTGACCGTAGGTCCTTGCTCTTGGTCATGTTTGGAGTAACCGGCAAATTGCATTATAAATATTCTAAATTCTTTCTCAACACATTTTTTCCAAAAAAATGCGTTGTTGCCAAGTTTTTTAATTTATAACATTAATATTCTCGCAGATATTGAGTGCAGTGGAGAAGGTCCATCTACTCTGGAGGAGACCGAAGACACCCCAGGTAAGTTGTCCTATTCCCTCTAATAAGGCAGTGTATCATTTTGGAATTCTAACTATATTGTATTCAAATCTCATTTGCCTTGTTTCACAAAAAACATGAGCAGACTTTTATGGCAGGGTGCAAATTTGAACATTGCATACTGGTGCTTATTTTGACAGGGAATAAATTAAATCTGAATAAGGTAGTTTAAACTTGACAATCACGCTTTTTTGGGAAAAAAAGAAGAAAAGAAAAAAGTTTCAGAATACCAATAATGCCAAAGCAGGTCACGTTAAATCAACCTCTTGTGTCCGCTTGGCGTCAAATGCAATTTAGAATCTTGAGCTAGCCAAAAATGGTGGTTGTTATTTGAATTTACAAAGTTGACCCCTAAATCGCCTCTGAGGGTATTGTCTGTAGTAGAATTTACAAACCTGACCTTCAACTGACCTCTGAGGTTATTGTCCAAGTCATAGTTGGGTTATCTACAAATTGCTGTTTTGATCCCCTGAAGCATTCTTGAACATGTTTCCCATGAAATGCGTGGTGCCAAGTTTTCGGGGTATTTGGTACTGCAAGAAAATTTATTCTCTAAATGTCTTTATCCATTTTTGGCACCTCGTAAATCTCTTGAAAATTTAGAGTAGCTCACTTTGAAGCCTAAGAGCTACTCTAATCTACATGCACTTCATTTTTCTATTTTTTTTTTAGTTTTATATCTGCATAGTATTGTTTATATCTATAACATACCTGCCTAGATTCCAAAATACTATACCCTATTCGTAGTCCATTTACGCCCGGGTGCAACAAAGATGCAGCACGGCAATGGCGATTGGTCATTCGGCCACAAAACTACGAACAAGTGCAGGATTCGAAACATAGCGTGTGTTTATATGTAAGCATGTCGTCTACGGATACAGCAGATGAAATTGAGAATATTTCTCCCAATGATTCCTTCAGCCATGCTTCCTCTTCAGTAATGTCTCCTCCCCGAACACGTGACAAGAAGGAACATTTGAAATTCCGGCAAAATAAAATGGTCCTTATCGTTTATAAGTGCGAAATTTTAGAGCATCCGGAAATGACAATTCATGATATTAAAAGACGTGTGGCGAACAAAACAGGCTTATGTTCTAAGACAATTCTCAACATTGTTTGTTATCTGTTACATTGGCAGTGATGATGGCTTTGTGCCCACTGCCCTATGGGCATTTGAGTCAAAGAAAACGACCGACTACCATGAAGAAATGGACGGAAGTTCATTCGAACGATGGTTTGAAGGAACGCTCCCAAATCCTAACGACAATGCTGTCATTGTACTTGATAATGCTGCATACCACACTAGAAAACTAGAAAAAATCCCACAATGTCCACAAGAAAGGCAGAAATTTAACAATGGCTCCTATCAAAATATATTAGTTTTAAGGAAAATATGGTCAACGCAGAACGTATCCATTTAGTCAGGCAGCACAAATATAAATATAATCCCATTGTTATTGACGAAATGGCTAAAAACCAAGGTAAGACCATTTCCAAATTCAAATTCTTTTATTATCCTAAGAGACATTACAAAGTATGTATAGAATTCGTCGGAATAAAAACTAATGAAACAACACAAAATAAATATATGTATAAAACAAACACACACATAAATCATAACATAACAAACTCACAACCTCAGAGACGGCATAATAACATTTACACACAAGAAAATCTGTCAGTTTAGCCTTAAAATTATGTATATCTCCACACTCTTTAATATGGTTTGGTAGCCTGTTGAAAATTCGTGGACCCATTATTTCCGGAGATCTGACGCCGATCTTATACTTGGCAAAATACACATTTAAGTCTCCAGCTTGTCTGGTCGAGTACGAGTTAAAATTGTTTAAAAACTTAGTTTTGTTAATAAACGTATGCACAGCCATTTCGTATAAAAATAAAGATGGTAAAGTTAAAATCTTAAGACGCTTAGAAATACCCTTACAAGAATGCCTACTGCCGACTCCCATCATACATCTAACCACTCTTTTTTGGGCCAAAAATACTTGCTGGGCATTTGTGGACAAACCCCAGAAGCATAGTGCATTTTAAGGCCTCACTGCGAATTAAATCCCATTGAAATGATTTGGGCAAATATAAAAAACTATGTGGCTTCAAACAATAGAACAATAGAAAAGCATTTGCACGTCTTTCTATAAAAATAATCATTTGTTTTGTTAGATTATTATAAGACCATTGAGGAAAATACGGACCTGTACAGTCTCGCTTTTGGGCATGTTGTGTTTTGTCTGCGCGTAAATGGACCACGAATGGGATATAGTCAGACTCGCACACATAAAAAAAATATTCCGTGTTATTTTCAGAGAAAGATACGAGCATTATTACCATTTTGAGCTCTCCCATCTCGGTCGCGAGTTCCCCTCCTCCTCCTTCTGAAGGTATGTATGGCTTAATTTATAAAGCAGGTCATTCCAAAATGGCCCAATATCACTTTATGCTTATCACAGATCACACTGGTTCACATTCCAACAGTTCAGACTTCCTGAGCGACAGGTGTTTAGGTCATTAGGAGGTCAAGTTTGTAAATTAGATTGGCAACTACAATTTTTGGCATCAGATTCGTTCGATCTCGAGATTCTACATAACAATAAATTTTAATACATGAATGGGTTCAGTCAGTATTGTTGCTACTTGAATTTACAAACTTGACCACAAAATGACCGTATGTCCTTGCTCTTGGTCATGTTTGAAGTAACCGACAAATTGCATTATAAATATTCTAAATTCTTTCTCAAAGCATGTTTTCCAAAAAAATGCGTTGTTGCCAAGTTTTTTAATTTATAACATTAATATTGTCGCAGTCGCAGGTATTGAGGGCAATGGAGAAGGCCCATCTACTCTGGAAGAGACCGAAGACACCCCAGGTAAGTTGTCCTATTCCCTCTAATAAGGCAGTGTATCATTTTGGAATTCTAACTATATTGTATTCAAATCCCTCCCAAATAACTAAAACTTACCTATATACTCGTAAAAGTGTCACCGTTTTAGAGATATTGAATTTTTTCTTAAATTTGAAAAACGAACCTTTTTATTTGTGGTCTTTAGCTACATGTAACAAATAAAGTTATACTTTGTTCATTTCTTCTATAAAATACTTCTAGATAGTTGCTTTATCATATACAAATGCATTTGTATCATATACAAATGCATTTGTATATGATAAAGAGACTATCTAGAAGTATTTTATAGAAAAAATGAACAAAGTATAACGTTATTTGTACATGCAGCTAAAGACCACAGATGAGAAGGTTCATTTTTTAAAATTTAAGAAGAAAATCAATATCTCTAAAACCGTGACACTTTTATATAGGTAAATTTTTGTTATTTGGTAGGTCAGTCCTAAGCCTACTTTCTTCTTAAGTTTCTTATTGGACAACCTGTGAGATTGCAGTTATTGCATTTGATGGAGTATACAATATTGGATAAGCTGAGCAGAGGAACTCTATCTTTCATTTTGCAATACGACAATTTAAAGTGTTGCTCAGTCTAGAACGTCTCGGCGTTATATCCTTGATATGCGGTAGGACTGCAAAGTTAATTCTGGAATTGGAGGGAACATCATTCCAACAACAACACCGAAAACTTTCGGAAACTTTCTAGACTGTGCTACACTTTAAATTTTTTGGAAAGATGATGTTAAGAGAAGGCTTCAAGATATCATAAAAACAATTTGTTGATTACCTATACAATGACCCCAGGGGTCATTAGGAGGTCAAGTTTGTAAATTAGATTGGCAACTACCATTTTTGGCATCAGATTCGTTCGATCTCGAGATTCTACATAACAATAAATTTTAATACATGAATGGTTCAGTCAGTATTGTTGCTACTTGAATTTACAAACTTGACCACCAACTGACCGTAGGTCCTTGCTCTTGGTCATGTTTGAAGTAACCGACAAATTGCATTATAAATATTCTAAATTCTTTCTCAAAGCATTTTTTCTAAAAAAATGCGTTGTTGCCAAGTTTTTTAATTTATAACATTAATATTCTCGCAGGTATTGAGGGCAATGGAGAAGGCCCATCTACTCTGGAAGAGACCGAAGACACCCCAGGTAAGTTGTCCTATTCCCTCTAATAAGGCAGTGTATCATTTTGGAATTCTAACTATATTGTATTCAAATCCCTCCCAAATAACTAAAACTTACCTATATACTCGTAAAAGTGACACCGTTTTAGAGATATTGAATTTTTTCTTAAATTTGAAAAAACGAACCTTTTTATTTGTGGTCTTTAGCTACATGTACAAATAAAGTTATACTTTGTTCATTTCTTCTATAAAATACTTCTAGATAGTTGCTTTATCATATACAAATGCATTTGTATCATATACAAATGCATTTGTATATGATAAAGAGACTATCTAGAAGTATTTTATAGAAAAAATGAACAAAGTATAACGTTATTTGTACATGCAGCTAAAGACCACAGATGAGAAGGTTCATTTTTTAAAATTTAAGAAGAAAATCAATATCTCTAAAACCGTGACACTTTTATATAGGTAAATTTTTGTTATTTGGTAGGTCAGTCCTAAGCCTACTTTCTTCTTAAGTTTCTTATTGGACAACCTGTGAGATTGCAGTTATTGCATTTGATGGAGTATACAATATTGGATAAGCTGAGCAGAGGAACTCTATCTTTCATTTTGCAATACGACAATTTAAAGTGTTGCTCAGTCTAGAACGTCTCGGCGTTATATCCTTGATATGCGGTAGGACTGCAAAGTTAATTCTAGAATTGGAGGGAACATCATTCCAACAACAACACCGAAAACTTTCGGAAACTTTCTAGACTGTGCTACACTTTAAATTTTTTGGAAAGATGATGTTAAGAGAAGCTTCAAGATATCATAAAAACAATTTGTTGATTACCTATACAATGACCCCAGGGGTCATTAGGAGGTCAAGTTTGTAAATTAGATTGGCAACTACCATTTTTGGCATCAGATTCGTTCGATCTCGAGATTCTACATAACAATAAATTTTAATACATGAATGGTTCAGTCAGTATTGTTGCTACTTGAATTTACAAACTTGACCACCAACTGACCGTAGGTCGTTGCTCTTGGTCATGTTTGAAGTAACCGACAAATTGCATTATAAATATTCTAAATTCTTTCTCAAAACATTTTTTCCAAAAAAATGCGTTGTTGCCAAGTTTTTTAATTTATAACAATAATATTCTCGCAGGTATTGAGGGCAATGGAGAAGGCCCATCTACTCTGGAAGAGGCCGAAGACACCCCAGGTAAGTTGTCCTATTCCCTCTAATAAGGCAGTGTATCATTTTGGAATTCTAACTATATTGTATTCAAATCTCATTTGCCTTGTTTCACAAAAAACATGAGCAGACTTTTATGGCAGGGTGCAAATTTGAACATTGCATACTGGTGCTTATTTTGACAGGGAATAAATTAAATCTGAATAAGGTAGTTTAAACTTGACAATCACGCTTTTATGGGAAAAAAAGAAGAAAAGAAAAAAGTTTCAGAATACCAATAATGCCAAAGCAGGTCACGTTAAATCAACCTCTTGTGTCCGCTTGGCCTCAAATGCCATTTAGAATCTTGAACTAGCCAAAAATGGTGGTTGTTATTTGAATTTACAAAGTTGACCCCTAAATGGCCTCTGAGGGTATTGTCTGTTACATTTGTGGTTTTCGACAAATTGCTTTTCAGATATAAAACATTTCTCAAAACTGTGGTTTCCAAGTTTTCTGGGTGTAAGTGTGCTTTTCAGACGTTACTTTAGTTGAATTTACAAACCTGACCTTCAACTGACCTCTGAGGTTATTGTCCAAGTCATAGTTGGGTTATCTAGAAATTGCTGTTTTGATCTCCTGAAGCATTCTTGAACATGTTTCCCATGAAATGCGTGGTGCCAAGTTTTCGGGGTATTTGGTACTGCAAGAAAGTTTATTCTCTAAATGTCTTTATCCATTTTTGGCACCTCGTAAATCTCTTGAAAATTTAGAGAAGCTCACTTTGAAGCCTAAGAGCTACTCTAATCTACATGCACTTCATTTTTCTATTTTTTTTTTAGTTTTATATCTGCATAGTATTGTTTATATCTATAACATACCTGCCTAGATTCCAAAATACTATACCCTATTCGTAGTCCATTTACGCCCGGGTGCAACAAAGATGCAGCACGTCAATGGCGATTGGTCATTCGGCCACAAAACTACGAACAAGTGCAGGATTCGAAACAGCGTGTGTTTATATGTAAGCATGTCGTCTACGGATACAGCAGATGAAATTGAGAATATTTCTCCCAATGATTCCTTCAGCCATGCTTCCTCTTCAGTAATGTCTCCTCCCCGAACACGTGACAAGAAGGAACATTTGAAATTCCGGCAAAATAAAATGGTCCTTATCGTTTATAAGTGCGAAATTTTAGAGCATCCTGAAATGACAATTCATGATATTAAAAGACGTGTGGCGAACAAAACAGGCTTATGTTCTAAGACAATTCTCAACATTGTTTGTTATCTGTTACATTGGCAGTGATGATGGCTTTGTGCCCACTGCCCTATGGGCATTTGAGTCAAAGAAAACGACCGACTACCATGAAGAAATGGACGGAAGTTCATTCGAACGATGGTTTGAAGGAACGCTCCCAAATCCTAACGACAATGCTGTCATTGTACTTGATAATGCTGCATACCACACTAGAAAACTAGAAAAAATCCCACAATGTCCACAAGAAAGGCAGAAATTTAACAATGGCTCCTATCAAAATATATTAGTTTTAAGGAAAATATGGTCAACGCAGAACGTATCCATTTAGTCAGGCAGCACAAATATAAATATAATCCCATTGTTATTGACGAAATGGCTAAAAACCAAAGTAAGACCATTTTCAAATTCAAATTCTTTTATTATCCTAAGAGACATTACAAAGTATGTATAGAATTCGTCGGAATAAAAACTAATGAAACAACACAAAATAAATATATGTATAAAACAAACACACACATAAATCATAACATAACAAACTCACAACCTCAGAGACGGCATAATAACATTTACACACAAGAAAATCTGTCAGTTTAGCCTTAAAATTATGTATATCTCCACACTCTTTAATATGGTTTGGTAGCCTGTTGAAAATTCGTGGACCCATTATTTCCGGAGATCTGACGCCGATCTTATACTTGGCAAAATACACATTTAAGTCTCCAGCTTGTCTGGTCGAGTACGAGTTAAAATTGTTTAAAAACTTAGTTTTGTTAATAAACGTATGCACAGCCATTTCGTATAAAAATAAAGATGGTAAAGTTAAAATCTTAAGACGCTTAGAAATACCCTTACAAGAATGCCTACTGCCGACTCCCATCATACATCTAACCACTCTTTTTTGGGCCAAAAATACTTGCTGGGCATTTGTGGACAAACCCCAGAAGCATAGTGCATTTTAAGGCCTCACTGCGAATTAAATCCCATTGAAATGATTTGGGCAAATATAAAAAACTATGTGGCTTCAAACAATAGAACAATAGAAAAGTATTTGCACGTCTTTCTATAAAAATAATCATTTGTTTTGTTAGATTATTATAAGACCATTGAGGAAAATACGGACCTGTACAATCTCGCTTTTGGGCATGTTGTGTTTTGTCTGCGCGTAAATGGACCACGAATGGGATATAGTCAGACTCGCACACATAAAAAAAATATTCCGTGTTATTTTCAGAGAAAGATACGAGCATTATTACCATTTTGAGCTCTCCCATCTCGGTCGCGAGTTCCCCTCCTCCTCCTTCTGAAGGTATGTATGGCTTAATTTATAAAGCAGGTCATTCCAAAATGGCCCAATATCACTTTATGCTTATCACAGATCACACTGGTTCACATTCCAACAGTTCAGACTTCCTGAGCGACAGGTGTTTAGGTCATTAGGAGGTCAAGTTTGTAAATTAGATTGGCAACTACAATTTTTGGCATCAGATTCGTTCGATCTCGAGATTCTACATAACAATAAATTTTAATACATGAATGGTTCAGTCAGTATTGTTGCTACTTGAATTTACAAACTTGACCACAAAATGACCGTATGTCCTTGCTCTTGGTCATGTTTGAAGTAACCGACAAATTGCATTATAAATATTCTAAATTCTTTCTCAAAGCATGTTTTCCAAAAAAATGCGTTGTTGCCAAGTTTTTTAATTTATAACATTAATATTGTCGCAGTCGCAGGTATTGAGGGCAATGGAGAAGGCCCATCTACTCTGGAAGAGACCGAAGACACCCCAGGTAAGTTGTCCTATTCCCTCTAATAAGGCAGTGTATCATTTTGGAATTCTAACTATATTGTATTCAAATCCCTCCCAAATAACTAAAACTTACCTATATACTCGTAAAAGTGTCACCGTTTTAGAGAGATTGAATTTTTTCTTAAATTTGAAAAAAACGAACCTTTTTATTTGTGGTCTTTAGCTACACGTACAAATAAGGTTATACTTTGTTCATTTCTTCTATAAAATACTTCTAGATAGTTGCTTTATCATATACAGATGCATTTGTAAAACATGGTTATGTATTACTGATAAAATACTTGCGGATTGGAACAAACGTTATAAATTAAATAAATTTTGAAACTTTTCAAAGTTTGCAATGGATTCGACGTTATAAGCTACCCAAAGTTTTTAAATTATTCAACAAATGTATATTTGCGCTTTTAATTTTCTATTACGATATGCATCAATCTGCTCATTTTTGGGATCCACAATCGGAAACTTGTTTTTACTATTTTCTGCATACCTCGCTGCTTTTAATTTGATTAAATGCCTTAATATTGTAACATGACATTTACTCAGAATATACGATGAAAATACGTAGTAATAATTCAGAGCCCTCTGTAGGCTCTGAGGACCTGCGGATGTAAGAAGCCTAGTGGCAATTATAGTTCAGATGCTTTGGCTAATTTGTGTTTTTGTAATCACTTAACACAAGAACTAAAACTTGCGTATCAACATTATTAGATGAAATAAGTTGTTTGAGAAACCTATGGTTCAGAGATATGTTGCAATGGTTGTTAGGATTGTAATTCAAGTTCTCTTATCTAGGTTTTCTCGGTTTGGCTACAAGCTGATTTATTTTTTGTTCTATTGTTATAGATGACCCGGAAGATGATGACCGGCGCCAGGTGCTCGAAATATTTGTAAGTCGCGATGAACATCTAACAATAAAACAGGATAACATGTCAAATAATAGCACTGATATTGTAGGTTCATTCCAAACAGCCTTCTCTCAAACTCCCAGCCGCTAAAAAATTCTAAAAAGCACCCATTCAAATAATGAATTTAAGAGTGATGATAATGTTATCTTCAAATTTTTTTTATCAAATCCAAGAGTTGCAGGATTCCTGGACAGCTGACAGATTGCGCTGCTTTGTCAGAAAGCCTGACTTGCTCAAAAAGTAATGCAAAGGGGACTAACGTCGCCAAATCTTAGTGCCTGTGATGAAGTGAAGAAATTACGTTTCACTCATATAAAGATATACTTAGTGATAGAAAAAGGTAAACACTTACGTATCTTTATCTGATTTTAATAATTTGGCATATATGTTCAGTGTCCCTTACTGTTAAAATGATCAAATTTTCAGCTTGATTCGTCAAATGACTTCAAAAACTGGTTCAATAATGTGTGAGGATCCACGATTTCTTATACACTCCTTGACGCGCCTGGGCATTGTACTGATAAAGTGGTCGATATCCTGTTAGGGTATCTCATTCCAGGTTACTGCAACTTCGTGGGTAAGAGCTGTCTGTGGACGATGTTGCAAATTCAATTGGACATAGGTCAGGCGATCGTGGTGGCCAAGGCAAACGGTTGATGCGATGTTGATCCATGATGGCTAACGATGCTCTGGCAACATGCGTTCTGGCATTGTCGCGTTTTGAATGGTGTTTAGGTATGGAATAAAATGAGGCTCCACTATTTCTAGTGAAGGTGGTTTGACCCTAGGGATGGTGGTACGTCATTTTTTTAGCATCACAATACGTATTGAGAAATATGAGACTACTACAGGTAAAGTTGTTCCTGCAACTAAACTTGATTACCAAATAACTCCTGGTCGCTTAGAAAAACAAAAAAATATAGAACCTTTAACCTGCTCTCAAAAAGCAGAACTGTTAAAAGAATGCGGGATGCAAATCAACGAAGAGGAAATGTTGAATTGCTCAATAATCTATCTCTCAAGAGTTGCATGTAGATGTGACTGCAAAGAAATATGTGCTTTTGCAGTATTTCAGGTGTTGAATGTCATGTCGATAAACTTGACTTTCCCTGTAGATGTGTCAAGAAAAGTTGCCAGAATTTGGTGGGCCTCAAAGAATTTATCTATAATAAGGTTAAAATGCATTTCATGAACACTATGAAGAGAATTTCAAGTGAGGTTAAAACAGTTTCTAACAGAGCTAACAAAAATGTATCATATGATTCATTTGGTCTTGAAGTTTGAATAGGTTGTTTGGAATGGACAGTTTGTTGGAATTCTTGGTATATGCAATGAAAGTCGGATTATGAAAATGCGGAACTATGAGAAAACTGGTACTTATACACTCACTAACTTCAAAAATAATTTAGGGAAGTGTTTGCTTAGCTACTGAAAACTACTTGAGAGTCACCGTACTAAGAACTGGTATGAAATTTGAAATTTCACTCGTAACACGAATTAGGAAACCATTGATCGGTTATGCAGAATAATTCTTCCATCCTATGGCCTGGGGTGGGGGGGGGGTCAATGGCACCGGTGCCTCCCTGGAATCTGCGACTTTTTTTGGACAGGGGAAAGCTTTTATAGCCACTCTCAGGGAGAAAAACTTAACAGTATTGCCCTGCCAACCCTTCCTGTCCAAAGTGTGAGATTCTCCAGAAATGGCATATTCACTAAAACCCCTAAGTCGTTCGCCACACATTCCACCATGGTAATGCTTGCAGCATTTCTTCATAGTAGGTAGTATTGCGCTAGGTTTTCATACCGAAGGTATTAATTTGAAAACATTCTTAGTAATTTTCAAAAAGTGTGCTAATTTTTTATTTTTCATTATTAAGGACTATTTTTTCTCATATAGTTTGCTTACAGTCTGGATGATACAAATGACAATTTGTGTTTGCTGGGGTACTACAGAGTAGCATTAAGATACATTCATTTTATTTTATGACCGAAAATGAGACGAAAAAAGTATAGAAACATATTTTTTTATTACAAAATTGAATACAATACATCTACAAAAAGATTGAAAAAAATACTGTTTAGTTAATATTTGGTAGCATAGCCTTCACTATTCAACACTGCCTGACATCTGCTGCTCATAGAAGACACCAATTTTTTGCAGACGTCTGTTGGAATATTTTGCCAAATATTTTTTACATAATCAGATAAATTGTTCCTATTTTTTAAAGTTTTTCTTGTCAGTTGTCTTTTAACTTGCTCCCAGAGATGTTCTAGGGTTTAGGTCCGGGGATTGCGAAGGCCATGTACGAACATTAACATGTTTTAGTCTTAACCAGTCTTTTGTGAATTTTGAGGTATGCTTGGGGCCATTATCTTGCTGGAATGTCCATCGTAAAGGCATTTCTTCTGTAGTAAAAGGGAGCATGTATTCACTAAGTATAAAATTTTTGATTTTAACAATTGGACCCGTTCCAGAACTAGACAAACAGCCCCCAACCATGATGTTGCCTTCACCGTGCTTAACTGTTGGCAACTGATACTTTTTGTCCAATCTTTTTCGTATTGTACGTCTCACATATGCCGTACCTTCAGATCCAAACAAGTTAAATTTGCCTTCATCGCTCCATAAACCTGTATTCCATTGTTGTTCTGTACAAGTTAGATCAGTTTTAGCAAATTCAAGCCGAGCAATACGGTAAAGAGGCTTTTGCACTGGACGCCTACCAAAGAGCCCAAAATCCGTCAAGCATCTCTGCTTTGTTCTGACAGAAAGATTCTCGGCATCCTCTTCTACGATTCTTTTGAAAATCTGTGTGGCTGGCATTCGAATATCTTCATGGGACAAACGTTTAATGTAGCGATCCAAAACATAATCGGTTTTTTTCGGTCTTCCGCACCTGGGCCGCGTTGCTGTTGATCCGTATTCTTGATATTTACCAATAAATTTTCGAAATCTTTGTTCATTTTTAATCTTTGAGAAATGTCAACATTTCTGACACCACTTCTAAATAATTCAATTACTTTGTCTCTTAATTCTTTTACTTTTCCCATTCCCACTGATGTTAATATTTACCTGATGCAATATCAGAGTATCACAGAACGAATAAATACGGCAAAACTGAAATGTTTCCATACTTTTGTCGTTACAAAATCTGTGGTATTTAAAAAACGCGTGTTTTTATCTTCAGACACTTTGAGTATTGATAAGATAGACCTTGTATTAGTATGGGAGCCAAAGGTAGACTTTAATATTTATAATATCTGTTCTTCCACAATTTTAATTTAGGTATATGAAATGGTTGATAATAATGTTAATATTTGTTTCCAAACTTTTGTCCGCTACTGTACGTACTTTGATACTATGTACATGTACAACCGAGCAAATTAGAAACCTACTATTGGTTCCTTGTTTTCTATTTTTGTTCTCTTGTGAGTAAGGACACGGCATCATTCGCCTCGCTACTGGTTGAATATCAACCCATTTTCCCCTGGCGTATATGCGTGGCAAAATTGTGAGCAGTGAGCCTTGCGCCTGCCTAGGGATTAAAATATACGATAGTGGCCTCACTTATATATAGCAGGAATTAAATCAAAACCGAAAATATTTGAATAAAGGTTTGACATCTCAGAGTTGATCACGAAATTTTACTGCTGTATTTACTATTTTGTATCCAAGAACTTCAACAATCTGTAAATCACCGATATATCAGGTCCGTGACGTGACTTCCATGATATTTTTTTATATTTAAATGCTCACCTCCATATATTTTATTGGGTGTGGTGTTGCTTTTAATTTTTGACCTTCAAATCGAAAGTAATGGAACAATCTGTTTTTCACTTCGATTAAATGTTTTAACTTTTCCACAAAAATGTACCTGTTTTTGTATTATTATTATGTATATATTTCACAAAAACCACCAAAAGCCTCTGACGGGTGGTGTTGAAATAATTCAAGCAGATACTTTCTCGCTTTATTTACAAAAGAACAATATGGAAGTCACGTTATTACTATATTTACGGCTGTTATCTATACTGTTATATAACTTTATGATATACAGGGTGAGATTTTAGTATGGGCTCGGTCGATAAACCGTTATTTACGCTTGGTATGGAATCTTCCAGGTGGAAGAGCCGGTTTGGGTTGTAGGCTAAAATTCGAAAAAATGTCTTCTTGCATCTATGATATATTGACAGGGATATCCTGAATGCAGGTACCCACAACCAAATGTGTTTGAGAATGTGACAGGTCATTTTCCTCGTATTGGTTCAGTTAAATACACTAATAATAATAATAAGTTTCTTAGAACATGCAAAAGCACAGTTGTGATGAGATGCCTATTTTATGTGTTAACAAAATGTTACATTATAGTTTTTAAACTTGTTATACAACTTACAAAAAGGTCAGTTGTAAGTCGTCCTGCAGAAAAACCGATTTTCCAAGTCAGCTCACTTAACTTTTTCAGATAACATAATGGAGTTATGGATCAACGAGGCACCAAAAACTGGGAAAACTTGAGAAATCTTTTTTTTGTCCCTGACCACCATGTATAAACTGTAATGTAAATAACCGAAAAAGTAGGTGACATGGGAAAAATATAACATCGTAAAATTTTTATAGTGTTTAATTCAGCTATAACTTTGGAGAAGGGTAGAATTGTCAATATATTTACAATTTAATTTAATAAAACTCTATACTAAATCAAATTGCTTTGTTCGAAAGGGCCTGTCCAAATCTCCAATAACATACCTTGAGCTTTCCATTAGAAAAAGTATGTTTGGACACCGCATAGTTTTTGATCACCCTTTAGAGATAAAAATATTTTCCAAGAAACATGCATGGCTACATTTTTTGTAATTTACTTTTTGAAATACCATGCGTGATATCGGAGTTATCGACCGAACCCAGATTAAAAAGTCACCCCACAGATTGAATGGGTTGAATTAGTTTTGACATTCTAATAATGATCTGTGTTATTTTAGACATATACGTATACCTTACTGGTCCTGAAGAAATGAGATGGAGTAGCAGAGTTACATAGAATTAACGTTGTTTAACCCTTTTGTATTTGTATTGTATAAATGTAGTTACCTGGTTCTAATGAGATGAGATGGAGTAGGAGAGTTACATAGAATTAAAGTTGCTTAACCCTTTTGTATTTGTATTGTATAAATGTAGTTACCTGGTTCTAATGAGATGAGATGGAGTAGGAGAGTTACATAGAATTAAAGTTGCTTAACCCTTTTGTATTTGTATTGTATAACTGTAGTTACCTGGTTCTAATGAGATGAGATGGAGTAGTAGAGTTACATAGAATTAAAGTTGTTTAACCCTTTTGTATTTGAATTGTATAAATGTAGTTACCTGGTTCTAATGAGATGAGATGGAGTAGGAGAGTTACATAGAATTAAAGTTGCTTAACCCTTTTGTATTTGTATTGTATAAATGTAGTTACCTGGTTCTAATGAGATGAGATGGAGTAGGAGAGTTACATAGAATCAAAGTTGCTTAACCCTTTTGTATTTGTATTGTATAAATGTAGTTACCTGGTTCTAATGAGATGAGATGGAGTAGTAGAGTTACATAGAATTAAAGTTGTTTAACCCTTTTGTATTTGAATTGTATAAATGTAGTTACCTGGTTCTAATGAGATGAGATGGAGTAGGAGAGTTACATAGAATTAAAGTTGCTTAACCCTTTTGTATTTGTATTGTATAAATGTAGTTACCTGGTTCTAATGAGATGAGATGGAGTAGGAGAGTTACATAGAATTAAAGTTGCTTAACCCTTTTGTATTTGTATTGTATAACTGTAGTTACCTGGTTCTAATGAGATGAGATGGAGTAGTAGAGTTACATAGAATTAAAGTTGTTTAACCCTTTTGTATTTGAATTGTATAAATGTAGTTACCTGGTTCTAATGAGATGAGATGGAGTAGGAGAGTTACATAGAATTAAAGTTGCTTAACCCTTTTGTATTTGTATTGTATAAATGTAGTTACCTGGTTCTAATGAGATGAGATGGAGTAGGAGAGTTACATAGAATTAAAGTTGCTTAACCCTTTTGTATTTGTATTGTATAAATGTAGTTACCTGGTTCTAATGAGATGAGATGGAGTAGGAGAGTTACATAGAATTAAAGTTGCTTAACCCTTTTGTATTTGTATTGTATAACTGTAGTTACCTGGTTCTAATGAGATGAGATGGAGTAGTAGAGTTACATAGAATTAAAGTTGTTTAACCCTTTTGTATTTGAATTGTATAAATGTAGTTACCTGGTTCTAATGAGATGAGATGGAGTAGGAGAGTTACATAGAATTAAAGTTGCTTAACCCTTTTGTATTTGTATTGTATAAATGTAGTTACCTGGTTCTAATGAGATGAGATGGAGTAGGAGAGTTACATAGAATTAAAGTTGCTTAACCCTTTTGTATTTGTATTGTATAACTGTAGTTACCAGGTTCTAATGAGATGAGATGGAGTAGTAGAGTTACATAGAATTAAAGTTGTTTAACCCTTTTGTATTTGAATTGTATAAATGTAGTTACCTGGTTCTAATGAGATGAGATGGAGTAGGAGAGTTACATAGAATTAAAGTTGTTTAACCCTTTTGTATTTGAATTGTATAAATGTAGTTACCTGTGAATAAAATGTTTTGCAAGTGATGACGTTGATCTAAGGAAATATGTACTAACTTGATTTCCTTAGATTTTATGTTGCTCGTTGCTTGTTTTTGATTCTTGTAGATGTAGTCTTTGATTTGGATGCTGCACTGGTAGGGCACTTGAAGTAGGTAAATGCCCTTTAACTCTATAACGTAATCTTGTTCACACTTGATTATCAGCTTTTCGGGTTTCGGAAAAATAGCAACATATTTGGACTTGTAAAACAGCAAACAGACGTCTTCTTCTTCTGCTACCTGGACCTATTTGTTTTCATGGCAGATAAATATATTAGTCTAATCATATTAGCAAATGTCCCCGAAATAATTGTAAAGTCTGGTTTTATTGGGCAAGTTGTTCAAGGGGGTATTTAAAACATGGACGCATAAAATGGGTACACCAGCTTTTGTGGGAACACTTTTTATTTGACAACAAAGCATGAGAAAACGTTTTTTTTTTTGGGATTCAATCGAAAGTGTTGACATGAGCGAAAATACTTTTCATATAAGGTTTTGGACTATCTATGAGTCCACACGTGAAAAGATCCTACTATTAGCAAAAATGGTGTGGCCGGAAAACGAGGCAAAATGCAGGTTTTGGCACTTTTTGGTAATGCGACGATGGTTTCTCGCAGATGCTTAAAATTCTATGTAACCACAACAAAATTGGATTAGATTGGTCAAGTAGTTTTTGAGCATTTCTAATTGTTTATCCCAAAACACCTGTTTTCTAGCCATCACTACTAGTTTATTGAGGGATATATAATATCGCAAGTATTGACGTATAACTTTACATCATCAATGTGGGGCCAATAATGTTTTCTTTTAATTTGGTTTACTGTCTTGATGATACCTCGATGATGCGTTTTAGTTTCGTGATTGTACCCCACGATTTCTTCTTGTCTTAAAATGTCAGTAATATTATCAACCTTTTTATTGCATTTATCCAATTTGAACGCCGAATTGTTGAATGTATTAGATACATGTTTAGCGAGATTTTTATACATTTCATCGTTATCGTTATCTTCAAAATAAAATGCATAAGTACTTTTTGGTGAACCATAGTCTACCACAAAAATCGTATAATAGGAGTTAAATCATTATTAACAATATACAATGTGTACAAGAATTTCTTCGGATCCCATAATGTTTGAAAAGAGAATTTTCCAGCTTTTTTTGACAAAAATTTGGTACTTGAAAACATCGATAGGGTTTTCTACATGGTTAATTTGTTGAATGGGGCTTTCATCGTCTGAGTGAATAGTTACGTTGTCAACTCGTTCACTTAAATCTTGTAAATTGGGTACTGTTTGTTCATACATTATTTTCTATAGAAGTTTGATCATCGATAGGTTTTTCGGAAAAATCTTTATTTAAGGTTTTCATGTATCGGATAGATGGGGAGACTCTTCTTCATTTTGAACTTGTGACGTAGAAGGTTGTGGGTCAGCGTCCGTCTGGATACGAGAAAGTACATCCACATTTTTATTTTCTTTACCCTTTTTGTCTTACTGATTTTCTTACAAGATTGCTAGGATCTCTCAACGTTAAGTAACTCTTGAGAAGCAAAGTATCTTGGGCCAGAACGCCTAAAATGATTATTTTGGAAATTCTTATTTCTATTGATGCTACTAACACTACTCATAAGGAGTAGGCCTGTAGGAAGTTCCTTCGTTAGGCGGATTACGCCAAACATTAACATTATTAAGTCTCTTGCGAAAAACATGTGCATTTGTTGGAAATATTTGTGGTTGAATCGGATCTGGTTCTCTTGGGAATTGCGGCTGATAATTGAAATTTTGCTGAGGCCTAAATTGACTAATTGGCTGCATTTGAGGCCTAAAGAAGTTTTGAAAATGTGGTTTTCGTGGAAGTGCAGGCTGGGGTGGCTTATTGAAATTTGAATGTGCACCAGCCTTTGTACATATCTAATTTTAGGTTTCATAGACCGAATCATGGAACTGTGTGGCTCCTTTGTACCTACTAAAAGTGTATGCAATGCATGACTATCATACAGTGCCTTTTTACTAGTTTTAATAGCATCAACTGTTTCATGAATATTTATATAGTTGTGTAAACGATTGAGCATGGTTACAACTCTAGAATAGAACTGCAAAGAATTTTCATTAGGATTTTGTCTAAGGGCAGTCATATCTGAGAAAAGACTACTCTCGTTTCTTTGATCACCAAAATGAGCATTAACAAATTTTTTATGCTATTCCAGTCTGTGGAACCGCTAAGAGAAAATACTTGCTCTGCCGCACCAGTCAATTTTGAGAAAATGCCATGCAGTAGTATTTTGTTTTGGACACATCCTGTATCGTCGCTGTTCCAATAATTATTTAATAAATCTGTGCTTATTTCTAAGTGTACACAGGGATTCCCAACAAATTCTGGGACAATACGGAGAAGTTTTATGTCGAACTGGGGGGGGGGGGGATTTCTACTGGGGGTCGTCATTATTATATTTTCTATAATTTCGTTTGCTTGACTTATTTCTGTACTTCCTTATTCTAAGCTTGCTATGCAATTAGCGATTTTATCTGCACTATCACCTTCAGACAAATGTATAGGTCGGGGTGAGTCACCCATGAAACAATAAGGATACAATGAGCACCTACTGATATGTTCAGTACTTCATCCCCTTTTTGGCCTAGGTTGCTCAGGTGGACGTTGGCTTCAAAGGACAAAGGGCACTTGTGGTCCAAATTATTTCTTCTTTCTTCAGTAGTACCGGCTCGTCATTCCCAATTAAGAGTTTGGAATCCCTTTGGTAACCCTACTGCGCCAATTATGTAGCCGAAACTTCAAATTCGTTTTTAAAAAACTTTATTGGGTTCGAAAAATAATGTACACGGATTGAACAGGGCCAGTGTGTGTGTGGGTTCGCTGTGACTGAGATTGAATGACTAACTGAGATGAAATCGTTAATATAAACCATTATATTGATTAATAAAGTGTAAAAAGATAGTAACATAACTAGTGTAAGCATACACAATATTTTAGACACTTTTCCGCATGTGAGTCACCCTGTAAAAGGTTCGCTTGACACTTGGAATGCTAAGAAAGGCACTGCTGGCATACACATTTCAACAACCACTTACGACCCTGCGTATTCGTTAAACCAAGGGCACGCTGACGCACAGGCTCTTAGTTCATTCTAATATTGTTCTAAAAGTTGAAAGGTCGAAGTGACTGCATGTTGTGATTTTGTGAATAGTGCCCATATCCAGTTCAGGTCCAGGTTCGATCAATCAAATGGTGAGGGTTTTCACCGAGTATCTTTTATTGTTTTGCTGTACTGCATGTGATGTGTATTTTCTAACCATGGTGCCCTTATAATCACTATAATAATTTTATAAATCAAAAACAATCAAATTACATAATATGTTAATCAACAGTTAAGATAAAGTTAGTCGTAACTTAGAGTCAAACATCTACCGAGGTGTGACGGTATGAGACTTACAGGGCCGGGTTGCCATCGGGAGAATTACTGCTCGGTTTCATCTGTCTGGGGAAATGTCGGAGCGGATTGTATATTGACACAACGGCCATTGGCCGACGTGGTATCCTAGGTCTGTATGACCGCCTAGGTTCCTCTCGAGGCAATCGCAGGAGTCTGAAAGTATCTCATGGCAAGATGTGTATAGGGATTGTTACTTAAAGTTGTCACGCTGCTCGGTTAGATAACGAGGTAACGTGGGAGCTTTTGGGTATTGACACTCCAAGTGATATCCTGTTTTCTGGACTGCTTTTCGTAACAATCAAATACTTAGCATATCTGTCTTAGCACCAGATTATTACGGTATCCATATCGGGCGTGACTTCAATGTGGTAGGAAGGTATCGTTCCACCGAGTATTGACACGGGCGTGACTTCCATGCGGTAGGATGCTACCGTTCCCCCATGCAATGTATTGTAATTTATAATAATATAATTGAGAAATATCATGGCCATTATTATATTATTTTGTAATCAGTATCAAGACAGCTAATTAACATAATGAATATTCAGTAGAGTTGTGCCTGTCATGAGTCGGTAGAATATGGAAGGTACTCAAAAGGTTTTTCCCAAACATAGGCTTGGTGCTGACAACCCAGTTTTATCGACAGTATTTTCGCCAAGGAAGAACAACTCCCCTGTCGTTACGTCACCAAGTAAGTGGCTTTGAAATTGTCTTGACATTGAAGCCCTTGTTGAGTTGTGTGTGTACTACTCTCGTAATAAAAGTAAAAAGGTACAGGTACTTCGAACGCTTTTGAGATGGAATTGTTGTTTTCACGTTTATCGTTATATTTCTATTATTATCATATATATCCTCGTATCCTATACTAGTACGAAATTTCATCTGTTCTACAATCTATATTTGGTCGAGCACTAAACGTATTTTGTCTTTTTTCGGGTGGTAACTGAGAACTAGATGAAGGACGATCTCTTTTGTTGTCTTCCCACCCAACACAATCTTTGTGCTAAGTCACTTTTGCAATCATAAAGCGACATTTGCTGTTTTTGGATACACCAGTCATCGGATGCGCGCCTATATAAAAGCCAAGATATCACTACACACATATCCATCAAATGAAAGAAAATACGCAGGTAGAATTTTCTTAATCTTATTTTCGTTCTGTACAATGCCAAAAGAGATTCTATCAAATCAACACCGCCCATGAATTGATTATACATGTGTATAATATTGGGATATTGGATGTTTACATCTTGACGGTTTTTGCGGTCGAATCTTTTTATAGTAGTCACAGGATAAGCACCTATGAATGTACTTAGCAAAGTTAGCTTATTGTTTTCACAGCTTGTAAGTATTTCCTCAAAGCTTCTCCTGCCCTGTTTCTTTTAGTGTTTTGTCGCTTAGCAAACCATGGTTTGGCATTCTATTCTCCCATATAGTCACCACACTGTAAATACCACTCCGAACTAATTCGATTGCAGGTGCTGTTCCAGTATCTTCTGGTAGTTAGCAATAAAAAATTCGGGAATGAGAGCAGCTTGCTGATTGGCAGTTTGCATTTGATGCTGTCACAGTGTGGCTACTTCTGTGAACGAATCTTTTACTCAACGATAAGGTTCGAGATGAGCAAACATCTGTATTTGTGACGTCACCTTAATAGTTATATTTTTAGTTCCGCTACCTTCTTATAGATGGCGCCAACACAGCTTCGTATTTAGTAGGATTTTTTTAATATAGTTTGTAACTTTTGCATAGTCGAAAATGCACAGAATTAGTCATTATGAAAGGTATATGGATGAATATATTTTTTATTCAGCTACTCTTCAATAGATGGCGCTGCATATCGGTAGCCACCACAAGGTCCACCATTTTAAATGACTACCTTGGGCTGCCGAAATCTGTTCAGTACGCCCCAATGCATGCAAGGAGGAGGATGCTTTGTTTTTCAACAAAGCCATAATCAATATGTAATATTAGATATAATAAACTAATCCAAACAAAATAATCTTTTCATCAAAAAACGGGGGGATTTTAACCCCCCTCACGGAAATTTAAGTTTCTTGATCTTTGTAGATGCGTTGCCATAGAAAACCACCCAAACCCCGACCAACCGCCCCTTAAAGGATCTTTTTGACTAGTTAAATTTTGTGAGGTCTGTGATAGCTCTTTACAAAGAAGCGCCATCTATGGGATGGTAGCTCAACTGAACGAATTTTTTGGTGGCAGCTACTCTCCAATAGATGGCGCTGCATATCGGTAGCTAACACAAGGTCCACCGTTTTGAATGACTACCTTGGGCTGCTGAAATCCGTTCAGTAATCCCCACTGCAAGCAAGGAGGAGGACGCTTTGTTTTTCAACAAAGCCAAATCCAATACGTAATATTAGAATATAATAAACTAATCCAATCAAAATAATCTTTTCATCAAAAAATGGGGGGATTTCTAGCCCCCTCACGGTAATTTAAGTTTCTTGATCTTGGAGGATGCCTTGCCATAGAAAGCCACCCAAACCCCGACCAACCGCCCCTAAAGGATCTTTTTGACTAGTTAAATTTTGTGAGGTCTGTGATAGCACTTTACAAAGAAGCGCCATCTATGGGATGGTAGCTCAACTGAACGAATTTTTTTGGTGGCAGCTACTCTCCAATAGATGGCGCTGCATATCGGTAGCTAACACAAGGTCCACCGTTTTGAATGACTACCTTGGGCTGCTGAAATCCGTTCCGTAATCCCCACTGCAAGCAAGGAGGAGGACGCTTTGTTTTTCAACAAAGCCAAATCCAATACGTAATATTAGAATATAATAAACTAATCCAATCAAAATAATCTTTTCATCAAAAAAATGGGGGATTTTTAGCCCCCTCACGGAAATTTAAGTTTCTTGATCTTGGAGGATGCGTTGCTATATTCTATTCCTTAATACACGGGCTTTGCTTTTCAACGAAATGTTTTGTCAAAAAGATACTGAACACTAATTAGTCCAATGTGTCTGACCTTTCAGTTTTTGGTGCACTGGTACAGGTTAATGACCTTTTATGTCCCTTACATGAAATAAAATAGGCTCATTACAAATATAAATTTATTTAAATAGAAATGAGGAGTTTTACAATGGAAAACCCTGAAATGATGCTTGTATGACCAAACATACATTAATTTACAGAATTAAAATTATGGTCAAAACAAACAACCATCAAGGACATGATACATTCACTAACAATTGACATTAACTAAACATCTACTTTCTAAATAACCTGCTTAAAATTTAGTAACTTAATTTTTACTTTATGTGCAGTAGAAAATGATATTAAATTATGTTAAAATAAAATTGCACTTCAACATTTTAGATATATAATACTGAACATCAAATCAAATCTCTCATTTTTTAGTTGTAGAGACTGGTTAATAGGATTTCAAATAAAGATAGTCATGGACAAACTTAAGATCAAGCACTACATAAATATTAACAAGTCTTTACAACAACTGAGTAGAATGTAAATACTAGTGATTTGTTGCGATTTATTTTTGATCACACTGTTGAATGTTATACACTTCATTATTTACACAAGACAGTTTTTTTTTGTGGAACCAATATTTGCCATTTTGATAAAACTCATCCCATAAGCATAATTCCAGATATTAATTTGTTTAAAGTGGACAAACTAAGATATTCTGTAAACTTTGAAGCAACCTTTAGGGAAAACCCTTTAGCAATAATTGGCCAAATATATGTGAGATGTGTCAAAATATTTGAATCTCTTCTGAACTATCACCACGTATAGCTGTTACCCCACACGCTGTTAAACATTTTATACCTAATAATAATAGTATGGTTTCATGAGATTGATGGAATTTTTTGGTAATCATATGAGACTGAGTGGTGACGTCACATGACACCAGCCATCATCGCCCGCCGCGTACGCTTCGCGCCATTCACAAACGTTAATCCGTATTTACGATTTGCGGTTAAAATGACATAACTATCATCTACAAATACTGTATTGTACCTGCGTGGAGGAAGAACGCTCAATATAATAATTTTCACAAGAGCAGTGTTTTTGGCGCATTCATGACCAACTTTTTGGGCGTAATCATCTATCCAACTTAATTTTCAGAGTCAAAATCGTGCATGTTCTGAAAGGGTGGAGCTCTTTTATCTCATATGTGCTCACAAATGAGAATAAGTTCAAGTAAATAGCTCGAAATAGCATTCAGTGTTTGCCGAACAAGATATTCGCAAAAGAAGAATTTCTGAGACGTTTGACCTTTAATAATTCAGGTCGTCGACACGAGACTCTTGCGCCAATTTATATACAGTCAAAACAAGTCCGTGGTAATTTTCCTCATCTTTCATTTCGAGGCTTTCGCTTTTATTCGTCTATTTTCTTGTGTTAAAAAAAAAGAAGAACAGACATCGAAACATGCAGTTATTTTTAAATATGAATTAAGCGATAAAAGAGTTTCACAGAGAAAATACACAATTTTAGTACCTGTGTATCATACTAAAATCATGGAGAGGCAATATTCGATCATAATGTGACATATTGACAGTATTATAATAACCAGTCAGCAGATATATAATTTCACAACCATTACCAAACACATTCCAAAAACCAATCCCCACGTCTAATATATTATTTACAAGTAGCGAATACAATAAATTTATACAAAATGTAATGAAGAAATCTCTAGGGGATGCCTATCTATTTATAGTTCCACCATAACTTATTTTTTGAAATATAATATGTAATCCAGAAATTTGGTCGTATGAAAGATAATTTTTTAACGTAGATAAAAGCCAAAAAACAACGTGAAAAAAATCGAAAAGATGATTTATTTGTTTTTTTAGCTATAAACAAGCAATTCAGAAAAATGGTGGAGACCACGTTAGTGTCTTTACGTTAGGAATTCTTGAGAAACTTAGTTTGAGGAAAATATTTAATTTTCTGTATTTCAACTTTTAGGGGTTTAGTGTAAAGAACCTGGAGTTTTTGAAAAAAATATTTTTTACGTTTTCACAAGAGATACAGAATGCCAATTTTTAAAAATATCAAGCCTAATCTGCTTTTAAACATCCCTATAGCACACGTTAGTGTGTGTGTGTTAACATTTCTTTTCACCTTTAAGATTCCATTCGTATTTTTTTTTCATTTTGAATGATAACATTTTACATGACTGTTGTATAAAAGGTGCAAACTTTAATCTATTGCTCACTGAAATACACATACATAATTTACAATTGATTTTATCGGTAACAGATATTTTCTGTCTGTAACTACCTAAACTTGTGAAATTACATAGCTGTTATAATCTTATGAGAATGTCACTAGTTTGGGCAAAGATACAAGTCGTGGACTATTTTTCCAAATACACAAATAATTTGATATATTTTTTTTTATACTCCAACTACCACGAAGGCCTAAGGCCTAAGCACCCATTGGGTACCGTGGGGCTATAGCTATATATATATATATATATATATATATATAGGGGATACATGGGAAAGGGGGAACGCCACACGGACTCTGGCGAGGGAACACGTGTGCATGCAACATGGTTCCGCCTACGAGAACAGCCGGGTGGTACCTCCGCGTTCGACAGTCAGAGACCGTCTACCACCTACGGACAATCACAACATCCATAGCAAGAGAAGAATTTCTCCTGGGATGGGACTCGAACCCGCACAGCGCACGGCGACTGATCGGGAGACCGAAGAGTCTACTACTGCGGCCACCGCTGCTGCCTAAATCATATCTTATTCAAAAACGGCCTTTTTTAATGAAACTGCCAGGTCCAAATTTGCATAAGTGCTAATCCCGATATTTGCTGCGAGACTTATGGCAACCCTAGTCATAACTACGACTGATAACACGTAGTTTTAGGAGAGTTATAATTTTTTCCAAGCTTTATAGGATTTCTGGTACCCAACTTTAATGTCACTGATGGCCAAACAAAGTTTTTCATAGTAAGGTAATCCACCGAAAATATGAAATTTCAACAGATCCCACTGGATTCCTTAAAATACATTGACAGGCAACATGCTATTCTCAACTTCTCAATAACACATGGCCTATCAGTGAAGTACTTGGAATCTATCAAAACTTATTTTCAGTTGTTATGAACAGACGAGGAACATTGAGGTTTTTTTTCGTAATTCACAAGACTTCTCTAGTCAAATCCGACATGGGTTGACCACCGGTACCAGGAATATAGCTAATTTCACTTTTGTACAGGGCTATCAAATATACAAGATGATCGTCGATTTACAAAAGTTTTATTTAGAAAGCTAAACGAAATGACTGGTGCAATATTCAGAATATTTCATGACAATCATTGGTTCCATGTTCATCTCATTGTATTTTTTATACCATAAACCTTGTATGAAAGTGGAATACGGACTTCGCAGAAGCATTATGAGAAATTACTCCTGTATAGTTTATGTAAAAATGCACGAAACTCAAATTTATTTCCAATTCATTGATAAAGGAAATTTTTCATCAATAACCATATTAGGGATTACTTAATACAAAGGATAATGGAACAAACTCCATTTTCAAAACAAAACAACTTGAACCAACACGATATGAGGTATAGAAATTGTTCAGGTGCAGTGAACAAGCGTATTTGAAACAAAAATTCATAAATCTGCGCACATACTGCATCCTAAATTTAAAACAGGCTAATTAATCAGTAGGATACGTAACAAAATGTATGACAAGTGTGACTTTTAGTGACGAATATATTCTCTTCCATACTTTGTATAAAAATAACGCCTTTGAGATATCATATTTCTGGCATGAATGAATAAATGAATCAATTCTCAAGCACCTACCAATGTCAAAATTGCTACTATGTCCAGGTTAAATATAAAAGCTGCTTATTATATCACTTAGTGATAGGTAGGTGTATTCCCTTTATGATATATAAATGATTTCTCCAGAATACACGTGAAACGTGTAGTAAATACTTTACAGATTTTTTTTTATGAACGAATACCAGTGGTCGTTATCGCTCGATACATGACACTTGTCTATAAATTGTTTTGAATCCTGCTCTCTGAATTGATTAAAGAAACGTTATCATCTTTTATATATATATATATATATATATATATATATATCATAAAGCGAACTAACAATGGAGTAGGAATTTCAACTAGTTCAATAAGCCAAACAGGTCACACTTGACCATTTTTTTGGATCCCCTGATATACACTCAAATTATATAAAAGAAATGCGAATTAAATCTATATAACTATCGGAGAGACCCTCACAAAATATAAATAATTTTCAATATATACAACTCTTGGAGTATGGAAGCAACTAAGAACGGTTTAGCTGTAAGTCTTTCATGACGCGATCAACTCAAATTATTTTTCTGTTAACAAAGTTTTGATGGAAAAGTGACCAAGGAGCCCCGGTCTCCCCTACATAATCTTATTGTGAGATTTGACCGTAACTTGAAATAATACGAACTCCCGATGGTCAAGAATTCTTCTCCGGATAACTATTTTTGTAAAATTTTTACTTTACAAGGTTTGGATGGCCTGGAGATTTTCAATTTCGGCAAATTGGACGCATGGAAATGCGGTGATCAGGGGAAAATATAAAACGTACAAAAAAGGAGCGGGTGTATCATTAGTCTAAAAATTGGTTGATATACATTTTGTAAATTCAAATGTTACAGACAATAGAAGTTTGACGCAGTGTTAAGTTACCAAATCACTAAACTGAAAATCACTTGAAAAATCTTGCCCGATATACAGAAATAATATAGACACAGAAAACGGGGTTCAGGTACATATATGCTCATTCGTGAATTTAATAACATCGGATATTAAATACTTCCACCGGGTTTCGAAAAAAATATATATACACCTTCCAGATGCGAACAAAACTCGAGGATATGGATTCGGAAAAATATATTTTCTTCTATCGATCAATATAAAAAACAATATATACATACACGTGCGAATAAGACATAAGGAAAATTCATACAAATTCGGGCACATAGTTTTTTGAATAATCGATTCTCCTATTATAAGCATCATCATAATGTGGCAAATAAATTAGCAATGTTCACTGTTACCATTCAAAGGAAATGATATCCCAACAAGCAAGGCAAATACTTTAGTACTACTTATTTTTTGTGTTGGAGATTTCCAAATTAAATTTGATGATAAAACCTTTTTATCATCAAAGAAATTTTATATTTCCAATTCATCTTTAGGGAACCCACTTCAACTATAACAATTTTCGATAACTCAGATCTCTCATTTGAATGGAGATTATTCCACAAGATACAATTTTCAAATACAAGGAGTTACATAATTTTTTGTGAGGTTTGACTGTAACTTGAAATAATACAAACTCCAGATGGTCAAGAATTCTTCTCCGGATAACTATTTTTGTAAAATTTTCGCTTCACAAGGTTTGGATGGCCTGGAGATTTTTAAGTTCGGCAAATTGGACGTATGGTAATGCGGTGAACAGGGGAAAATATAAAACGTACAAAAAAGGAGCATGTGTCTCATTAATCTAAAAATTGGTTGATACACATTTTGTGCAAATCAAATTTTACAGACAATAGAAGTTTGAAACACTGTTAAGTTACCAAATCACTAAACTGAAAATCACTTGAAAAATCTTGACCAGTGGCATATACAGAAATAATACAGACACAGAAAACTGGGTTCAGGTACATATATGCTACACCTTGCAGATGCGAACAAAACTCGAGGATATGGATTCGGAAAAATATATTTTCTTCTATCGATCAATATAAAAAACAATATATACATACACTACTACGTGCTAACAAGACTTAAGGAAAATTCATACAAATTCGTGGAAATGCGGTGATCAGGGGAAAATATAAAACGTACAAAAAAGGAGCGGGTGTATCATTAGTCTAAAAATTTATTGATATACATTTTGTAAAAGTCAAATTTTACAGACAATAGAAGTTTGGCCCAGTGTTAAGTTACCAAATCACTAAACTGAAAATCACTTGAAAAATTTTGCCCGATATACAGAAATAATATAGACGCAGAAAACGGGGTTCAGGTACATATATGCTCATTCGTGAATTTAATAACATCGGATATTAAATACTTCCACCGGGTTTCGAAAAAAATATATATATACCTTCCAGATGCGAACAAAACTCGAGGATATGGATTCGAAAAAATATATTTTCTTCTATCGGTCAATATAAAAAAAATATACATACACGTGCGAACAAGAAATAAGGAAAATTCATACAAATTCGGGCACATAGTTTTTTGAATAATCGATTCTCCTATTATAAGCATCATCATAATGTGGCAAATAAATTAGCAATGTTCAAAACACTGTTACCATTCAAAGGAAATGATATCCCAAAAAGCAAAGACTCTAGTACTACTTATTTTTTGTGTTGGAGATTTCCAAATTAAATTTGATGATAAAACCTTTTTATCATCAAAGAAATTTTATATTTCCAATTCATCTTTAGGGAACCCACTTCAACTATATCAATTTTCTATAACTCAGATCTCTTATTTGAATGGAGATTATTACAATATACAAACTCCAGATGGTCAAGAATTCTTCTCCGGATAACTATTTTTGTAAAATTTTCACTTCACAAGGTTTGGATGGCCTGGAGATTTTCAATTTCGGCAAATTAGACGTATGGAAATGCGGTGATCAGGAGAAAATATAAAACGTACGAAAAAGGAGCGGGTGTCTCATTAGTCTACAAATTGGTTGATATACATTTTGTGAAAATCAAATTTTACAGACAATAGAAGTTTGAAGCAGTGTTCAATCACTAAACTGAAAATCACTTGAAAAATCTTGACCAGTGGCATATACAGAAATAATGTAGACACAGAAAACTGGGTTCAGGTACATATATGCTCATTCGTGAATTTAATAACATCGGATATTAAATACTTCCGCCGGGTTTCGAAAAAAAATATATATACACCTTCCAGATGCGAACAAAACTCGAGGATATGGATTCGGAAAAATATATTTTCTTCTATCGATCAATATAAAAATCAATATATACATACACTACTACGTGCGAACAAGACTTAAGGAAAATTCAGACAAATTCGGGCACATAGTTTTCTGAATAATCGATTCTCCTATTATAAGCATCATCATAATGAGGCAAATAAATTAGCAATGTTCAAAACACTGTTACCCTTCAAAGGAAATGATATCCCAAAAAGCAAAGCAAAAACTTTTTAGTAGTACTTATTTTTTGTGTTGGAGATTTCCAAATTAAATTTGACGATAAAACCTTTTTATCATCCAAGAAATTTTATATTTCCAATACATCTTTAGGGAACCCACTTCAACTATATCAATTTTCGATAATTCAGATCTCTTATTTGAATGGAGGTTATTCCACAAGACACAATTTTCTGGGAGGTGATTCCTTAGGTCGAAACACATCTAAGGGGAAAACTTTTACGGATATGAATCGAGTGATCTAAAAGGCTACGATAATATAGGGTTTTAATAAAGCTTCAACAAAATCGGGTTACGATTTTTTGTGAAAAAAAGTTTGAAATCTCTGAAACGAACCATTAACAAATCTGTTTGTATGATCTTTTCTTCTTAGAATCACCCAACCACTCGGCCTAGGTCAGGTCCTTTATCAACACCTTGCAATATAAGAGAACGTCAATTTCACGCAATGACCTAAATTATTTACGCTGTTGTAACTGTACAATATCATTTCCATGAAAGATAAAAATCCAGCATATGGGTACAAAATATACAATTCAGGATAGTTGTCCTGATAACCCTCGACTTCTTGAATTGTACAAACTAAAAAGCTGTTAATCAGTGCCCAGTTCAAAGTCTTCGACGAACATAAGCTTTGCTGTTTTACAGCATTTGCAGGAAACAATGATTACGAATTATAATTAGCTGTTTCCATACTCCCATTAATGCTGTATATATTATGTATATACATGCATCCATACTAAAAATGCGACCTCTACAAAATTAAAGTAGAAAGAACAAATCACCAATTTTCTGAAATAAATGTTTTCAACGTTCACATTCATTTACATATTAAAGTATGTTACTACTTCATACAAAAAATCTTTAGAAAGTTCTCTTGTTTATAAAAACAATAATTTTTCTTAATATCCTTGTATTTATTTCGCTGATGATTAGCTAACTCACTGTACAGGTTCGAACAGTGTAAACTGTTCATGTGGGCGCACAGCTAGGCCAGGAAATCTGGATCACTATAGTCATTCTCACTTTCATCTCCTGACGAACTTACAAACTTCCTCCTCTTCCTTTTATGTTTGTGTTTTTTCGTCTTATCGGTTGATCTCTGTGTTCTAGGGGTGCGTTTCGTATCACTTTCAAACCTCCTGTTCGATATCACCAGTTTGGGCACTTTAGGTTGAGTATCCTTAAATATGTTTGCTTTTAATAAATGTCCATGGCTGTACATATACAGGGTGGGCCATTAAGTTTAGCGGATTTTAAAAAAATCATAAAAAACTACAAAGCGTAGGAAAGATAATTTATATTTTTAATATAGTAGAAACATGGGAATTTTTTTTTAAATAATATTGAATCTCGACTTCAGAATCGTGAAAACTCGCTGGCACGTGCTCGGAAATGTGCTTGAGCTGGACAATCGTCGTCGGTTTATTGGCGTAAACGCGAGGTATCCTCAGAAAAAAAAATCCAGTGGCGTGGGATCTGGGCTCCGGGGAGGCCTCGGAACATCCCCTCGTCGTGATATCAGTTTTCCACTAAACATTTCGTCCGCGCGCCATCTTGTTTACCAGGTCCTGCTATAGCAGGCTTCAAAATTATGCAGTTATGGAAAGAAAAAGTTACGTAGCATTGCTCTGTAGCAATTAGAATTAACTGTTGCAGTCTGACCTTGCTCGTTTTCGACGAAATAGGGTCCGATGATTCGTTCAGCCGACATGGCCGCTAAAAACTTTTTTTTATACTCCAACCACCACGGAGGCCTAAGGCCTAAACACCCATGGGGTACCGTGGGGCTATAGGGGGATATAGGGGAAAGGGGGGACGCCACACGGACTCTGGCGAGGGAACACATGCAACATGCACACATTCTGGCCCCGCATACGTGATCCACGGGTGGTACCTCTGCGTTCGACAGCCAGAGACCGTCTACCACCTACGGTTATCCGTAGGTGGTAGATGGTAGCCAAGAGAAAAATTTCCCTTGGGACGGGATTCGAACCGCACAGCGCACGGCGACTGATCAGGAGACCGGAGAGTCTACTACTGGGGCCACCGCTGCTGCCTGAACTACGGGGCAGGACTTTGGGATTTTCTGCGGGCCAATACCGGTAATTTTACTTGTTGACAAATCCATGAAAATGAGCTTCATCCGAAAAGAGGATATTGTTCAAACTTGGAAGGCGCTCTAACGTTGTTTCGGCAAACGATTCTGGTCCTGCGGTTTCAGTTCCTGTACTAGTCGAAGATTATATGGGTGCAATTTAAGGTCTTTTACCAAAATACGCCTTACAGATATTTTTGATATGACGAGCTCAGCTGATTTCTTTCATGATAACTGTGGACGGACGTCGCAACTTCGCTTTTCTGTTTCAGTTTAATCCCTACATTTTTGTAATAAGTAATAACACAGATCGCACGCTGCTCACCGGTGGAACCCGTGCCTGTCACGAGCAATGCGGTTTTGAAATTCGTACGTCTTTCTGGCCCACCCTGTATGTTACACAGTGCTTTTCAGAGTCAGCCCACTAATTTTTTAATGGGCAAGTTAGCAAACTGAAAACTGGGGTGATGAAACACATTTTTCAAATAGAATGGTGGATTATGTGATACCTCAATTTGAGAAAATACTGTCACAGTTGAGCATATTTGTGCATAGAATCGCTCATTACTCAACAATCAATCATCAAAATGCTGTATGTTATATCAATCTTGTTCTCATGAATGTGCCATAAAATATGGGACATTCCGATTAACAAATTGACAGACTTCAAAATTTTGTTTCAAATGGCGTGTTCCATTTTACAGTGGACCCCCGATAATCCTGCCCCTGTCTAATCCGGCGCCCCCTGTAATCCGACATGTCTTTGAATATGTATCACATACATACGTATTTGACAATCTTCGCTAATGTAGATCACACAGGTTTGAACAGGTTACAACTTGTACGCGCCACCGCTATCGTGCTTGACGCGTAAGCATTGTTTTACTTAGTTTGAATTTGACTACTTGTGATAGCGGTACGGCCTAGCATGCGTTCATTGTTTACTATTTATTCATTGTGTATTAAGTATAGTACCTAGTAATGTCATCACAAACTCAGAATCGAAAGCACAAAACATTGACAAAGAAAAATGTGATATTTTAGACCGCTTAAATCGCAATGAAACTTTCAGTAGTTTAGCAAGTGAATACGACGTAGGCCGATCTACAATTTATGACATTAAAAGAAACCACGAGCCAACTACTGACTGCGGGCCAGGCAGGAGACAGACACTCGAGAAAGCTGAACATTCAGAAGTGGAAGAACCTTTGTACATGTGGTTTCCTCAGGAAAGAAATAGGCATGCACCAATTTCAGGACCCATGTTGGCCATGAAAGCTAAGTTTTTTTATAAAGAAATAACAAAAAAAGATGATTTTGTGGCCAGCAAAGGATGGCTCGAACATTTTAAAAGTCGTCATGGCATACGTTTAATGACTATTACAGGAGAGAAACTTTCTAACGATGCCACCTGCATAGAGCCCTTTAGATTAAGATTTTTGCAAAAGGTGAACGATTTAAATCTTGACCCGTCACAGGTGTATAATGCAGACGAATAAGGGCTTTTTTGGCGTGCGATGCCTAACAAAACTTTCGTTTCTTGTAACGAAAAATCCGTACCTGGACGAAAAGTAAGTAAAGAGCGTGTAACCATACTACCATGTGCTAACGCTGCGGGCACACACGCGCTTAAGATGATGGTCATTGGGAAATCTAATAAACCACGGGCATTCAAAAACATTGATTTACCTGTACACTATTACGGACAAAAAAGTGCATGGATGACAAAAGACCTTTTCATAAAGTGTTTTGATGAATGCTTCGTACCTGAAGTTAGAAAATGGTTAAAAGATCATAATTTTCCTCAAAAAGCGTTGTTGCTTCTTGATAACGCTCCCGGTCATCCGTCTGAAGAAGAACTAACAACTAAGGATAAATGCATCACTGCGATGTTTCTTCCGCCAAATTGCACTACACTGATTCAACCAATGGACCTGAATATCATTCAGTTGGTCAAGCAAGACTATAAGAAAAACCTCTGAGAGCCGTATCAAAAGACCAACCAACAGAAAAAACTTTAAAAGAATTTAATATGAAAGACTTGGTTTTTGCTCTTTGTCAGTCGTGGAATGCGTTAGCGTCATCAACTGTTAAATCGTCTTGGAAAAAGTTATGGCCAGATATAGTCACCACTCCTAACAACGTTCCACAAATCAGTGTTACTTCGGAAGTTATACAACAAGTCGCTACTGAAACACAGATAAGTCCAGAACATTTGGAAAACTGGTGCCGTGGAATGGATAAAGAGGAAAATGTTTTTCATGAAATGTCTGACGAAGAGATTATAAAAGAGGTTTCTAATTATACAACAATCAATCAGGAAAATAACGACGACGTGATTGCATCTGCTCCATAAGTCATAGCACAAGACGCAATTAACGCCTTTGAGCTAGGTTTACAATGGCCTGAAGAGAATGGTACATCCTACAACGAACTTTTACTTTTGAAAACACTGTATAATGTATAACAACCTTAAACAAACAAAAAATTGATGAATATTTCCAAGCTTCATAATATGATAAATTCATTAATAATTTTGATTAATAATTCTTGATTATTTTGGTACATATGTATGTGCATTTATGCTTAATTTTATAATAAAACGTAAGCTCTCTATTGTTATTTAATTTACTAAATTCGACATACATAAGCTATGTATGATTTGTACTTCAAAGTACATACATATACATAACATATATAATCTTACCATTGGATATGTAATTTGTCGGATTCCAAGGTACTCTTTTGTAAAAAATTCTGGACTATAGGGGGTCTTAGGCAGTGCTGTATAATCCGATAAATTCGATAGTCCGACACTGCCCTGCATAATGTTTGTCGGATTACCGGAGGTCCACTGTATTACATATTCGGATAGATCCTTCCAAGAGAAGAATGATAAACATACATTGTTTTGCTGACAAAATCCATCAAATTTGATAGCCTGCCAGTCCGCCTCTTGGAAAGACAAGTCATTTTATATTTTAGGATTATAAAGTACTTATAATGGGCTCGAGAATAAGGTGTGACCCCCTCCCCCATTCTGTTACTGCATCAGCGAGGTTGGTGCTAAAATTTGATCTCAGAAAATGTGGATGAGATCAGATAGTGGAAAGATCTGAATCTGAATTTATGAGGTTTTTTTTGAAAAAAAATTAAAACCCATGGCCATGTTTTACACATCACAAACGGATTTGAAAAAGTTACTGATACATTGATTAAACTTTTCTATTTCACATCCTGGAGTAGTAGTCATAGCAGTATTTTATTCAGCCAAAATACAAAAACATGTTTCAAATGGAAAGTCATAAAAAAGAAACATGAACATGAAAATAATCTCAATAAGGGGTCAAAATTCCGACAGTGATGTGTGATTGACATTATTGACAGGAGCAGTTATTGGTTTTTCTTCATTCGCTGCCAACCTAATAAAGTATGTTCGATAATTAAGAGGAGCGTTTATTCAAGTCCAAGCTGTCGTTGAGAAGTTTAAAAAATTATTTAGGATTTTTTTAATAAATTAAAAGTTAATACTTAGAAAAATATTAAATACGCACAGTTACTAAACTCGAGGAAATGATGGTTTTATCCGCGAAAATATACAGGCTGTTCAAAAAGTATTGTTAGGTCAAAATTTCTCGAAAAATACGTTTAAAAAAAATATTGTAGAACAAAGTAGTAATATTTGAAAAAGTCATCTAATGGTAATTTTGAACGTGAACCACACTAATGCGAAACAAATGACCTGTATTTTACACCACTTCCACGCGGGCGGAACCGCAGGTTTAGTCTAATACCAAATAAGCTCCCCGACATTTCTCTGGCCATTTATTAAATTTTCACTATGATATGCTCCTGGTGATCGTTGATAATGACGCAAACAAAACAAAGACACTGAAAATATAATAACATACCTTGTAATTGTCGAGTACAAACTGATCAGCTTCGGTAAGTATGGAGGAGACAGTCCCAATTTGGTTCACTTGTTGATTTGTATTTGCCAATGCAGTGAGTACCTTTGGAGCATTTTCCTCGTCATCAGGATCATCCGGATCTAGTTGCAGCATGAGCTGTTTAAACTGTAAGGAATGCATATTTTCAAACAATATAGCTAAATGATGACAACTAATGCATAAGGAACATCAAAGTCATACTGGCAATGAAGGAAGAAAAATCATGATTAAAAGAATGTCTTCGCATTTCAAATACATAATATATACACCTGTTCCTTAATGATATGCGAATATTTAAGGGTGTGAATCTACATGAAAAATTAGTGTTAGTTTGCTTTATAAACTATGGTCCAAAAATGTTTCCTTACAAAAACTCGGGGTGTTGAAGTTTTAGGAAAAAAATGGAAATTAATTAATATTTTCAGAACCGCTTCAGATATTTCACTGAGAATTAGTACGTAGTGAAAGTTAATAAAGTTGCATATTTCTCAATGCAAAAATAATTTTTAGCTTTAACAGTGGAGTGCGTACGGATATTGACTTCGATATTTTTTAAGAAAAAAATGGTACGCCAATGGTTTTTTGCCAAATAAAAATTATTTTTGAATACCCCGTTCAATTTAAAACAAATGATCTCTCTTGAATTGTTTCCCTTCGATGCGCCATTTTTGAGTAAAAAAATAAAAACCGACCTATTGTCCGAGAAAATTAATGTAATTAAAGAATGAAATTTAGCAATGAATATCTAGTTGCTCTGGAATATGTCACTTGCTTTTGACGTCTGACAAGTCTCTGTTAATCAAATGTTTGCTGTGACATCTTTTTCATTATTTAGTTTTTACAATCTTGTTAATAATGGTGAATTATTTAAATGCAGAAATGGCGGAAATGCATTATGTATGTGGCCTTGCCGACGGTAATGGTGACCAAGCCAGACAGATTTATCACCAGAGATATCCCGATCGTGCTTTGCCAGAACCTTTTCTAATATTCATCGTCGTCTTGTTGAAACTGGTTCTGTCCGAAAAGGAACATCTGAAGGTAGACCTCTAAGTGTGAGAACCCCTGAAATTGAGGAAGCAGTGCTACACGAAGTCGAAGAACATCCTGAAACGAGTACGAGGAAGATCGCTAGACACTTAAATATTTGCCATCAAATTGTTTGGAGAATTTTAGTGGATTTTTTTTTATATCCTTACCATATTTTCCCATTGATTTTCCAAGGCGTGACCTTTTGCCAGTGGTATCTTCAAAAAATTACACAATATTCGCAATTTGAGGCTATGATTCTGTAGCCGACAAAGTTATCAATTTCTAAATTCGTTGAAATAATTCGTCATGCCGCCTACCCTTGTAAAGATTCGGCGCATCGATAAAATAGAAATAAACATAAAACTAAGGACAGAACAAACACTCGCATCTGCAAACCACCCAGTGAACGCCAAGGGAAACCAAATTCATATTACGAAGAAAATAGATAATAGAACCGGATGCTATAAAGTTGGACTTTTCAAATATGCCGGGACAAAAACAGGGTTTGGAGATATATTCTGTAATAACATTTGGTTGCTATAACTATAAAGTTACAACCAAAGGAGTGCCGAGAAATTTGAATCTCAACCATTTGGTTAGCAGATGTTAGAAACTACACCGAGCGCTGAACGATCACGCATCATGGGATATCTAAGACTTCCGAAGGCTGGCATATTACTAAAAATTGTCATAATTGTGGGAAAATATGAAAAAGAGGAGACAAATAGCTAGGTTTTTAGTAGAATTTTCCCCTAGCTGATAGGAGCAGGTGCGCCAGGCTGGATACGATTCTACCTTCTGTCAACGTACGCGTTGACAGATGCGGTTTGGAAATTATCATTAGAGAGGAGCAGGTGAAACTAACGAAAGACTGCGTAGTTCCAATGAAGCTAATTTTGCTAAAAATATACATTAAAATTCTAGAAGAGAGTCACCGTTAGTTTTACCTAAATGCTATGTATAATTTTATAATTATTTAAGAGAGCATCTCGAATTGTGGCCTCAGCATTACAGGAATTCCCAATCCATTGAAATTATTGAAAACTGCAGGGTTTGCCCCAAAGCAATTAAAGCCACTGAAGGAGGCGTGTTTCGTAAACTTAAGGGAAGACTGTACGCTGACGACACTCCTTGAGGTGGACAAGGGAACGTAGTTAACCAATAGAGTATAAGGTCATTTTGAGTTCAAAAATTAAGTCTAACAATCATTGGTCAGGTTAGTTTCCATCTTTAGAGAATCAGACGACCATTGCAAGGGTTTTAAACTGATCGACCAATAAGGAGACAAGGGCTGAACTCGTTAAGAAAAGTGATCAGCCTTCTGATGGAGGGGAAAATCCGCAACTGACCTCCGATAATTTTGAAGCTAAAAACTTCAGTTCTTCTCTTAACTTTGATTTGTACGGTTGAAAAAGTTGCTCCGATTTTCCCTCAGTTAGTGGCTGTTAATAAGTGTTGCATAGGTAGAATTTGTGTCAAGTTGTGATCTCATCAGTAAGCACTTCCAGTTACTCAAAAGGGGGCTTTTCCCTTCTTTATTAGCCCTTCTGGCTAAAGCAACACCGAGTCAACTAAGGATTCTATGCATTAGCTTGATTAATTAGCATTGTAAAGTTGAGATTCTAGAGTTTAATTTTGCTATTAGGTTTAAACTTAAATTTATTGTAATTTAGTTGTCACCGTTCCTTTTAACTTAGTCGTAATTCACTCCTCCAGTGATCTTTTCCCCAGCCTATTAGTTTTACGAAGTTAACTGTTCTTTGTCATTCCTACTTCACTCTTCACGAGTGCATAGATGTTTCGAGTCTGTAATTCAATTATTAATAAAAATGAGTCTTCTTTAACTTGAGTTCCATTAATTTCATTAACTGAAGCTAACTGAGTTCGAGATTTCCGAAAGTATTCATTCGGGCGTTTACCACATTCTCTGATTACTTGGAGAACAGAGGAAGCATCATTCCGCGTAAAGTGAGCGTTTCAATGAGTCAAGATTATATTACTTTATGTCAGGTTCTACGCGACTCTACCTCCTATAGGAACACAAGTAAAAGGTAACTGAATTTGAAATTGGAGGGGAATCGGACCAGTCCAGAAATTGAAGTATTGGACTGGAGATCCGAACTATATATTCAAGGCACGACATTGAGAGGTCCGGGAGTCTCGGACGAAGATCCTGTTACATAAAAATGGCGCAGTCCGGTTCAGATAAGTAACCGCATAACAAAATGACTACTATCAATAACCAGTAAATCATTGAGTTATACATAAACAATTAAAGTAAATATTAAATCAAACAATAATAATAAAGGTTGGCTCATGCGGAGAATCTGACAAATACATATTGGGAGATATAAAATATTAAGACGATGAGATTTATAGTTTACTGCTCAGTGTACTGTCTACATAGTTTAGAAAGTCAAAATAGTTACATGGAATTGATGTTGAACTAATGGTCTATCACATAAAAGAAATGTTGGATTTAGCACAGCAAATCGATAAAGAAAATTAACGCTAGAATTGGAGTTGTAATGGAGTTATAGTCGAGTTATAAATCTTGCATTTCAGAAAACATTAGAGATGAACATCCAGAAATTCAAAGAATACGGAACTTCCAAGATATAATCCAAGTGTCATTGATTTTGTGAGAATAGTAAAGCTATATAACTTTGACAAGAACATATTAGTACTATATTCTTCCATTGTTCTCTTTAAGATGAAGGTTTATTTAATTTCAAAAGTAGACACTACCACGTTAATTTCTGAGTAGTTAAGGTGTTACCGGTAGCAATAACTTCACGAAAAATAACATAGAAGTATTTCATCTCATCATGTAATTGGTTTTATGAAGAGCCATAACGAAGAAGAAAAATATCTCCAGATATGTATCACTTTGCATATATGAATGAATTTTTGCGTCAAACCAAGGATGGGAGAAAACTCCGACAAAGGTCGTAAAATAGGTATTTTCATTTTTCTGTAGAGTATTTACGAGAACGAGCTAGATACACGTACAGTTAACTAGAATTGAATTTTGAGATCATACAGTAAAAACATAATTTGAGTTTCAAGTCAAGCAAGAATAATTGTTTAGAAATTAAGTTAGCGAGTTACTACCACCGAGAGAAAAGTCGAAGTAACGTAAAGAACAGTAAAGAGTAAAAACTTTCAACAATAAGTACTGAAGAACGAAATTGAGCGGTTTAAACCAAGATTAGATGCATAGATAGGGACGGTAAATCACTCTGCAGAAAGAGGAAATGCTTCGCGCTAGCTCCTGTCTGGTTAGGGAATATTGGTACAAACTTCAATTACGAAATTTGAATTTTTTCATACAGACTACAGACTTAACAATTACACTGAGTCTTAGAACATTAATTTTGATGTTATATGATAGAAACAACGGAGAAGTCATTGAGTCAGAAAACCGAGCCTATTTCATTATGTAAGTAAACTTGTCGACCTAAATACGTTATTGAAGGAATATGTCTTTGTAAGGTGACAACAAAAGAGAGATTTAATTAAGACCGATGATAGTGCTTATATATTGAAGGTATCTGACAAGTTAGATTAAAGCCACTTGATTGTAAAATTCGTGTGAGGAATTAAATTAGTAAGATGGAATCATGGTACACAAAGTCAATTGTATAGTCATAATTACGAGTAATTGCATCTTGAATTGTCAGACAGCCTCTGATGGAAATGGTCTAATTTAATGGGCGAAAGTCAATGTAAATAGCAAATTATGTAAATATAGTCCATAAGTTATGACTTACACCCACTACATTTGTTTAAATTCATTAGAGTTAACGATCATGAATAAGGAAAAATGTCTGATCAATATGATCATGATCAATAATGATTTTTCAACGTCTTTTGCCTACGTTCAGAAAGAAATCTTGAGACATTGGAATAGCCAATAATTGCAAAATTCATAAGCTTGAAGAAGAGTAAAATCCTATGAATTAAAGAAGATGTACCAGAGATTACCGTTAAATAAGTTTATCAAAGGTCGGGTACCAGTCATTTATTGCATCCTTCCAAGGAACGTGAACGGGGTCAACGGAACCCATCATTGAACCTGCGACAGGTAGGGCCACGTGCCTGGGCACGCGTAAGCTCTACAGGTAGTTCTAGAAAGGGCGCTGCTAATTGCGGTTCGCCAGGTACTGACTACCTGTTGTAGTTCAGGTCAAGTGTACAGAGATTTGCCTTGAATTTGCCTTGTATGCAAGAATGAGTGATCTGGCCAGAACTAGTTAAAAAAAAAAGTATACATGTGTAGATATGTACATACGTAGGGTGGCGAATTAGACAATTCTCGAAACCAGTGTAAGGGCTCATCAGCACATCAGACAGCAAAGGTGCATTAAAAATGACGTAAGAGTACTTAACAGAGACCCCAGTCAGCAATTAAAATGGATTAAAAAGCAGATACCTTCGCCGTAGACTTGTTTCTTCTTGTTAGAACTAGAGTCTCAGATTTAAGAATAAGAATAGAATGGAAATAAGCAATAGCTACGAACGTGCAGGATAAATTAGATATTTCGATTCGAAACAAATTCAGTTTTGCATTATTCAACTCGTTATTTGAAAATTTAAGAAAAATTGAATCATCAGAGCAAGTTTAACAAAGTCAGCTAGAGTTTGTGCCACCGGACAGTGTATGCTGGTGCCAACGGGTGAGAGTTGGGAACAGACAACTCCTCCAACATGCCGAGCCTCGGACTGAAGAAAGAATCTTCGGTGAAGAGATCTGAGGCGAAGATTTCAACTGCAAAGCTGCGAGGCCAAATCATGTTGTCTTTTAGTATCTGTTATTTGACAGCATCGGCGACACAAATGACTTATTAAGAATTTTATTTACAGGTCTTAACGGTTAATTTGGTCTACTCGAAGTAATATAACTAATAGTAATCTCGTTTTCAGTAAACTTAGGATTGGTTTTAGCCTAATATAAATTCTGTTTCAGCAAACTATACATAATTGAGCTAATGTTAAATCTTTTCACAGCTTCAACCAATTTCCGTGTGAATTTGAAAAAGAATGTTTACTCTATACATAAGCTAATAATATAAATTTTGTTCACAGCTATAGCTACTCTCTTTTCAGCAATTAATTAGACCAGAAATTGCTTTAATCAGTTAATAATTTTGTTTCAGCTATAATCAGTCTTTATTTTCAGGAAATATCTAGATAAGGAATTACTTTAATTAATTAAGATTCGTTTTTCGGATAGTATTTAATTTCAGGAAAAATTGGTCAAGGAATTATTTTTCGTTAGAATTAGAATAATACTCATTCTGTCCACAGCTTTAATTAATTATTTTCAGGAAATTTAGTTAAGAAATCGTTTCAGGAACAAGTTAATATCAATTTTGTTCACAGCTTTAACCACTGTTTTTTTCAGCGTGAATTTAGAAATAAGATATTTTTCTTGCAGCTATAATAAATGATTTACGCTTTAGTTATTTGTTTTAACTAAATAATTTTCCCACAGCATATTTCGAAAGTCGTCTTATTTCTTTCAGCTATCGATAAGGATAATTAGTCGTTGAAATAGTTATTACCCATATACTATAGGTTTTTCCACATTGAAGAATAGGGTAAACGTACCTAGCCTGAGCCAGGACGAAAGGAAGAGAAAAATAATGTGTTTAAAATTTAGGTTATGATGAACTGTCATTCCAGTAAGGAGCCAGGATTTGTCGATAACTTTATAAATTGTCCTGTTATTATTTATAGTTTTCAGTCGCAACGACGGATAGCGGAAGAGCGTTTCGAGTTTCTTTTGGGTTTGTTTTGTCACTAATATAAGTTGGTTGAAAAAAAATCCCGAAATTGGTGGTCATTCCGTCACGTCGTACTTAGAAATTGCATATGAAAGGGCGATTAGTGGCCCTTCGTGGAAGTTAGGAATAGAAATTGATAGAAACATGAGGGAGTTGCTTAGATAATCGGGGTTAAGGCAATTCGATTAAGGAAAGAGAAATATATATTATGTAGGTCGGTGTTCGCAGATATCAACAAATCGATAGTCACCGTTAGCTTAGTAAAGTCTGGAGTTGTTAAGCGCTTAAATTTACCAGTTGCCCTGGACCATCATAGGATCATCACGGACATATCCGGAAACGTTATCCAGAAACGAGGATCAGCGAGAGTACGATTCAACCTCCGACGTATAGAAATGGAACACTTATTCGTCATCTGCAACAATGATCTGAATTTTCCAGCCGACGGACTATTAGGCATCGATTTTTTGGATCATCATCGACCTATCCTCGATTTTAATGGTGGATTAATGATAGGTTATAGGGAAGATTTTACCCCTGAAAGTTATGCAACCCCTTTGGATGAATAAGCCAGCTACCGAGGCTCCTAGCTGTCGCGGATTACAAGAAGGATCTGGCTTGATTTCCCCAGACGCAAAGGAAATTGAGAAAAGGAGTCTTTGGGCCGAGACTGACACTGTCAGCTATGGAAGTACCTTTCAAAAATTGTACCCATAGAGACGCGTATGCGCAACCCACACAGGTTTCTAAGGTGCCTGTCGTGAATAGGCGACAACTGCAGTCCTGCGAAAACGCGGATTTCCAGGGTACGGGTGCGGCGATCCCCGCGAAAAAGAGTAAGTCAGTTGCAACAAGGGGTATGAGTACTCACCTTCCTACGGGTCACCAGGAGTCAAGCACGACTTCTCTTGACGTCTTGGTCCAACAGACAATGGATCCAACCTTTTCGAAGTCCAATGCCGCCACCAGCGACCTCAGTATTCCAGTGGACAGTCGACACCCATCGGGTACTAAGGTCTGCAAACCCTTACATGTCTCCCCAGGGATTTGCGTAGCCAGAACTCTGGTAGACATACCCAACGACACACAGAGAAGTCGCCGGACAATCGCGATTAGAATAATCAACGTTTGTCCGTCGACTCAAGACGATTCGTAAAAACACACCTACTTCGATACTGATGAGCGCCAGCGCTGAAGAGATCAGCCAAAATCTTCTTTCATCGCAAGTCAATACAATTAACTGCAGCAGTAAAGTTTCAGCAATAGGTTTTGAAGACGACAACGGAACGTCAATGGAAAAATACCTAAAGGGTAAAGAGTGCCAGTATATAGAAATCCAGGACCTTCTGGAGGAATTTAGAGATATGTTTGCCGAGAAAGGAAAACCTTTAAAAGCTACGTCCCTAGTCAAGCATAGGAGTGACACAGAAGATAACCCACCAGTTTATAAGCCACCTTATCGCATACCATTAAAGTTACAGCAAGTAGTAAGAAAAAAAAAAGTCGACGTGTTACAAGGCGGTAAGGAACAGTCCACGCAAACCAGTTGAAAAAGAGTCTGGCCACAGAAAAATCCAGGAAACCAACTGGGGAACGTACTGATGAAGTTTCGGTAGACAGAAAATATACCACCAATCGGAATCGGAATTTATAGCGGACGGGTAATGCAGAGTAAAACAGGTAACGAAGTGGCTGATCCCAATTTGTCCAATCATCCTTAACCTGTGGTTAGCCCTATTCCTCCTGCTACCTAACCACGATTAGGATCAAGACCTCAAGGTAGACGCATTACCGGCGAAAGAAGAACAGGCAAGAGGCTCCACCGGAACTATCAAGAAGACATGCCAGGAGTGAAGCGCCTGTAAATTGAAGTATTGGACTGGAGATCCGAACTATATATTCAAGGCACGACATTGAGAGCTCCGGGAGTCTCGGACGAAGATCCTGTTACAATTCTGTTCACGGACTAAGCTAATTTTTATCGAAATGCCATTCAGAATTTCCACAATAATGATTTGTGGGCAGAAGAAAATCCCTATGCCGTAACCGAAACCCATTTCCAATACCAATTTTCAGTTAACGTATGGGCAAGAATTATTGGCAACAACAGTTGCATTTGCTGCTTGATGATGTTCTGTTGGTAATAAGAAACAATATGCGGTATATGCATGATGGTGCACCAGCGCATTTCAGTGTAGCGGTTCGTATTTATTTTTAAACTGTTTATCCAAATCGTAGGACTTGCCGCGGTGGGCCCCAAGAATGGCCACCAAGGTCCCCAGACCTCATTAGTTTAGATTTGTTTTTGTGGGGCTATCTTAAGATACTAGTGTACACAAGTCCAATTAACACTGTAGAGGAATTAAGAGAAAGAATAGTCGCAGCTTGTGATAGAATAAAAAACACTCCAGGGATATTTCAACGAGTGCGCAATTCCACGAGGAGGGCGGAAGCAGGCATACTAAGTGAAGGGGGTCATTTTCAACAATTTTTGTAATCATTTCGTTGGTTTTAATGTTATGTTTATGTTGTCAGTTGTGTGTTTAATTTTTTCAATTAAATTAATAATAATTTTGCAAGTTAGACGGTTTTTATAGCTCAAAAATGGCGCATCGAAGGAAAACAATTCAAGAGAGATCATTTGTTTTAAATTGAACGTGGAATTCAAAAATACTTTTTAACTGGCAAAAAACCATTGGCGTACCATTTTTTTTAAATATCGAAGTCAATCCGTACGCACGCCACTGTTGAAGCTAAAAATTATTTTTGCATTGAAAAATATGCAACTTTATTAACTTTCACTACGTACTAAATATCAGTGAAATATCTGAAGCGGTTCTGAAAATATTAATCAATTTTCATTTTTTCCTAAAACTTCAACACCCCGAGTTTTTGTAAGGAAACATTTTTGGACCATAGTTTATAAAGCAAACTAACATTAATTTTTCATGTAGATTCACACCCTTAAATATTCGCATATCATTAAGAAACACCCTGTATATACATAAAAGTATATCACTTAAGTAAAAATTTGGATTGCATAAAATAATCTCAAAATATAAAAAATGTAGTCTTAAATACTCAACACGAGATATACTTACATCTAGGTACTGCCGAATGAGGTCTCTTCGACCTTCTTCATCCAGGCATGTGGGTGGATTACCTTCTTTCAGTTTATGCAAGGTAGACTTAGGGTTGAAGAGAGCATTCGACCTCCTGGTTATTGCCTTTTCATAGGCTTTGGCTGGCTCCGATGGTGAATACAGCTGTATTTTACTGAAAATAAAAATAATATATTGTAACGAAAACACCGAATCTTCACCACCATCTTTTACGCGCCGTTGACGGTCTGAACTGTGTCTGTAGACGGCTTCCGCCATCTGGTTGGATATTTCTCCACCTATCGACGCGCCGAGGAATGGTCCAGCGTTTTGCAGATCAAGACGTGAACTTCTATAGAAGTAATAATCTAGATGGCAGCAGGTGCATCCAAGGGGGGGGGGGAGGCGTTACAATATTATCAAGCTATAGTAGTATCACTCCGGTAATCAACCTGTCACCCTTTTATCAAGCTGGCAGTGTACTTACATAGGTTGAGAAGTGAGCCATTACTGGTCAACACTGAAAATAACAGAAAAGATTTGGCCGTCGAACTGGTGCAGTTCAGTTTAAGAGAGGAGTGAGGTACTAACGTTCATAGGTTGTGTTTTCATTCTGCTAGCATTAAAAGCCATTCTCGAACATTTTCCCGATTATTGAAATACTCGAGGATAGCCAACATATATGACTAGCTATGCCTAATATTGATTATTTTTCACTGATTTTCATATATTTCGAAATACCAAACTGATAAAAAAGTTAGCAGGGTACAATTTTAGATGACATTTATTATATAACCATGTTTTTGTTTTTTACTCACTTAGGAAGATAAAAAGCTACTTCTCAATACGGCATGGCAGTCAATTACGTGTTTTCTGTAACTGTGCGCTTTCTATAGCTATTATTTGAAAGCATTTTTTCGCGAGTCTACGGTGTAGCACAGTGCACTACCGGGAACCGATACTCAAATTTTCGCGAAGAACGGGAATAGGGGAAGACGGATGTCAATGTCATTTAAAAAACAGACATGTCAATTGAAAATTTGTCTTCGCAGTGCCGAAAAATGAGTTAAATTATTAAATCATAAGTGGAGAAACACGTCCAGCTGATTTTAAATGACGAGGGAGAAGGTCATCGAAGATATAGGAACCGCATTTGTCATATCAAATGCTTGATTTTTATTGATATATTATGTACATTGCATAAAAAACGATCGGTATTTTCAATTTAGAGGCCCGAGTAAAGATAACATGGCCACGCAAGACAACTATTGAAATATACTCTACTAGACTATCCGTAGCTAAATTATAATATATAAAAAAGTATACAAACCCGTCGCTCAGACCATACACATCCTTGATATGCTGCTTTAGCATGAGCAGGAGGAAACAGCCTTGGGCTGCTGTAATACAAGCCTGTAGCTGACTTGTATCTTCAGGTACACGGGACAATAACATTCCTTCATCCTCATCATCTTCATCAAGTGCTGATATTGCTGAAATAGCATGCAACGCACCTTCGTTATTTTCGCTCTCCATTATCTGTTTTTGTTGGCCTTCCGTCATTATCAAACCCTAAAAGAAAACAAGGTATCTAAACTCCTGTATGACGGCTGATTCATATACTCCATCTATAACCCCATTGCAATAAAGCTACATTTGATGTACCACTGAGAAAGTTCACATTTCAGATATGAATTACGCGGTAACCGTATACGCGAGGAAGTGGGGAGAGGTCTTGATCGACGCGTTCGGCGTGCGGGTTAAATAGTCACAATGGAACGTTGGACCGCAGCGCAACGTGTTTTTGCTATCGAGGCTTACTTTAAGATTGGTGATTCATACGCAGCTGCCCTTCGGAAATTTTTTACATGATACAAAATGCGCCGACCAAGAGATACCCCAGTAAGAACCTATTGAGAAAGTGGATTAAGAGGTACAGTGAAACAGGATCTACTCTTAGTCAACCCATTCCTGCCCCACACCTACTGTATCAACCGAAGAAAATGTGCATCGAGTAAGTGATTCGATCATTGCAAATCCTCGGCGTTCTGTGCGGAAGCATTCCGCTGCTTGCTTTGCAAATCCCTAGGTCAACACTGCATGTCATAATGAAGAAAAAAATGGGCAGCAACGAACTCAAAAGAAAAACATCAACGACAGCTAAGTAGTCCAAAGGTGACTTTTGGTGCGCCATATCCCCTAGCGGTATTATTGGGCCGTATTTCTTTGAAGATGAAGACGGTCATGCATTGACAGTCAATTCCGAGCGATACAAGGACATGATCGACACTTTTTTTTAAACACATGGTTTCAACAGGATGGGACCACTGCCGGTACTTCCACAGAATCGATGGACACGACGAAAGCACTTTTTCCTCAAAAACTTATATCAAAGTTTGGAGACATTAACTGGCCTCCTAGGTCACCCGACCTCACGCCATGCGATTATTTTTTGTGGGGTTATCTAAAGTCAAAAGTGTATTCCAATAATCCACGAACACTGGAGGAGCTTAACACGTTCGCTGCGACCTGCCTCGCACCGCGCGCACGGTAGCGGCTAAACGATTTTAGGCGCTGCACAAGCGAAGCGCGGATTCGCGTCGTAAGCCTATTGGATGTGCGTTGTGTAATTTAAAACTATTTCATATATACATTTTCTTCTTCTATCTCATACAGTTCTTTTTCTGTAAGCCCTTTATTACGGTTACAATACGTTTTCACTCGTTTTGGACGAGAACAACCTGCTTCCACATCATTCGCCATTGCGCAATGTAAAAATATACGAAACTTGATCCCACGCGTAAAATAGTCAAAAAAGATGTTCAATATGTAGGAGACCAAACAGAAAGCGAGTGCGGTACAAACTGACAACACCACAGTCTTGTGAGTTTATATCAGCCAGAAGCGCGGATCCGCGCCCGCCGCCTTTCGTTAAACATCGGTCGGACGCGGATCAGCGTCGTTCGCAGTGAACGTGTTAAAGACGATATTCGACGAGAAATAAACAACATCACTCCGGAACTCTGCAAGAGAGTGTTTCAGAATTTGCGCGCGCGATTAAAGGAGTGTGTCCGAAGGGATGGCAAACATTTGGACGAAATTATATTTAAGAAATAAAACCCACCGAATTTACGAATATGTTGAGAGTAATATATATTTTCTTTTCAGTAAGTTTGTATTTTTTTTTCTTAAATCAAAAAGTGAACTTTCCCACTGGGGGTTTTATTTTTCTACATAATACCTATATTAATGCACTTAATCACTTAATGTATTCCAGCATTTCAATAGCTTTCTATGAACCGCCATACCACAGAAAGTTCACTCATAGATCGTTCTGTTTTTATTGTAAAATGTAACTACATTAATAAAAGGTCTTCATTCATTATTCTTTTTTGTACATACCTCCCTAAATGATTGTAATAGGTTAGTTCCAGAAACTGAGATCATTATGTCGATGTGATGAAATATAAATAATGGTTCATCTTGTACTTGGTAGGGGAAATAAGCCAAATTATCTGCTAGATACAACATGTGAGACAAACTTGTACGCTGCAAAAAAAAAAAATAGAATTGATAAGTGTGCAAAGCTTAAAAGATTGGAGATGAGTGGATGTAACATCAAAAATATATTTTACTCTTCAGACGCTGTTCAGTCAATTCATAAAATGGTAATGAAGACAAACAGAAAGGTTTAAGATATTATGAAATTGTTAAAATTATTACACTGATAAGACCAAAGCTTCAATATTTTGAAATGTCTTGCTATACTTACAGCTTGTTCGTCAAACTGCTTCAAAATATTAAGTATTAAGGCACGTCGTTGTTGTCGGGAATTTCTTAGAATACTGTATAAATATCCGTTCAAGGCTGACGGGTATTCTCCTTTCTCTTTCACCCTCCAGCCTCTGACAATTGTGCTGTTATCCTGCATAATTTTCTGCAGTTCATAAGACAACCTTATGCCCAAGGAAGACTTAGTATGAATGAAACCAGGGTATTTCTTTTCTATATCCAACAGCTGCTTATCTGCACTATGTGATATCACCTGTAATTCAAATAAGTTATTAAAAAGCAATGGGAAACAAATACACTGTCCAACCATTCGTTTACAATTTCTCTTTGAACTGCAAATTAACATTCGCTAGCAATCATTTCCTTCGCTTTCTGTAAATATTTTTGAAACCTTGTATGCACATTTGAATAGACCGAACTCTCTGCTGTCGGAACTTTGTTAAAAAATCGTTTGAATAATTTTTTTATCAATACGTAAGTGATATGAAAGCGATGTCTTTGTAAAAAAGTGCCGTTCTTAGAAATGAAGTTGAAGTTATTTCTTGACCTGCGGACAGACCTGGAATTTGCTACAATAATGACCTGACTCATTCCACCAACATTATATGATTTTCCAGATAAACTGGACACTCTAAAAATACAGTAGTGGACAAAAGTTTGGAAACATTCTTAGTAATTTTTAAAAAGTGTACTAATTTTTTATTCTTTATTATGACTATTTTTTCCCATATAGTTTGCTTGCAGTCCTGAGGATACAAATGACAATTTGTGTTTGCTGTGGTACTACAGACTAGCATTAAAATACCTTCATATTATTTTATGGCCAAAAATGAGATAACAAAAGTATAGAAACATATTTTTTATTACAAAATTGAATTCATTAATTCTACAAAAATATTTAAAAAATACTGTTAAGCTGATATTTGGTAGCATAGCCTTTACCATCCAACACTGCGTGACATCTGCTGCTCATAGAAGACACCAATTTTTTACACACGTTTGTTGGCATATTTTGCCAAATATTTTTTACATAAATATATCGTTCCTATGTTTAAAACTTTTACTTGTCAGTTGTCTTTTAACATCCTCCCAGAGATGTTCTTATACGGTTTAGGTCCGAAGATTGCGAATGCCATGTCATTAACAGTATTTAGTCTTAATAAGTCCTTTACGAATTTTGAGGTATGCTTCGGGTCATTATCTTGCTGGAATGTCAATCGTAAAGGCATTTCTTCTTCAACAAAAGGGAGTACGTGTTTACTAAGTATATTTTTGTAGAGTTTTAGAACCATTTTCCCAACAATTTTAACAATTGGACCCGTTCCAGAACTAGAAAAACAGCCCCAAGCCATGATGTTGCCTCCACCGTGCTTAACTGTTGGCAACTGATACTTTTTGTCGAATCTTTTTCGTATTGGACGACTCAATATGCCGTACCGTCAGATCCAAACAAGTTAAATTTGCTTTCATCGCTCCATAAAACTGTATTCCTTTGTTGTTCTGTCCAAGATAGATGAGTTTTGGCAAATTAAAGCCGAGCGTTACGATTTTTTTTAAATGAGAGGCTTTTGCACTGGACGCCTACGAAAAAGACTAAAATCTGCCAAGCGTCTCTGCATTGTTTTGACAGAAAGATTCTCAGCGCCTTCTTCTACGCTTCTTTTGAAAATCTGTGTGGCTGGCATTCGAGGATCTGCATGGGATAAACGTTTAATGTAGCGATCCAAAACATAATTGTTTTTTTTTCGGTCTTCCGCACCTGAGCCGCGTTGCTGTTGATTCGTATTCTTCATATTTACTAATAATTTTCGAAAACGTCCCTTTGTTCATTTTTAATATTTGAGAAATGTCAACGTTACTGACAGCACTTCTAAACTTCTAAATAATTCAATTACTTTGTCTCTTAGTTATTTTGAAAATTATTTTACTTGTGCCATTCTCACTTTACCGCACGCAATATCAGAGTATCGCAGAACGAATAAGTGCGGCAAAATTGAAATGTTTCCAACTGTGGTATTAAAAAAATATTGATAAGATAAACCTTGTAATAGTATGGGAGCCAAAGGTAGACTTTAATATTTATATTAACCGTTCACAATTTTTGATTTTGGTGTATGAAATAGTTCATAACAATGACTCCAAACGTTTGTCTGCTACTGTATGTTTGGTAGCATCAGTGGAACCTTTTTCAGGGAAGACGGATAACTTTAAGAAGTATAACATTACAGAAAAATCATACGCTCAGGCCATCAATTCGTCTTGCAAATTTTAAATGATTAATAATAATAGAACAACATTCATTTACCTTTTCAATATCCGTGCTCATACATATAAGATATGGTACAATATGAACAGGGTGAACCAGACCTTGTTCTAGCACAAGCTGCATGACACGTAGTGCCACCTGCCGCACTTGCATGTCATGATATAAATATGACTGCATTATTTCTTTTAAATACAGCTGAATCACTGTACTTGCCATTCCTGAAGAAACGTCGCCCATTTCTTTTAAATTTTCGTCTTTCGAACGCTTTTTCCCTGGAAGAAAAATAACTTAGGTTAAACAAAAAAAAAAACGTATTTTCAAAAAAAATTGATATTCTGTACTTTGAAACCGAAGCATTATCCTGTATTAACATCTAGATGCTGCAATAAAGTTGTCAATCTCATATACAGTAATGGACAAAACTATATAGACAAATTAATATTGTGCTGTATTTCTTTTTTAACTTGTTTAATTAATACACCAACCTGTATACATAATTCGTTGTAGCATAATACTCACTTATATATAAATAAATTCATTCGACTCCCTTCAATAAAAAATTAATTGAAGAAAACGGGAATTATGAAGGACAAAAATATACTAAGTGACATATAAATCCGAACACCCAGTTTAAATGGTTTTATTTTAATAAAAGTTGGTGAATGTATTTATCTTACTGTAAATAACAAGTGAAAAAATTTTCAGCCTTATCAGTTAGGCATTCCGGTTTTTATACTGCTTTTTTTTAATTCACTAACGCTCTAAAAATGAATATTTCAGCCGCAGTAAAGAATCAACGTTGGCGGATTTTGGTTCTTGACATCCTTTACGATCGGTTACGATGCCTAGAGTACGGAGACCTGTACGATTTCGTCAACTTAGTGAGTTTGATAGGGGCCGTATAGTGGGACTTCGGGAAGCTGGACTTTCTTTTCCGGCAATTGCAGTTAGAGTGCAAAGAAGTGTAGACACTGTGGTTAGGTGTTGTCAGGCATGGCTTCGAGAAGGCCGTACGCAAAGAGCAAGGGGCACTGGACGCCGCCGTAGAACAACAGACCGTGAAGATCGCCGCCTAAGATTATTGGCCTTAAGGGACCGTTGCAAATGAATGGTTTGCAGAACACGGAAGACCTATTGGCATGCGAAGTGTTTACCGACGAATGAGAAGTTTTGGCTTGTTTTCATACCGGCCAAACTGGGTCCTCCCATTAACTCGAGAACACCGACGTAATCGCCTTGAGTGGTGCAGACAACGGTCACTCTGGGATAAGGAATGGAACAGTATTGTCTTTAGTGACGAGTCTCGATTTTGTTTAGGCATGCACGATGGTCGTGCCAGGGTTAGAAGGCGACGTGGTGAAAGGAGGAATCCACAGTTTTTTGTTGAAAGACATGTTCATCACACTGTTGGAGTTATGGTTTGGGGTGCTATAGCTTATGGTTCCAGGTCACCTTTAATCTTCATCAGAGGTAACATGAACGCGCAGCGTTATATCCACGAAGTTCTAGAACCCCATCTTTTACCCTATCTTGACACCCTGGCAGATCCAACTTTCCAACAAGATAATGCCCGACCACATGTTGCAAGAGTCACAATAGACTTCTTTCAACATAATGTCACATTGTTACCATGGCCACCAAGATCTCCCGACTTATCCCCAATTGAGCACGTGTGGGATATGATGGGTAGGAGATTGCTCAATTTGCAACGTCCTCCTCAGACTCTAGAAGCACTTCGAGAGGAGTTGGTGGTTGCCTGGAATGAGATACCACAGGAGGACATTGACCACCTGATCAGAAGCATGCCTAGGCGCGTTGGAGAATGCGTAGCACATCAGGGCGCATCCAGACATTATTAAAGGTCAAAGGGCTTTAAAGCAGTGCAATCATTTTGAAATTTTTATAATTTACTTATTATGCTTCATTAAGTACTTATACAAAATTTTATTAAAATAAAACCATTTAAACTGGGTGTTCGGATTTATATGTCACTTAGTATACATAGACAAAGCAAAACAATTATAGAAAAAAGAAGCTAAGTTCATTGAATTATAGAAAACCAACCATGTTTGTGTTAATATTTTGTAGCATAACCATTATTATCAATCACCGCCTAGCGTCGTCTCAGCATAGATTGTAGAAGTTTCTTGATATAAGATTCATCAATCTGTCTTCACTTTTGCTCTAAAGCAGCAAAAAGGCCATTTGAGAACTGGTATTTTTTCACCCAGAAAGAATTTATTTGCGAGATTTGAAGTGTGCTTGGGGTCATTATCTTGCTGGAAGATTGATCTTAAGGGCATATTGTCTTCCATGCAGGGTAACATGACATGCTTTAGTATGTCCATGTATACAAACTTATCCATAATGCCATCTATTCTATGTAAAGGTCCCATCCCAAACCCCGAAAAGCACCCCCAAACCATAACAGACCCGCCTCGATGTTTGACAGTGGGCAAAGTGTACTTGGGGTTCAATCTTTGTCCACTAGGACGTCTAACGTAATGAACACCATCTGATCCAAACATATTGAACTTGGATTTGTCACTGAAACATACCTTCTTCTAGTCACAGATGCTCCAATCAAGATGCAACCGTGCAAATTGTAATCGGTCCTTACGGTTTTTCCTCGAGATTAGCGGCTTCTTACGCGGGCGACGTGCAAATAACTTCAAATCATTTAATCTTCTACTTATAGTTTCCGTAGAAAGACTGACAATTCCTTTTGTCTCGACTTCGGCTTTTATTTGTCTTGGGATTTTAAACGGATCTTTGAACGAAATTACTTTTATTAATCTAACTGATCTAGCATTTAGTTTTCTAGGCCGACCACTTCTCTTAGAGCTTCCAAGATACCTTTTTGTTTATATTTGTTCAATATTGCCCAAACTGCTTTACGCTTCAGCTTCAAATTTTTGGCAATGTCGACCATCTTTGTATAACTAAATGATCTTAGTTTTCACATTGAAAGAAATGATTCATATTTGTCTATATACTTTTGTCTATTACTGTATATCATGAAGAATAAGGAAAATAATTGTAAATGTCGCAAAATATTTCTGGTACTTTAGGTAAGTATTTAAAAATGTCTCCAAATGACAAAAATTGAATCAAGGTATTTGCAGGTTAATCAACATTCTTTATGAAAAACTTACATTCTAAATCCTGCTGAATCATTCTGTTATTTTCTTCAACCAAATAATTTTCTATATTTACAAGTACTTCAATTTTCATCCTCAGTGGCGCATCATCCGTCGTAAGTTGCTTATGGTAAAACATCTTCAACTGATTTTCTAACATAAACTCATAATGCCTAATGCATATTGAACCTATGGCTTTCAAGGTATTCGCCTGAACATCAATGTCGTCTCTTTTCAGAAAAAACATCATGGTTTCATAGACTTCGTCCTTGGTGGTAGGCTGAAATAGAATTTTGCTAATCACTAACAAATAAATGACATTATTATTTAGTAGTATTAGTATTTAGGTATTAGTGGTCTTATTTTTTCAAATAAAAATAGTATGCCACTGTTTTTTTAGAAACGCGCGATTTTTCGAGTTTTAACTTCAATTTGCTACAAATAATTACTCTTGTGTTTTGTCCTAGAGTGCACTGTTTTCGTAAAAATAAAAATCAAACAAATTAGAACGTTCTTGATGAGCCGGGATACAATTAGTTTCAAAATAAAATAGGAGAGCTTGATAGCAACTTGACGTTGCTTGGGAGATGGTAGTCAAAGTTGTGTTATGTGTTATATGGTTGTTATAGTTACTACTACCATTTTCTTTTGTAAAAGTCAAGTCGAAAGTTTGTTTTTTCCATTTTTGAGTATTGTGAAATAGAATTTACGCCGATATTATTTTTGTGCCAACCTACCCCAAAGGTACATCTATTTACGCGTTCATTTCTAAGACTTCGGCAATATGGAATTGCCAAACTTTCCGGAGTTGGAGGCCATGGTATCCGGCGTACTGTTCAAGAGGAACTGGAAGTGATTAATTTAACGTTGGATGATCCTAGTACAAGTGCTAGGCAGATTGCAGCCCAGTTACCATGTTCCCAAAGTCTTGAGTGGAGAATTTTAAATCGGGAAGTTTTACATCCCTACCATCGACAAAATGTGCAGTGTCTGCAACCCGGCGACGAAGTACAACGGCGAAATTTTAGTGAGTGGTTACTGCAAATGCATAATCAAAATACAGATTTTATTGATTTGGTTTTGTAGTCAGATGAATCGTTTTTTTTACGAGGAGTGGAACCATTAATTCTCATAATGAACATATTTGGTCTTTAGAACATTTCTGTAAGAATTCACTCGTTTCAACAGAATTTCTAGAAATGTCTGGCGCGGCATTTTAAATGCAAACTCATACTTAGCTTTTCTAGAGAATTACATAGAAAATGTGTTAGATGATGTTCCATTGGAAACGAGAGTACGAATGTGGTATCAGCACGACGGTGCCCAACCGCGTGTTCGCCGTGACATAACCTCATGGTTAAATACTCATTTTAGACAACGATGGATTGGCAGAAACGGACCCGTACATGGACCTGCGAGGTCTCCTGATTTGAGCCCCCTGGATTCTTTTTTGTGGGGCGCTTTCAAACAACTAGTGTATGCTGAACAAATTAATACTGTTGATCAGTTACAAGAAAGAATAGATAATGCGTTGCATCAAATTCAAGCCACAACAAATTTTACGGAAATACGTTTTTCTTTATTAAAAAGATGCCACACGTGTAACCGTCAGAATGGTGGTCCTTTGAAATGAAGCTTTGATTATCAACTTTGATTTTTTTATTTTTACGAAAACAATGCACTCTAGGAAAAAAAAGAAGAGTAATTATTTGTATCAAATTAAAGGTAAAATTCGAAAAATTGCGCGTTTCGTAAGAAAACAGCGGCGTAATATTTTTATTTGAAAAAATAATGCCACTAGTCCCCTGTATCTCCGCCACTGGTGCACGTTAATTTTAAGTAAACCCTTTTGAATGTGAACAATACTTAAGCACATACCAAATTTTAGTTGATTCCACTTGACGGTTTTGAAGATATTAAAATAATTGATTTTTATTTTTAAACTTCAACACCTCGTATCTTTTTAATGAAGCCCTTGAGGAAAAGATGTTACATAGAAGACCCCCCTTAAAATGCAGTCCTCTGTATGATGTTTCATTTTTGTCACAACTTGTGAAACACCCTGTATAGAAGTGCTGACAAAACAGGTGTTCTTCCATCGTGATTACAGCAAAAATAAACAAGAAGGTTAACCACTTACCGAAAGGTCTCCTAGCACCTCAGGATCCTTGAAATCAAAATGCCTTAACAACATACCAACGATAAACAAAGCTCGTCTAAAATATGGCTTCAGCTTAACGTCGTTCAATATTTCTATGAAATCTTCCTCCATCCATGTCTTATACTTGATCAGATAATCGTAATATTTCTTGAAGCAATCCCTGATAAGCTTATAGTTATGGGTAACTTTGTTGATGATTGACCCTAAACATGACAAACAGCTGCTGACTATAGGTCTGTCATGTTGCAAGACCAGCTTGATGGCATCTTCTTCTAGTTGAGCTAAGAACGTATCACTGGGATGTTCCATCAGAGGCACCACCAGTTCTAGCATTCTAGCAACACAGCTGATGATCTGAATATCTCCTATCGATTGACACTTTAGACCCAAGTATGGTTGAAGTGTGCTAGCATGTTCTACCAGCAACTGGGGCCTGATCTTTGCAAACAATTGCAGAGTGGTTAGACAAGCAATAAGCCTTTGTGATGAACCGCTATTCTCAACACTGCTTTCTTCTAAGGTGAGAATGTTTTTTATAAGGCAATTGACAATTTGTCGGCAAGCTAAAAGTAATACTTCTGGCGGCTCTGTGGCTATTTTGGTGGAGTCATCTTTGTCCGCTTTTGGTTTGAACAACTGCAAAAAAGTAAACGATGAAACAGATTGTCTTGTACTTGCTACACATAACATTACTAGCCTAAGCCCACAGCTCCGCCCGCGTGTAAAATAACGGTAATCTATTTTGCATTAGTGTGAAGGAGGTTTCAGCACGATGATAAAGTATTTCAACTCGACATTTATTAATAAAAATAAAATAGTGTGCATTATTGAATTGTAACCAGGGAAACCGAGAAAGTTGTTAGCGAAGTTCAAAATAGAATATAGTGTGAAAACAATATTTTGGCTCTTGCCATCACTAATTTTTTAAACATACTGTATAATTCTGAAATGGACCAAGATTTGAAACTAGCATGTATTCTAAAAGAAACTTACGCTGAGTAGCAATTGCTCGAACCATTCAAGCCCGATTTCCTTGGAAGACGCTACAACATCTGTGATGTTCATCACTTTCCTTAGCAGCGAGGCATCGTCAGTCGGCGTGAACCACATGTTTTGGAACACCTCCATCACTAACTTCCTTATTCCGTCTTCATCGTTCACTCGTCTGATCATTTTCACACAAATTTCGGGAATTTTTGGAAACTCCGGACATTCGATGCAAATATCTTTCAATATTTTTATCACCCTTTTTCTGACACTGACGCCGGTATCCAGGATCCTGGCCGAGAGCATCTCGTAATATTTGCTAATCAATTCGGGTCGGTTCAGAACAAACTTGCCCACTAGATCTACAGCAGCTTCTCTAACGGAGGTAGAATGATCTAGGAAAGAGTGATTGACACCCATTTGCATGTCGTGGCGACCAAGAACCGATGGGTCAGCAGCTACGATCATGGTCAGGCATTTCATTGCTCTAGTTCTTATTGCTATTGAAGTTTCTTTTAAAACGAATAAAATCTGAAAAAAAATTGAGTCAAGTAGATGACATTGTGCTTCCTTCCCAGGCAATTAGCAATTAGATCATGTCCGGTTTGTCTCCAAACCCAACACCATATTTACGAGATATATTTAAAAAAATCGACCAAAACAATTGCATGGAAGTTTCTAAGAGACTGGATATACGAGGGTGAATCAAATATGAACCGGACGGGAAGAGGGAAGTCAGTCGGATTGGCGCGAGGAAGTAGATGAGCTGTTTGTAGCATCATGTCTTTTGGCAATAAAACAGTTTCAAGGACGTAAGTATACGATTGGCGGACAGTTTTTCCATGGAGAGGCTGCATCGCGAAAAGCCAAGACAAGTCTTTCTGCAGGAAGATTCCTTGCAACGGTATTTTGGGACTCCAGAGGTGGGTTTGTTTAGGTTTCTTGTGAGTGAATCAATAACGATCCTCCACTGCGACTCTTTGTAGCTCACACCTATTTATATTTCCCCCAGTAGCTCCGAACTCCTGGGTTAGTCGATCAACTTGTTTGGACAAATATCCTTCAGGTCTTCTGCTTGGAGTACTACGTCTCCAAGTATGTTGTACCTGATTCGGGCAATTGCAGGGCATCTGCACAATACATGCCTGACCGTTTCATCTCCCTCCATGCACAGTTTGCACTCAGCGTCTTCCGCCATGCCCAGCCTGCTCATGTGATGACGCAATTTGCAATGACCAGTGTACAGTCCTATTAGAGCTTGAAGGCTTTCCAGAGGTGTACTGCTAGTTGATTTTATTCAAGATCGCCGTACAGCTGCTTACTACTTCCAACTGCTTAAAGAAGTGAAACTGGCCCATCGGCAAAAAAGGCGACATACAGGGTTTGTCCGGAAAGTAATAGGACTGAGTCGATTTAAAAAAATCTATTGAGTCAATCGTTACAATTCTCTAAAAACTTTCAAAATAGGCTCTTTCTGCGTCGATGCAGCGCTGCCAGCACGATTTCCAAGCATTGAAGGTGTCACGGAAGGCATTGTCCGGAATAGCCTTGAGAGCCGCGGTGCACGCTGCTTGGATCCCGTCTGTCGTCTCAAAATGCTTGCCTTTCATAGGCCTTTTCAGGAGAGGAAACAAAAAAAGTCCCGGGGGGCACATCTGGGCTGTAGGGAGGCTGCGGAAGCGTTGGGATGCCGGCATTGGTTAGGTAGCTGTTCACAAGAAAGGCGGTGTGAGCCGGGGCGTTATCGTGGTGCAACTTCCAGTCGGCTGCGATGTGTTGTCGGACCCGACTGACCCTTCGTTTGAGTCTCCTGAGCACTTCCACGTAAAATTTGGCGATGACGGTTTGTCCAGAAGGAACATATTCATGGTGGACGATGCCTTTGATGTCAAAAAAGACAATGAGCATCGTTTTCACTTTGGATTTGCTCATTCTTCCCTTTTTGGGGCGAGGAGGCGCCGTCGTGTGTTTGTCGAAGTCGAAGGTCTTCCAGCACGGTCTTCATGAGCGACCTCTTCCCGGCCCTCCAAAAAGGCCTAAAGCAACACCTTGGTAAGCCTGCTTGATCATATCAAACGTCTCTGTCGCAGATTTACCGAGCTTCACACAGAATTTAATCGCGTACCTCTGCTCTAACGAACGCTGCATTTTCGGCTTGCACCACTCACAGAAACACGTCGCGCGAAAATGCCTGTCCTGACTCTCCAAGTGCTCGGAGACAACTGACCAGCCGCTCATTCGTTAGCTAGGAACGCCCTCTACCGAATCCAGTCATGGCGGAAGAAAATGAGTCCTATTACTTTTCGGACAAACCCTGTATGCCTATCGGAAGTGCCATTCTGCTCCATGACAACGCTCGGCCACACACAGCTGCATTGACCCCAGAAAAATTACGCGAAATCCATTGGGAAACACTTGAACAGCATCCTTACAGTCCCGATTTGTCGCCATCAAATGTTTGGGCCACTTAAAGAAGACCTGGGAGGTCACCACTTTGACGACGACGGAGGTGTCGAAACGTTCGTGCACAATTGGCTACTAACACGGCCAGGGAGAATTAAAAAACTTCCGATCCGATGATAAAAATGCACCAATAAGATTTGTAGAAAAATAGATGTAAATAAACTTGTGTTTACTAAAACAAAAGTCCGGTTCATATTTGGTTCACCCTCGTAATTTCTATGATTTTTTTAAGTGAAGTAATGTGTTGAAGCAGTAGGTGCTAAATACAATGCAGGAGTCTCTAAATCGACAAAAACAGGGTATTTATTTCGTTTTTTGTTTGTCGCTCCGCCACCACTAGATCGGTTTACAAAACTCACAAAACTTTTTCGTGCTTGTCATAGTAGTAAATGTCATTTAACTTAGGTGCTTTCCGAGATAGAGAAGCTAAAAATTAACATCCAAAAACATAATATCGCAGATAGTAAAAGAAAAAAAAAACAAACAGAAAGGGCCAAGATAAAATTTAGAACCTTGAAAAAACCCGATTGCCTGTATTGTTAATTTTTGTTTCTTGATGAAAAGCCTCGATGGACACGAAACATAAAAACCCAGCGTTTCTGACATTCACTAAATATCATCAACTCTCATCAAAAGGGCCAAAAGTAGAATAATTGCCGTTTAAATTCGTAAATTTCCATAACCCAATACTTTTCTTGATAATACGGGGAGGTGAAATATCCTTGAAACAAAAATATATGGATAAAAGTAAACTTACAGCTTTCAAGTAGTGATCGAAGCTTTGCGAGAAGTACCTCTTTGATGCCAGGTATTGAGCGATGAGTTCAGCACTGTTCTGATCAATGTAGGTTTGAAAAACCCGTATCCGGTTACCAGACGACATGGTTTCTTGGAATGGTTTTACTTTGCTCAATAGAAATTTCTTTCTTTCTTCGATGATTTTAAATTTTTCGGCATTCTCTTGACTGTCATCATCCTTATCAGTTTCCTTTTCGTCTCCAGACTCGTCACTTTCCTCGAATCTCTTAGCTTTACGATTGTTTCTTGCATTGTTCTTCTTAACACCACCAGTTGCCAACTGAGTCTTTTCAGTAACCGCGTCTTTGTACCATTGTGCGATGTAAAAATGTCGCGCATGTCTGAAAGCTTCGTCGTTTTGAGAATTCAACGATAAAAAATCTAACAGCACACGTTGCAGAAATTGCGTCCTTTCCTCTTCAGTGTAACTGGTGTTGTTTTTCTTCTGAAACACGAATTTCGATCGATTCACTAGAGGAAGAGTCGAACCAAATCCTCCAAAAGGACAATGCACTTTTCGGAGAGAATTTGTAGTTGTCTATTAGACAACGGAACTCAGAAGTGAATCGAGAGGTTGATTAAATGAGGAAACTTTGAGGACACCCTGTATAGTAGCTCCGAATTAGAAACGACCTTCACCCGTTCAATGAATGAAAATTATTTTATATCAAATTTAGTATCTTAGAAAATATATCGCGAGTGGTTCCCTACAAAATTGCTGGTGAAAAATGACTTTTTATTAAACTTTGCATTAACGAGTTTAACGAATAAATTTCATATCAACCGAAAGTATGAAGCCTATAATGCTGGTTTGTGTGTTTTTTCCTGGTGTAACTACAGGCTTATTACCCTACTGAGTGGGGCCGTGGCAAATGCTTGTTCCGGAAGTTGTTGTATCCAGTATACAACTTCTTCCCGTTCAAGTGATTGTCCACGCGTTAAGGAATACCTCAGTACCGATTGCCGGGTGGCGCCAACGGGCCACTTTAGGTCTATTTAACATCACTAACACGTAAAAAGAAGGTGGTAGACAAGGACCAGTCGACCGAGGCAGTACCACCCGCTAGCTTTTCCCAGGGTGTCTTATAAATGTCCGCATGTTTCCACACCTAAGCTATGCAGTCGGTTATCCTCCAAAACAAAGAAATTAATGATGATGGATCCCTCGAGCACTAAGAACTCCGGACGTAAACTCACTCCACTCTCGGAATGTCCGGGTGGAGGGTGGGCTCGAGGGAACAACATCGAAGATAAAATTTGTTTTTCGAACATCTGCGGGATTAACACCAACATTGATGCTGTTCATCACTACCTGCAATCCAATCGTCCTGCGGTGCTTTTATTGGCGGAGACAAAAATCTCAGAGTCTGCACCGATTAACCATCTCAACTTAATAAACTACGAGGTGTACTCCAATCTGCGAAAGAACGGGGGAGTTGTGGGTTTTGTCCGCAGCAGTCTTTCCTGCTCCAGAGATGTTTCTTTGGAATCAGACCAGAAGGACATTCTGTGGCTTCGCCTCAACTCCAAAATATCACCCAAGTTTATTTGCTGCCTTTATCGCTCTCCCTCGGACCATAACTGGGATGACCTACTCGAATACCTCGCCGTCCAGATAGACTTCCTGAACATCAATCGTTCCGCTTCAGAGATAGTTCTTATCGGTGATTTCAATGCCCATAACGAGCTTTGGTTCGGCTCAAACAAGACCGACACAGCAGGTCGTGCAGTCGAAGCGTTCGCTCTTACCCAAGGGCTGACTCAGCTGGTGTGGAGTCCTACTTTTTTCCCCGCGTCTCGTCATTCGCCAGTAGCCTGCTGGATCTCTTTCTGACCACGCATCCTGCCCCTTACAGCACTGCTGTTCTGTCCCCCCTGGGTAACTCAGACCACGGTGTTGTGGAGGTTAGGTTCCGGTCAGAACCCGCTGTGGCAGCAGAAACTCGTACAGGCCGCAAAACTTGGCATTACGGACATGCCGACTGGGGGGGGCTCAGAGATTTCTTCTCTAGCTTTCCTTGGAAAGATGTCTGTTTCACTGACGCGGAACTCCACCATGGACGTCCCCCCCAACGCCCAAGTGCCGTCAATTCAAAGGGTTCCCTACACTATGCGGGAGGTAACACTCAGGCATAAGACCGTAAGACGAGTGCACTTGTCGCTCGACATCAACAAAGCTTCTGGTCCGGACTTGATTCCTGCCATTGTACTGAAGAGGTGTGCACCGGAGCTTGCTCCAGTTCTTTCGCGTCTCTTCCAGATATCTTATGGATCCGGCACCTTCCCAGAAAACTGGAAATTTGCTCATGTCCAATCCATCCCAAAAAAGGGATCTAAGACCGACCCTTACAACTACAGGCCTATAGCTCTGCTTTCTGTTTTAAGTAAGGTGATGGAGAGGTGCATAAATCGCGAGCTTCTGGACTACCTCGAACGTCACGGCTTGATTAGCGACAGGCAGTATGGTTTCCGGCACCAACGATCCACAGGGGACCTCCTAGCTTACGTCACTCAATTGTGGAGTAAACTCATCCAGTCTTATGGTGAAGCTCATGTCGTTGCTCTTGACATCACGAAAGCGTTCGATCAGCTGTGGCACGCTGCCCTCTCAAGCAAACTTCCATCCTATGGCCTCCCAGAAAAGCTTTGCAGATGGGTGGCTGACTTTATCTCTGGCCGCAAGATATCCGTCGTAATTGACGGGTTCTTATCTTCATCCCACAACGTCAACGCGGGTGTTCCCCAGGGATCGGCCTTGGCTCCGACACTGTTTCTCTTACATATCAACAACCTCATTTCCTGCACAATCAACCCAATCCACAGCTTCGCTGATGACAGCACTCTACATGCAGGAATTCAGAGTGACAAGCCGATCTCTAGCGATGACTTCCTCTCTGACAAGAGACCTGGAGGCTATCAATGCTTGGGGACGCAACAATCTTGTACAGTTCAATGCTTCCAAAACGCAGTACTGTACTTTGACGGACAAAAAGCGTCCCTGCGCTCACCCGGTTTCGATGGATGGTCGAGTTCTGCCAAAGAGCCATTCATTTCGGCTGGTTGGAGTCCAGATCACCGAGGACCTGATCTGGCACGAACACATCTCGTCAATAGCTGCAGCTGCTAGAAAAAAGCTAGGCTATTTGTTTAGGGCTAAGAAGTACTTTTCTCCGCATGAGCTTCTCACTCTACACAAGGCCCAGATAAGGCCTAGCCTCGAGTATTGCTCGCACGTTTGGAGTGCTGCCGCCTCGACTACATTATCCATGCTCGATGCTGTCCAGAGGAGGGCGGTCCGACTGATCGATGACTCTTCTCTAACAGACAGTCTCGGGACTCTTTCGCACCGGCGGGCTGTCGACGATCTGGCTCTTTTCTACCGTTACACCAACGGGCTTTGCTCCTCAGAGCTCTCTTCCATGATGCCGTCGCGCGATGTTCCTGCCAGATAGACTCGCTTAACTTTGGCGTCCCATCCTAACCGTGTCGAACTTAGTACATCCAGAACCGGCCGACACGACCGCTCCTTTGTCCCAAGGGTGTCGAGATTGTGGAACAATCAACAAGAGGAAGCTTTTCCCAGTTCTATTAACCTTAGGCAGTTCAAAAAATCGTATTAATAAAATTTCTTTGGGATCATCATAGCAGCCGCGGTGTTCCGGCATTTAGGCTTCTGCATGCGCGGCTGCTTCGATATATATATATATATATAAAAGATATAAGCATTTATGTTCACACTGGTTATTTTCATCTATTTGTTTAATAAATGAATCTTATAGTATGTCAAAATAAGCGCCTTTGCATTGCGAACACGATGATATAGGATTGCCTGCATAAAACCTGCCTGGAATGTCAGTGGGCGGGTTTTTAAAAGTGAAAGTCTGAGCTACTCGTGTGATACACTAGTAAATACTACTTGACGATAAATTAAATATATACCAGGTGTTTCAAATTCGACTCTCACCATTGAGATCTCGGTAAGTCAGAGATACGAAGTCGGTTAAAAAAGTTGCGCATTTAGCTAAGAAAATGACGCTTGTTAAGTTCCGCAATTCCGAGTATTTCAGGCGATAGACGAAAGAAACCGAATTTTCCCAAAGTCGTTGTCCTTTTGACTGACTTTATTTTCAAAATAAAAAGTATATGAACATTTCCACATTTGCTCCCCTACAAAATGACATAATAGAATTTCATTTTGACGTTTCGGTTATGTACTTATACACACTTTTTTACATTTTTTTTTTTTCGTATTTTCAGGGAAATAAATTAATTAATGATCGTTCAGTTCAGTAAAAAAAAAAAAAAAAAAAACATACATCAAGGTTGAAGGTAATTCCATCATGTAACTCTTTATTTAACCAGCAAATAATTTTTATTTGTGTAGTTTAAGAAGCTTTAGTAGTTATTTGTTATATGTGGTTTAATTTATCGGCAAGAGCTAACAACGTGATTTTCATTATATCTAATTGAGGAAGTCAGAAAGGCACTATTGCTCGGTTATCCATACTGAATGTTGTCATATCCATACTGAATGTTGTCAAATGTAGCACTGAGAGCCCCATTTTGGATAACTGCACAAAAAGTATTTCGAAACTTTGCATGCTATAAAAGTAAATAGCTACTCACCTTCGATTTAGACGTTTCTTCATTGTCTTTCATCTCTTCCTGCCTGATATCTTTGATCATTTGGTCGATAGTATTCAACATACTTTTGGTCAATACACTGTCTTTCCTGAGTTTTGAGGCGACTACGCCCAAGTAATCTAAGCTAGCAACACGAAGCGACATATCAGTGCCTTTATTAGCAAAATTCTTGACTAGCATTTTCCCTAACAAGCACAGTAAAAGTTCAGTCGCAGGCCATTGTGGTTTATTAACAGTCAACAGCAGGTCTTCTACAAACTTCTCGAATAGGGGTCTATAGTCAACTTCTTCCACTTTGTTGCCACATTTATTTAGGAATACTGCCAAAAACGTTCCAGCAGTAGAAGTCGCTTTTTCGTATTTGCTACAGATCAATACGTCAGTATCAACCTGAAACATGATCAAAAAAGATTATAATTGATAATAAAGTATCGGTTGTGAATAAGGCTATAACCTGGGAGCAAAGCTTTACAGATAGAACAAAAAAAACGACAGAATCAAACAGCTCAAGGAACCAAGGAACAACGATAATAACACTGGTGAACAAAATTAAAATAATTTTTTGTGACATGGACAAAACAAGGTGGTTATTATGTAAAACGTACCCAAGAAGCCGGAAATAGCATTCGATTTTTTCTATCACCCACTGTTTTCTTGCAATAAGGCATTTTATTTGCTGCTTATACTCGTAAAATATAAGGATATGTGTGTAAGAGTACTAATAAACACTCAAATAAACATTAATATCAGAATGTTGTTGTCGATGTTTTACGGCGATATGTTGCTCCTGAAGTATCTCTTAACAATGTCCAGCAATAATTAGCAAGTAAATTGACACTACATTTGCCTTGATACCGTTTTTCCATGGCAGAAATGTCTTGGTGGAACCGTTTACCATGTTCATCACTTACCGCACCTACATTTTCCGGAAAAAAATCGAGATGAGAATCCAAAAAGTGAATTTTTAGAGACATATTACATCCCATTCATTTATAAGCATTAATTAGTTCACTCTCAATATATTTATAATTGTCCGCTTTCACATTGACTAAAAAATGCAGTAACTGATTTAAAAGCATTCGAAGCTCGTAATTCAGTTTCATTTAGAGCACTGTCAAATACATCATCCTTCATTATTTTCCGTGTTTGTGGACCCACAAATATGCCCTCCTTAATTTTTGCCTCACTAAGTCTCGGGAATGTTTGTTTTAAACGCAGAAACCCTCTTCCATTTCGATCCATAAGCTTTAACAAAATTTTTCATCAGTCCCAACTTAATATGCAAAGGTGGAAGCAACACGTTTCCATTCGCAAAGAAAACAACAATAGTTGGTATATCCCAGTTGCATTCCAAGAAAAAGGGCTATTACCTTTAAATCTGCACCTATGGCCCATCCATATTCATTATAACGGATATGCTCTAACAGAAGTCGCATATTTTCATATGATTCCTTTCATATGAACTGCGTGCGCTATAGGTACAGATGGATATTTATTACCGTTGTGTACCAATACGCCTTTTAAACTAAGCTTTGAGGAACCAATAAACAGGATCATGTTTCTGTCCTAACGCGTCAAACAAATTGTTGACATCGGAGCAATATATCAACTCCCTTTCTTGACAGAGACAGTGTGTGAGGTCTTAATGTTAACATCACCGTGGAGAAGATTCCATCCTTTTAATCTTGACGCTAAAAGTTCTGACTGGGATTTTGACAGATTTAATTCTCGAACTAAGTCATTAACTTCGCCCTGTGTGATCAAATGCGGCGGCGTAGAACATCCTGGCAGGTCAAACGACGGATCGGAAATTTTTGCGCTTTCTGTACCATCACTTTCAGAATCGGTGGATTCGACTTTTTCATCCAAAGACCAAGATTCTGGTGGAACTGAGAGACAGAAAGTTCATCACTATGCTTAAAGGGCCGCAAAGCTGATGGTATATTAAAATACTTAACAGTATGTTTCGATTTTGGTTCAATACCTTTAATATTTGTGAGGCAATTAGTAGTATGGTATCTCGGTTCTCTTCACACCGTTGGTACCACAACGGGCATTTTACGATTGTCGCCTCTTAACCAACCTGTTAACAACGTTACACAAATCTTACAACATATATGAGGGGCCCACAGTTTATCTTGGTCGCCAACTTTAATTCCAAAATAAGTCTCGTATGCTTTCAACACTAGGGGAGTAAAAGGACGTCTTTGGGATTTAAAAGTTCTGTTCGCACTATTTACACAATTGCTAGGCATTGTCCATAAAGCTAGTCTCGATCACAATAAACTAAAAACAACACACCGTTTTAACAAAAATCAACAGTACTCAGAACATCTCAGTGCTCTTCAACACAGAAAACGTAACTGACTCGGCTACTAGTAGTCTACTAATAAAGGCAATATGATCTCTTAACATAGAGCTCGCATATAATAAACATGAATAGACACGTCTTAACATTATATATGTGCGTCATCGCATAAACGCCGAGAAATGCAGCAATATGAGATATTACGTATTGTAATTCATAAAAGTAGATGTTACCGAATATCTGTGGGTGATAGAAAAATTCAGTTTTTAGATTTGATTTAAGGGTCTCAAAATACATGAGATAACCCAAAAATTGTCATGTCACAAATCCTGTGTTTATCAGTGTAATAACTACTTACCGCTGGTGCTTTTTCTTTGTCATCACTGGAACTTTTGTCCTTTTTCTGCAAGAAGTTATCGGGAAAGGTAACAACACACTGGATCAATTGCAAAACAAGAGCGGTTAACATCTGTATACGTTCTTTGCTGTTCAGCCTGTACGTCCTACTGCATTTGGAACTTGGAAGACGGGCCATCGACGCCAATATGTCATCAAGCAGTAGACGCCGATGAGTTTCATATTTTGTGAATATCTAGAAAAAAGAAATAAGTGTTCTCAACAGAACTGGACTTTTTCCTTGAGGGATCAGTTGGAGGAATTAGAAATGCACTAGAAATGCGTGAACTAATCATCAAAAATTGGTATTACCAATTTTTGTATTTCAAAATGAATCAACTGGAGTGATCGTCAACATTAAAAAAAAATAACTTTCGATAATTAAATTTCATGGATGCTTCTGCTGTTTGATATTAAAGATTACCAGCCAAACTTGATCTTTTTCACCTTTATGCTATAAATCTATATCAATAGAATTGGGAACTAAACGTATTTTATCAGCAACCTTATGGTTTCAAGTTGGCTATTTTGAAAAGTCTAAATATCTCCAAGCTATCAATACGATTAAAAACAGGTTGACATCAAGATCTTATCCTTTTCCTATTCTTAAACAATACCATATTTTTTATAAAGTTTGCTATAATTAATTTAAGATTTGAATTTGCCACCAAGTTTGCAGTAAAACCTAGGCAGCCCCGAAAAAGAACAATTTGACAGCTGAGAGGTTAGGGCTATTAAAAATGGAGCGTTATACGATACACAAGCATTTGGACACTGCTTTAGAATTGTTAAATAGTGATATTCAAAAAATTATGAATTGGTTAAATGTCAATAAAACTTTAAACATTAATAAAACAAAATGTATGTCAATAGGGAAACATTTAGGTGACAATACAATTAGGCTCATGATTAATGATGAAAAAATTGAAGTAGTCGAGTCATTAAAATATCTTGGTAAATATGTGGATAGTAAGCTACTGTTTCACGAACATTATGAATACATTATTTCAAAAATATCGAAAAATATAAATTACTTCCATAGAGTTTCCCATAATCTTAGTATGTATTCCAAAAAAAATTGTGTATAACACTATAATTCTTCCCCATTTTTTATATTGCTCAACCATCTTGTTTACAGCAAATAAAAACATATTTTCAAAATTACAAATTCTACAAAATAAAGCTATGAGAATCGTTTCAAATAAAAACAAATATGCCAGAAATATGTTAGAACTGCAGTGGTTGGATGTGAAAAATTTCATATATTATTCAGTTCTCGTTTTCACATTCAAATTAAAAAATCATTTATTACCACATTAAGAAAACTTCACAAAATTTAATAGTCATTATCATAACTACGAAACAGGCAGTACAGATTTTCATCTGCAAAATTGTCATAGTAGCATAACTAGTAAATCTATATATCAAAAAGGGAGTATTTGAATTTAATGAATTGAATAATGATATTGAACAGAGTTCAAATTTAAAAATGTTTAAGGTGAAATTAAAAAATCACTTTATGAATAATCAAAATACATAGTGACGTAATTTTAATTTTAATAGACAAGAATGTAAAGTTACAGAAAATGTATTGACATTGTAGCATTAATGCTAAACAAATCTTCAACAACAACAACGTGTTTTCATTATTGAACATTATTTCAATAATGAAAGCTTAGCGTCTGCACTTCGAAAATATTGTACGTCCGGAATAGTGTTTCAACCTCGTCAACCATAAAAAGATTAATTGAAAAATTTGCTACTTTATCCACAAAGATATTTGTCATGTTTAAAGTTTGCAAAGCAAAATATTTAGCAGCTCAAGAAATGGTGATCGAAACTCTAGAGTATATAGCATCAAACTTTTTTTATGGGAGTTTTCCAGATATCAGAGTGACCCATTTAAAAAATGTATGTTGCACAGAAACTAGTATATTGTCCAAGCCTACTTGTTTTCGAAACATCATTAGTACAAAGTGTGAACTCACCGTTGTGACAAGCTTCAGACAGGCTAACTGCAGCTCGTCCACATTCTCGACAAAAAACGGCGACACACCCATAGAGGATGCGTGGAGTACGGAAGTATCGGTGAGCACTTGAAAATTCAGCAATTCTGCCAACAGGTTCACCAATTCGGAGATCTTCGTATACAAAACCTGTACGCCTCTTTCAGATACATGGGTATTCTTCTTTTTTCTACCATCTTTCTTTTTATTGTCCAAACGATAGGTGGAGTCATACGATGGAAATATCGTATTGTGGAGTTGGTATTTGATATAAAGCACCACCCTGTCAATTACGTCTTCGAGATAGACGCGTTTCGACATGTTTCGGGAGGTCATGATGTACATGCAGACTAGACAAGCGTCTGCTGCGCCCATAACACGTTCCATTGTTGCTTCCAGCCAGATTTGCCGAATACTCTCATTATCTTCCTGAATGGGAATAATATTTATTCGTCAACATACAAAATTGTTTAAAAATGGGCAAATAAATATGAAACATCCATGGAAAGCATTGCCTGTGTATGGATTCTACCATATCTTACTAACAAAAATCATATGTGTATAACAAATGAAGGGTACCGGGGAAAAACGGCATTAGTCCATTATTTGGCTAAATTGAGCTTTCCGTTTATTTTGGTGGCATTTTCCTGATGCTATCTTGTAATCAGCTTCTTAAATTGTAAAAAGAGCTTAGGTTCACAAAACAACAGCTATAAGATTCCCTGTGCCGGGGAAGAATGGCATGAGTCCCTGTGCGTGTATGGAAAAACGGAATCAGTCCATATGGAAAGGCGGCGTTGCATCGGCCGTACCGTTTGGGCGCTACGTTATTGCATCAGCCATTAGTTTACTATTATTAATATTGACTATATTCGCTAATCTAGTTTATAATACGGGTATTGTGTATAATCGATAGTGACTATTCAGATTCAAGTGAAAATGAACCAGGCCCAACAATCAGGGAAAAGAAAAAACGCAAAAAACAGGAAGACAAAGAAGACGTAATGAAAACCTTGCGCGCCACTACCCACGAACTTGGATCTGATTGTTTTTGTGAACGTTTTCTCTGTTTTACTACTGTTCCTGAACCTGAACGCTGTAGACTTCTTCGTGAATTTAATGACACTAATGCACAAAACGCTTATTTCAGTGGTCTTATCACTGTTCTTCCTGTCATGCGTAGACGCTCTCGAAAAAATGAAGCAGAGTCAAGGCTTAATAATGCTTCATTTAGTTATCGTGTCCGATTGGTTGAAAATGGAATTATACGTGATGTTCCAGTTTGTCTTAAGGCTTTTTTGTCTTTACACGGAATTACAGTTCGTCGAGTTCGGTACATAAGAGACTCACTAGTTGCAACTGGGAAATCGCCCATCGACATGCGTGGAAAACACAACAAACGACTTCACAAACTTTCAGAAAACACAAAACAAAAAACTGACCGAGTTTATTAAGAGCCTCAAATACCGCAAATCTCATTATTCTTTGGCAGATTTGCAAAAAGTTTACCTACCTGAAAATCTAAGTATCGCAAAATTACAAAAAATATATTCCATTGGCAATGATGGAAACAAGAATTCCTATGAATCCTTCCAAGAAATCTTTGAAAGCAACTTCAATATATCGTTCGGTTATCCACGAAAAGATACTTGTAGTACGTGTGATTCCTTAAAAGCTGATATATCTTCACTTACCGCTACCTTAAATTCCCACACGGAACAAATTAGTCAGTCAGCAAGTAAGAATTTGTAGAAAAAGATACTTGAGAAGACACTGCATCAAAAAAGGGATGAGAGATTTTACAGTCTAAAGAGAACTCGAAGTTCCCCGCTATCGAAAGTATCACGACGGATTACCAAAAAAACTTGCCCTGTCCAAATATCACGACAAATGATGTTTACTATAAGCGGCACCTGAATTTCATCGGTTTTAACATCCACATTCTGTCAAACTCAAATTCTATCTTTTATACCTACGTTGAATCTATTGCTAAGGAAGGAGCTGACGATGTCTGTTCTATGCTGTATCCCTTTTTTATAACATCCTGCTTATCGAAGTAAAAGAACTTGCCATTTTCTGTGAGTCCTGTGCAGGGCAAAATAAAAACTTTACAGTTATTCGGTTTTTGCATTACCTGGTTACCAAGAAAAATCGTTTTACTACTGTGAAAGTAATATTCCCGATCAGTGGGCATTCATACCTCGAGTGTGATAGAGATATGAGTGTCGTGAACCAAAGAGCATACACTGAGGTACCGGATGACTGGAGAGATAAATTGATAAATTGCCGTGTGAAACCTACACCATTTGAAATCATTGATTGTAGAAAACTTTGGATTTTAAAGATTAGAGTACGTTTTTATCGCCGTTCTATCCAACGAAGTGCCCCTTTCCAACCCGACCAGTCAGGATGCTCAAGTTTTGTAAACAGAATCCTCACGTAGTTTTTCACAAATCGACATACTCGTACATGGGCCTATATGCTAGTTCTAAATTTGACAAGGTAATTCGGAAGAATCTAAAAAAGACGCAAAAAGATCAACAAAAACGAGAAGAGGAAAGATTGAGAAAACTACCAGGGCCCAATCCCAATTAAAACTAAGAAATGGACGAATCTGCAGGATCTGACCACATTTCTAGAGAGAGCAGATTCCTGGGCATTTTATCAACAGTTAATATCTCTTGATCATCCAGAAGACCTCAGTGATGAATAAAGTTCATTTTGTAAAATCTATTTTACCAATAAACACACTGTTTGGCAAAGATATTCTTTACGACTTTTTTCATCAATTTTACTTTCCAACAAGTAAGTAAACCTTAATTGCCGATTTTCTCAAAATCAGTCCGGATGGACTATTGTCGTTATTCCCCGGTACCCTTCAAATATAATTAATTCTAAAAAGTATTTACATGATTATGAATTTTGCAGCTAACCTTAGGACTCCGTATTTCGTATGTACCAAAAATATTGGCATGTGCCAAGTTCATTAAGAAGACATGGTTGTAACAAATTGAAAATTACAAAAATTGTTAATTTCATTATACTGAGTATGAAGTAAATAAAAATGTTTGCAACAATAAGCTGAAGTTGGTCTTTAATTGCGATTCTTATAATAACAAACTTACGTCACTGATCGGCGATACTCTATCCCCACCTCTGATATTCAGCTCCAAGATATTCAGCAGTCGTGTTAATTTTTCTGTGGGGATCATTTCCATAGCACCAAGGTTCTTTAGCTTTGCAGCTTCTGTACACAATTCCTGCATTGTTGATCTACTAAGGAGGTAGTCTTCTTGTATCATGCCATCTTCGGCTATAAAATAAAGTGGGGTTAAGCAAGTTTGCCAAATATCAAGTTCGGTGGGAAAGTTCACATTTCAAATTTGAATTACGCGGCAGCCGCATACGCGAGGAAGTCGGGAGAGGTTTTGATAGACGCGTTCGACGTGCGGGTTAAATAGCCACAATGGAACGTTGGACCGAAGCGCAACGTGCTTTTGGTATCGACGCGTACTTTAACATTGGTGATTCATACGCAGCTGCCCTTCGGAAATTTTGTACATGATACAAAATGCGCCGACCAAGAGATACCCCAAGTAAGAACCTATTGCGAAAGTGGATTATGAGGTACAGTGAAACAGGATCTACTCTTAGTCAACCCATTCCTGCACCACACCTACTGTATCAACAGAAGAAAATGTGGGAATCCCTAGGTCAACACTGCATGGCATAATGAAGAAAAAAATCAGTCAATGCTTTAAAGGCAAGTATTACGGAACTTTTCTGCTGAACGGATGTTGAATCTTTTTCCTACGCAGCGCACACTCGAGAACTTTGTTTTCAGTGACGAGGCCCATTTTCACTTAGACGGTTATGTGAACAAGCAAAATTGCAGATATTGTGCAGCAACGAACTCAAAAGAAAAACATCAACGACAGCTAAGTAGTCCAAAGGTGACTGTTTGGTGCGCCATATCCTCTAGCGGTATTATTGGGCCGTATTTCTTTGAAGATGTAAAGTCAATTCCGAGCGATACAAGAACATGATTTGACACTTTTTTTGCTCCTATTGTAAGAACAGAACGTCGATTTAACAGAAACACATGGAAACAGGATGGGGCCACTGCCCAGAGAATCAACGGACACGGTGAAAGCACTTTTTCCTCAAAAAGCTATATCGTAGTTTGGACAGTCAATGGCCTCTTAGGTCACCCGACCTCACGCCATGCGATAATTTTTTGTGGGGTAATCTAAAGTCCAAAGTGCATTCCAATAATCGACGAACACTGAAGGAGCTTAAAGACAACATTCCACGAGAAATGAACTACATCATCACTCTGTAACTATGAATTTGCGCGCGCGATTAGAAAAGTGTGTCCGAAGGTATAGCAAACATTTGGACCGAATGATAATTAAGAAATAAAACCCGCCGAATTTACGAATATGTTGATAGTAATGAATATTTTCTTTTTATACAGTTTGTATTTTTTAAATCAAAAAGTGAACTTTCCCTGTAAAATGTGACTTTAATTCAATGTTAATGAAATTCATAAAAATGGAGAGGTTCTGGAAAATTTCAATAAACGTTTGCATCCCAAACTAGGTAAATCTACAGCAGTTACTGAAGCACTCGATTCATATTTTCAAAACATTTTTTTGAGCTTATGTTCTACAGGATGATTCAAAAAACAAAGTATTAGACAGAAAGTGCAGTAGAAATAAAGTAATTCTATACCACGGAATTCTTCAGACAACTATCAGATAACTGGAAAAGGTTGTTCGAAAAATAAGTGTTGGAGAGATACCCAAAAAGGTATTTAATTTCAGATCAGAATTTTTGAAAAAAATTGTTGCAATATCTGACGTAAATAGTGGAACATTTTTTTGCAAAAATCTGCTTGTGTAACATTGTGAAAACATGCTGAGTCAGCGACGTTTCATAATGAGACTTTTAGTAAGTGTATCAGTATCCTCTCTCCACAATTTTATTTTAAAATAATCGCGTTCTATGTTCAATAATGTAATCAGTGGAGCAAAATTTTAAAATAAAACATTTTTGGATCTATATTTATCGAATATGAAGTTTTGGTTCAACTTTTTGTGCCCCAGGAATATACCCGCAAACTTCTTGTTTAAAAAAATCGAACTTACCAATTTCAGTAACATCAATGTCCTCAGATGACCTCAAGATATGTTCGATAGACTTGTTGAACCTATGGTAGGTGTTGGTTTCCATAAGCTCCTCCAAAGATAGCTTCTCCAACACGGGTACGAACTTCTTCTCCACCTTCCGCAATTTTGGTTTCTCGACCACAGGCTCCGGTACTTGCTCCTCTTTAACAACTCTCCTCCTCTTATTTCCAATTACCAATGCACTGAAGCTATCTGTTGGAAGGTCTTCAGAAGGCGCTTCTGGTTTAGAGTTCTCAGGGGGCGTTTCTGGTTTAGACTCTTCAGGAGGCGCTACTGGCTTAGACTTTTCAGGGTGCGCTTCCGGTTTAGACTTTTCAGGAGGCGCTTCCGGTTTAGACTTTTCAGGGGGCGCTTCTCGCTTAGAGTCTTCACGGGGATCTACAGGTTGCGAATGCTCGAGAGGTGCTACAGGTTGATTGTCTTCAGGAGGCGCTACTGGCTGAGGGTCTTCGGGAGGAGCTGGTTGGCTAGCTGGTTGATGTTCCCCGGGAGGTGCTGCTGGTTGATGTTCCTCGAGCGGAGCTACTGGTTGTGGCTGGCATTCCTCCAGTCGATCTGCTAGTAGAGGATAGGCATCAGATTTCTGTTATGGCAGCATAGCTCCCGTCATATTCTGCCGATGGCACTTTCGAAAGAGGTTAAGTGACAAGTTTATTCAATTCGATTGGAAATGCCGAGAAGATGGTTTCCGTACTTCGTCACTTCCCACGCTAGATGCTAAATGTCCCTCATATGCCCTGCCCCTGTATAACGCCATAACCGAAATCGAATTCTTCAATTCAGCGGCAGATCCGAAGAGATTTCTTTAAGTAGGGGACGCGGAAAATGAAATGCCTGCATTTGTGATTATGTGTCGATAATGTGTGATTTTATTGAAAATGAAAATAGAAATATCTGCTTCCGAGAACGGGGGTGGTATTTCTTGCGTATGCTTCTTTTTCCAGTAATCTTTTGAGGAAGGGAACTCTAAGCCCCCATGGGCCCCCATCGACTCGCCACAGCTTCAACTCGTCAATAGGAACACCAGTTAGTTAAAAAAAGTTTTGAACCATGCACCGAGTAACCTTTTTTATCTTTGTGAAACGGATGCATCAGTTCCCACGACACTGGGTCGGTTTGATAGATTTTCAAAAAAAAAAGTTCAGCTTCGTTATCGTTGATCCACATGATACATTCAAACGTTTGATCGTTTAAAAAGCTTGCGCTAAACTGAACGACGCGAGAATGCAACTACAGTGATCCAGCAGCGTTACCTCGCTATGGTAAACGAAACGAGTGGAGCATGTGGTGGAACTCTGGTACTGAATTGTAAGTTGACATGGAAGTGTTACCCCTAGAATAAATTATTTCTTCAACTTGTGTTTTTAGCAACATTATGACTATATTTAAAGCATGCTGTGACAACAATTTCAACGTTTTATCTTTGTTTTACTACGCATCAGATCGCTGACCAATGTCTAAGCGCAATAGCAGTCGACCTTTCTGGATGCTGTCGAAGTAGATTGAATGGAACTTCTTCATTTTGTACAAGTCCCAGGTAAGACCTAGTACTGCTGACATGTTTGGTATGCTGCAGCCCCGACTGCATTGTACAGAACTGGTCGATACGACCCGCTCCTTTGTCCATAGAAAATCGAGATTGCGTAAAAATCTACCTGAGGATGTATTTCCCAGTTCTATTAACATTAGGCAGTTCAAAAAACGGATCAACACAGTTTCTTCAAGCTTCTCATAGCAGCCGCGGTGCCCTGGTATTTAGGCTTCTGTCTGCGCGGCTGCCTCGTTATAGAAAAACATGTACAAAAGTATATAGACAAATATGAATATTTACCTAAATACCTTTAGAAAACGAATTCATACTTCATTGCTCCATAAACAAATGCGTTATTAGTAGAAAAACTAAATTCCTTGTTTTTACATTATCTGCAATGAACACAATACTAGTCTGAATATAAGCACTTTTTTATGAGGGACAAAAATATGTAGACAAATTCTTTTCAACATTAGTTTAGTACAGTTTCGTGTCAGAAGAGGATTAGTTTGTGTTCATCAAGTATTGTGGAATAAGATGAGTGATTTTAAGACCATGCCGCGTGGTCCACAAATTTCTTTCGATATGAAAACTAAGATCATTGAGTTATACAAAGATGGTCAACGTCAAGTCGACATTGCCAAAAATTTGAAGCTGAAGCGTAAAGCAGTTTGGGCAATATTGAACAAATATAAAGAAAAAGGTATCTTGGAAGCCTCTAAGAGAAGTGGTCGGCCTAGAAAACTAAATGCTAGATCAGTTAGATTAATAAAAGTAATTTCGTCCAAACATCAATTTAAAACCTCAAGACAAATAAAAGCCGAAATCGAGACAAAAGGAATTGCCAGTGTTTCTACGAAAACTATAGGTAGAAGATTAAATGATTTGAAGTTATTTGCCCGGCGCCTGAGTAAGAAGCCGCTAATCTCGAGGAAACACCGTAAGGACTGATTACAATTTGCACGGTTGCATCTTGATTGGAGCATCTGTGACTGAAAGAGGGTATGTTTCAGTGACGAATCCAAGTTCAATATGTTTGGATCAGATGGTGTTGATTATGTTAGACGTCCTAGTGGACAAGTACACTTTGCCCACTGTCAAACACGGAGGCGGGTCTGTTATGGTTTGGGGGTGCTTTTCGCGGTTTGGGATGGGACCTTTACATAGAATAGATGGCATTATCGATAAGTTTGTATACACAGATATACTAAAGCATGTCATGTTACGCTATATGGAAGACAATATGCTCTTAAGATCAATCTTCCAGCAAGATAATGGCCCGAAGCACACTTCAAATCTCGCAAATAAATTCTTTCTGGATGAAAAAATACCAGTTCTCAAATGGCCTTCACAGTCTCCCGATATAAAAATCCCATTAAAAATCTATGGGAATACTTAGATAAGCAAATACGAGATAAAAATTTTTCAAACAGGGATGAACTTTTTGCCGCTTTAGAGCAAAAGTGGAGAGAGATTGATTAATCTTAAATCAAGCAACTTCTACAATCTATGCCGAGACGATGCCAAGCGGTGACTGATAATAATGGTTATGCTACAAAATATTAACACAAGCATGGTTGGTTTTCTACAATTCAATGAACTTTGCTTCTTTTTTCTATAATTGTTTTGCTTTGTCTATATATTTTTGTGCTCCATAGTTCCAGTGTTTTTCAATTAATTTTTTATTCAAGGGAATCTAATGAATATATATATATATATATATATATATATTTGTTTAACTGAGTAGTATGCTATAACGAATTATGCATACAGGTTGGTGTATTAATAAAACAACTTAAAAAAGCAATACAGCATAATATTAATTTGTCTATATACTTTTGTCCATTACTGTATATTTTAACGCTCGCGTTTACTAAACTATGAACAACAATGCATTATGAAACATTCCAAATAACGAAAAAATAGTTTAAACAAGCAGCCGAAAAAATAATGAGCAAAAATAAGAAAAGTCTTGACATCTTGGTGAAAAAATAACATTTACTTACGTTTATTACCCTTGAAGACATGTGGATTTGTATCTAGCATAGCTCGTAGCAGCTCTGGCATAGATGCTTGCTCAAGACGCGTCTCTGAGCCAGCATAGTTATCTTTAACTTCTCTGAAAACAAAACAAATCATTAGCACTAGTACACTTCTCAATGACTATAGAGAAACTTACATGTGCTCAGCAGAAGTCTGTTCCAGGGAAGTTACCAACTGGGGTATTAAGCACTCATCCCTAACACCAAGTAAATTCTGAGCTTCCTCTGCTACTCTTGGATGGAATAACAAGGATTTATTACTCAGTGTCTGAGGTGATGGTGTTGGCAATGGCATTTCAGGGAGCACTACAAATGGACAAAGAAAATACATATTAATGACAACATCTTGTAGTCTCATTTGGACATTATTTTCAGTTCAGGTGATCTACATCCGTATACCGTGCTTTAAACAAGGGTTCACTTATTTTTTGAACGGGTCAAGTCAGCAAGCTGAAATTCGGCGTAATAAAATTGATGCATGAAAATGACAATTGAGCATTTCAAGATGGCCCCTGTGTATGGGGACTCTGCACCACCATTTATCACAGTGAAATTTTGGGCAGCTGAATTTAAACGTGGTCTTAAGAGCTTGGGAGACGATTAACGTTCGGGACGTCCAAAAACTGCAACTACCGACGAAAACATCGGCAAAGTTCACCAAATGGTGCTAGACGACCGCCGAATTAAAGTGATAGAGATTATGAACATGTCAAACGAACGTGTTTGTCACTTATTGAATCAACATTTAGGCATGGGAAAGCTGTCCGCGCGTTCGGTGCCGCGTTTGCTCAAGTTATAAAAAAAAAACGTGTTCGAATGAACATTTCCAACGCTCTGTTGGCGTAGTTTTGGCGCAATAGATCCGAGTTTTGGCGCCGGATTAATTACTGTGAATGAAACTTATACGCCCGTGACGAAGATACAGTCGAAACAGTGGACTCCAAAGGGGGAACCGGCCCCAAAAAAGCTGTTTTTTCGGCTGGGAAAGTAATGGCAACTGTTTTTTGGGATAGTCATGGAGTTATTTTAATCGATTATCTTCATATACAGGAGCATACAACGCATCATTACTTGATGACAAGCTGAAGGCAGAGCTTGCGGAAAACCGCCACATTTGCAGAAAAAGAAAATACTGTTTCACCAAGACAACGCATCGTCTCACACCTCAGCAATTGCCATGGCGAAGATCCACGAATTACGGTTTGAAATGCTTGACCTGCCGCCTTACTCACTAGATCTAGCCCTAAGCGACTTCTTTTTGTTCCCTCATCTACAAATTGCGTTTGGAGGACAGAGATTTACTGTAATGGACAAAAGTATATAGACAAATATGAATATTTACCTAAATACCTTTAGAAAACGAATTCATACTTCAATGCTCCATAAACAAATGCGCTATTAGTAGAAAAACTAAATTCCTTGTTTTTACATTATCTGCAATGAACACAATACAAGTCTGCATATAAGCACTTTTTTATGAGGGACAAACATTTGTAGACAAATTCTTTTCAACATTAGTTTAGTACAGTTTCGTGTCAGAAGAGGATTAGTTTGTGTTCATCAAGTATTGTGGAATAAGTTGAGTGATTTAAAGACCAGAAATTTCTTTCGATATGAAAACTAAGATCATTGAGTTATACAAAGATGGTCAACGTCAAGTAGACATTGCCAAAAATTTTAAGCTGAAGCGTAAAGCAGTTTGGGCAATATTGAACAAATATAAATAAAAAGGTATCTTGGAAGCCTCTAAGAGAAGTGGTCGGCCTAGAAAACTAAATGCTAGATCAGTTAGATTAATAAAAGTAATTTCGTCCAAAGATTCGTTTAAAACCCCAAGACAGATAAAAGCAAGATAATGACCCGTAGCACACTTCAAATTCCGCAAAGAAATTCTTTCAGGATGAAAAAATTCCAGTTCTCAAATGGCCTTCATAGTCTTCCGATATAAACCCCATTGAAAATCTATGGGAATACTTAGATAAGCAAATACGAGATAAAAATTATTCAAACACGGATGAACTTTTCCGCTTTAGAGCAAAAGTGGAGACAGATTGATGAATCTTATATCAAGAAACTTCTACAATCTATGCCGAGACGATGCCAGGCGGTGATTGCTAATAGTGGTTATGCTACAAAATATTAACACGAACATGGTTGGTTTTCTATAATTCAATGAACTTTGCTTCTTTATTCTATAACTGTTTTGCTTTGTCTATATATTTTTGTCTTTCATAGTTCCAGTTTTTTTCAATTAATATTTTATTGAAGGGAGTCTAATGAACTTATTTAAGTGAGTATTATACTATAACGAATTATGTATACAGGTTGGTGTATTAATAATACAAGTTAAAAAAGAAATACAGCACAATATTAATTTGTCTATATACTTTTGTCCATTACTGTATCTTAAATGAAGAGGTAATCACCTTCGTGAACAATTATTTTGCAGAGAAAAACACCGAGTACTATTTGGACGGGTCACAGAGATGGGAGCATCGTTGGGAGAAGTATGTAGAGTTACATCCTTGTATAGTGAAATAAAAATATTTCCGAAAAAAATGTCTTGTATCTTTGTTAGGTTGGAAATTTTCCAAACCACCCTCGTATATCAATATCCTTCTCTTGGATGGATCTATCCGAATATGTTAAGTGATAACTTTTATTCAGAAAGTAATAATTTTTACAACAACAAGTAAAAATTGGTGACTCGCAATAAAAGAAAAATAAATTAAACTTAATCATATTATACTAAATTTAAGCAATGTCACCTCTCATATGCATGACCAGTGCTTTCTTGAAATGATCTGCAGTCTCTGCATCTTTTATTTGATTTGGTAACTTATATTCCCTCAGACCTTTGTACATGATGGTTTTCATTATGCACACTTCATTGATTTCGATTAAATGAAAATAGGAGTTGGTTCTGGTGTGATAGGTATGAATTTCAGTGTTTTCCTTAGCAGGGGTGCTGCTAAACAATTATGTGGAGTTCCTTTTACAATTTTAATATAAATGCCATGGTCGTCAAGTAAAGATGTTGGCTTACAGACAACCACTGTAGAGTATTTAACTTATCTTGAATTCTTGTGTACCTGTTGGATTGCAAACTTACCCATATTCCCCTATTCTGGGCATTATCATTTTGTATTATGAACCGTAACGCTTGCAAAAATTTACAGCTACTTAAAAATTCTGGAAAAAATCCAGTTTCTTTGAAATTTTATTAATAATAGCTATGGCAGTTAAAATTTAGGTTTTTTCTACTTGATATGCTCATTGCTTTTGATTTTTTAGCATCCAGCTTCAATTTGTTTATTTTTAGATATGCTTCAATATTTGCAAGATCATGGTTAACCATACCTACACCCTGATCCAGGTTTTTGCGGCCAGAATACAACAAAGCGTCATCAGCAAATTTATTTGCTATACTTAGTTTATAGTTTATGGTTAAAAACAAACACGGTTAAATTAAATGTGAGAAAAACGAAATGTATGATTATAGGTTCGAAGAATTATTACAAGAAATTGGTGGATTTAAATACGCCAGTGAAGATAGAGGGAGAGGTACTTGATTTTGTAGATATTGTTAAGTATTTGGGTATTATAATAGATCAGCAACTAATTTTCAACAAACATTTTGGCTATATGAGTCAGAAATTAGGCAAAAAGGTCGGGTATTTTCGTAGAATTTGTAAGAGTCTAAGTCCCTGGTGCAGAAGGGTAGTCTAGTTTAAATGGTTTTATTTTAATAAAAGTTGGTGAATGTATTTATCTTACTGTAAATAACAAGTGAAAAAATTTTCAGCCTTATCAGTTGGACATTCCGGTTTTTACACTGCTTTTTTTAATTCACTAACGCTCTGAAAATGAATATTTCAGCCGCAGTAAAGAATCAACGTTGGCGGATTTTGGTTCTTGACATCCTTTACGATCGGTTACAATGCCTAGAGTACGGAGACCTGTACGATTTCGTCAACTTAGTGAGTTTGATAGAGGCCGTATAGTGGGACTTCGGGAAGCTGGACTTTCTTTTCGGGCAATTGCAGTTAGAGTGCAAAGAAGTGTAGACACTGTGGTTAGGCGTTGTCAGGCATGGCTTCGAGAAGGCCGTACGCAAAGAGCAAGGGGCACTGGACGCCGCCGTAGAACAACAGACCGCCTAAGATTATTGGCCTTAAGGGACCGTTTCTCCACTACCAGGTCCATTGCAAATGAATGGTTTGCAGAACACGGAAGACCTATTGGCATGCGAAGTGTTTACCGACGAATGAGAAGTTTTGGCTTGTTTTCATACCGGCCACACTGGGTCCTCCCTTTAACTCGAGAACACCGACGTAATCGCCTTGAGTGGTGCAGACAACGGTCACTCTGGGATCAGGAATGGAACAGTATTGTCTTTAGTGACGAGTCTCGATTTTGTTTAGGCATGCACGATGGTCGTGCCAGGGTTAGAAGGCGACGTGGTGAAAGGAGGAATCCACAGTTTTTTGTTGAAAGACATGTTCATCACACTGAGTTATGGTTTGGAGTGCTATAGCTTATGGTTCCAGGTCACCTTTAATCTTCATCAGAGGTAACATGAACGTGCAGCGTTATATCCACGAAGTTCTAGAACCCCATCTTTTACCCTATCTTGACACCCTGGCAGATCCAACTTTCCAACAAGATAATGCCCGACCACATGTTGCAAGAGTCACAATAGACTTCTTTCAACATAATGATGTCACCTTGTTACCATGGCCACCAAGATCTCCCGACTTATCCCCAATTGAGCACGTGTGGGATGTGATGGGTAGGAGATTGCTCAATTTGCAACGTCCTCCTCAGACTCTAGAAGCACTTCGAGAGGAGTTGGTGGTTGCCTGGAATGATATACCACAGGAGGACATTGACCACCTGATCAGAAGCATGCCTAGGCGCGTTGGAGAATGCGTAGCACATCAGGGTGCATCCACACATTATTAAAGGTTTATTAAAATAAAACCATTTAAACTGGGTGTTCGGATTTATATGTCACTTAGTATACAATAATTTTTCCTCATTTTACTTATAGTGCATCACTTTTGATTATAAATGAGCAAAAGCAAAAGGTTGCAAATTCTATTAAATACATGTATGCGGATTTTGATAAATTGTAGCAGGTATACCCATATACAGGATATGCTAAAGGCATTAAATTTTTCAAACATACACCAAATTATTCAAGAGGCAAATTTAATTCTTTTACATAAAATTATCAATAATCAAGCTCCACCTTATCTTAAACAGTTTCTAAAAAAAAAGATGTGAAATGCAAGGTTACGACATTAGATCAAAAGAAAATGTCCATATACAAAGATTTAGATTTAAAGGTTTAGAAAAGTCAAAGTTTGTTGAAGGTCTAAAAATGTACTACAATCTGCCTATTAATGTAAAAACATCTAGTAATGCTAAAGACTATTTTTTTGATGTGACGACTTCTTTGTAAATTTAACATATTTTTGTAAATATATTAGCTTAAAATCCTTTCTATTTCTATTTATTTATGAAGCTACACATCTGGAGAAGTTCAATATGTCATGAAAACAATGGCCTGGCACACTGCTCTGAGGAACTCCGAGATCTACAGAAATGTTGTTAGAGATAGAAGAACCGATCTTAGCCTTCTGGCTTCTGTGGCTTAAATAACTATCCATTTTAACACAGTGCCACCAACTCCATATTGTTTCAACTTGCTTATCAATATCTGTCTATCTATTGTTTCGAGTGGTATTTTAAAATCAAGAAAGACTGCATAATATAGTTATTATCATCAATATGTTTTATCCATTCAGTTACTGTAGTATGAACAACAGTTTGACGGGAAAAACCTTTCCTGAACCCTGACTGCTTAGCCACAAAATTATTTGATTAAAAATATTTATAGGTGTAATATGTAATAAAATATGGAACATTCCATTGAAAAAAATATAAAGGAAGTAAATTTACACTCTAGGGTAATAGAGTTCTAATAAGGAGGTTCAAAATCAGGTATCACATGACCCCACTATATTGAAAACATGTTGCAAGATGGCGCCTAGCCGCCTCTTTGAAGTTTATTTTATGCATATTATATGCATCGATTGCATTACCAGATTTTCAACTTGCGAATTTGACCCGTTCAAAAAATAAGTTGGGGAAAGGATGTATTTAGAAAGCACTGCATAATGGAACGTGGAACAACCCGAATTTTGGGAGGAATGTCAAACAAGTAAAGGAACAATATAACGCTATCAACTTCCATATCCACTTGGAATATCTGATAAGACGCAACGTATGAAGACCTGTTAAAACAGAATATACAGGGTATCTGAAGTTCTGGAACCACAAGATAATTTTGGACTAATAATGGTAGGAAAAGATGAAGCTCCGCGATTGATAGTTTTCCCCAGCTATCCAATGGTGACCTTGGATTTAACCTTGACCATGACAAAGTCGTTTGAAGGTCAAGTCGATCTTTTTAAATGGAACCCTCCATTTTCGACCCTATAAATGAAAAGATCGAAAAATATTACGTTCAAATATGGTGACAAACCCAGGTATGTGACCAGCCAGTAGTCGTACAAAGGAAACTATCGAGACATTATTTTCCCCCGGCCATGACGTTAAAGGTCACTTGAAGGTCAACTCTTTTTTAATGGGACCATATACTTTTGACCGTGGAAATGGAGAAAAGGTAACATTTTATGTTCGAATATGTCCTTGACCACTTTTGGAACTTGACCTTGACCGTCAAGGTCAACCACAAGTTTACCTTAATTTCTTGATGATCCAGAAAACTGTGTAATCTCCAAATAAACTGACTTCACTGTTCTTTCATGATTGTTACCTGTCTACAACAATCGACTAGGCCTTCACACGACCTTGCAGATCATCATGAGTGAGGTCAGATCCAAGGTTATTATTGGACATCCGAAAAAAAAATCAAGAAAATAATGTCTGGGTAGCTTCCCTTTACGACTACTGGTTTACAAGTTGTATCACTGTACCTGGGTTTGGCATTAACCATTGGCTTCTAAGGTCAACATTTTAGAATGATCAATATTTGACCGTAAAATTTTTCGCTGTTTTCATTTACGGGGTCAAAAATGGGGGGTTCCATTTAAAAAAATCGACTTGACCTTCAAATGAATTGAAGGTCACGTTCAAGATCATAATTGAGTAGCTGGTGAAAACTCCTAGCAATTGTGTGGCTTAGTTTTTTCATAACATTATTAGTTCACAAATTATCGTGGGGTTCCGAAACTTTTCAGACATCCTGTATGACTCAATTATTTTACAGTTTATTTCATAAAGAACTCTGATAACCGACAGTACGTTTATGTAACTCCTAAAACGTATCATGTGATTGTTTTGGTGATTCATATATAAGTTATAACTTTCCTCGACGTTTAAAGAAACTACATAAATAAAGGGAAAACAATTACTCTCATTTTGGACTCTTTCATGGCCTTATTCAAAGCCTAATATAATACACTGAAAATTATGGCGTCAAGCTGCCTCAGAAAGATTCAGGACCTTTCGGACTATCAAATCACAGTATATACATGTACTAATAGCAAGACAAATGAAAGGCAGAAAAATGAAGAAACATCTTTTCATCATACTTTGGAAAAGGGCTAACATCAGCATTTTTTCTACATCTGTAGTTTCATTAAATGAGCAAAACATTAAGATGTAGACAATACAACATTAGGTTTTTGTATCAGATAATGAGTGGAAAAAAATGTTTTATGTACTTCCTAAACATAACAATAAAACATAAATGAAGCCGACTGATATTTCTATTCTAAATGTAATAAGAAATACCAATTGATGCTTGATCTTTGGTATTTCAAGTTTACTGTTTCCAAAGTAAAAAAATGTTGGCAGCTAATACTTACGCTGAATAGTATTCACCAAACCTGCTAAACCGGCAGGAATGCACAATTTCCTTACCTCATCCATTCAAAACAGCTTAGGGCACTCAAAACTACAATAAATTACAGTTTGAATTTTTCAATGTTGCAATCAAAATAAGATCAATGGGACTGCCTGGATAATTGGAAAACTGTTAAGATGTAACAATAGTAGACGTTACCGGATTTTTTATTTTTGAATATACAGGGTATCCCAAAAGTCATGGATCAAAAGGAAATGGGTGATAAGGGGGTCATTTCCAATCAGAAAAATTATATATGCCCCTACCCGATTATCTACGGTTTTTGAAGTTATCGCAATTTCTAAGAACTAATTATGTTTTTCTGAAGTTGTCTTTACAGGGTATGTTCCCAAATGATGTGTCATTGAAAAAAGCTATTAGTGAAAAATTATTTCAGGAAATATAGGTTCAGCAATCGGCTAAACCGCAATTTTGTCTCTTGTCAAAAATATTACACCATATTCAACAAGACCTATACAAAATAGTTTCTCGGCAAGATGGACAAAATGATCTAGGTACCGTTAATCTTGAAAATCCTGTCTACATTCTGTATAGAGTCATAAAACGATTAAGAGACGATAAATCTTCAAATTCAAATCAATGCCGGGTCTAATCAATGTAAGGGGTGGCTGTCTTGACATTATTTTAGGTGATAAACATGGTTGAGGAAGCTGTGTCGTATTACCTAACACGACATCGGCATTTTGTAATAAAAATAGGATAATAGAAAATCCATGGGATAATAAGCTAACGTCGGTACTATAAAAGGAGCGAGAAGATAACGTCGTAATTATTCCAACTGTGTGATTCCATTTTTGCGATTTCATATTCGTCACAATAATTTTCTATGGCATAGAGATATTTGGAAATAATAATAAACAGGAATTCCTAGAATTGACGTACAGTAATGGACAAAAGTATATAGACGAACATTTACCTAAATACCTTTAGAAAACGAATTCATACTTCATTGCTCCATAAACAAATACGTTATTAGTAGAAAAACTAAATTCCTTGTTTTTACATTATCTGCAATGAACAAAATACAAGTCTGAATATAAGAACTTTTTTATGAGGGACCAAAATATGTAGACAAATTCTTTTCAACATTAGTTTAATACAGTTTCGTGTCAGAAGAGGATTAGTTTGTGTTCATCAAGTATTGTGGAATAAGTTGGATGAAAGACCATGTCGCGTGGTCCAGAAATTTCTTTCGATGTGAAAACTAAGATCATTGAGTTATACAAAGATGGTTAACATCAAGTCGATATTGCCAAAAATTTGAAGCTGAAGCGTAAAGCAGTTTGGGCAATATTGAAGAAATGTAAACAAAAATGTATCTTGGAAGCCTTTACGAGAAGTGGTCGGCCTAGAAAACTAAATGCTAGATCAGTTAGATTAATAAAAGTAATTTCGTCCAAAGATCCGTTTAAAACCCCAAGACAAATATAAGCAGAAATCGAGACAAAAGGAATTGTCAGTGTTTCTACGAAAACTATAAGTAGATTAAATGATTTGAAGTTATACTAAGTGACATATAAATCCGAACACCCAGTTTAAATGGTTTTATTTTAATAAAAGTTGGTGAATGTATTTATCTTACTGTAAATAACAAGTGAAAAAATGTTCAGCCTTATCAGTTAGGCATTCCGGTTTTTATACTGCTTTTTTAAATTCACTAACGCTCTAAAAATGAATATTTCAGCCGCAGTAAAGAATCAACGTTGGCGGATTTTGGTTCTTGACATCCTTTACGATCGGTTACAATGCCTAGAGTACGGAGACCTGTACGATTTCGTCAACTTAGTGAGTTTGATAGGGGCCGTATAGTGGGACTTCGGGAAGCTGGACTTTCTTTTCGGGCAATTGCAGTTAGAGTGCAAAGAAGTGTAGATACTGTGGTTAGGTGTTGTCAGGCATGGCTTCGAGAAGGCCGTACGCAAAGAGCAAGGGGCACTGGACGCCGCCGTAGAACAACAGACCGCCTAAGATTATTGGCCTTAAGGGACCGTTTCTCCACTACCAGGTCCATTGCAAATGAATGGTTTGCAGAACACGGAAGACCTATTGGCATGCGAAGTGTTTACCGACGAATGAGAAGTTTTGGCTTGTTTTCATACCGGCCACACTGGGTCCTCCCTTTAACTCGAGAACACCGACGTAATCGCCTTGAGTGGTGCAGACAACGGTCACTCTGGGATAAGGAATGGAACAGTATTGTCTTTAGTGACGAGTCTCGATTTTGTTTAGGCATGCACGATGGTCGTGCCAGGGTTAGAAGGCGACGTGGTGAAAGGAGGAATCCACAGTTTTTTGTTGAAAGACATGTTCATCACACTGTTGGAGTTATGGTTTGGGGTGCTATAGCTTATGGTTCCAGGTCACCTTTAATCTTCATCAGAGGTAACATGAACGCGCAGCGTTATATCCACGAAGTTCTAGAACCCCATCTTTTACCCTATCTTGACACCCTGGCAGATCCAACTTTCCAACAAGATAATGCCCGACCACATGTTGCAAGAGTCACAATAGACTTCTTTCAACATAATGATGTCACATTGTTACCGTGGCCACCAAGATCTCCCGACTTATCCCCAATTGAACACGTGTGGGATATGATGGGTAGGATATTGCTCAATTTGCAACGTCCTCCTCAGACTCTAGAAGCACTTCGAGAGGAGTTGGTGGTTGCCTGGAATGATATACCACAGGAGGACATTGACCACCTGATCAGAAGCATGCCTAGGCGCGTTGGAGAATGCGTAGCACATCAGGGTGCATCCACACATTATTAAAGGTCAAAGGGCTTTAAAGCAGTGCAATCATTTTGAAATTTTTATAATTTACTTATTATGCTTCATTAAGTACTTATACAAAATTTTATTAAAATAAAACCATTTAAACTGGGTGTTCAGATTTATATGTCACTTAGTATATTTGCACATCGCCCGAGTAAGGACCGATTAAAATTTGCACGGTTGCATCTTGATTGGAGCGTCTGTGACTGGAAGAGGGTATGTTTCAGTGACGAATCCAAGTTTAATATGTTTGGATCAGATGGTGTTCATTACGTTAGACGTCCTAGTGGACAAAGATTGAACCCCAAGTACACTTTGCCCAATGTCAAACATGGAGGCGGGTCTGTTATGGTTTGGGGGTGCTTTTCGGGGTTTGGGATGGGACCTTTGCATAGAATAGATGGCATCATGGATAAATTTGTATACACAGGCATACTAAAGCATGTAATTTTACCCTATATGGAAGACAATATGCCCTAAAGATCAATCTTCCAGCAAGATAATGACCCGAAGCACACTTCAAATCTCGCAAAGAAATTCTTTCTGGATGAAAAAATACCAGTTCTCAAATGACCTTCACAGTCTCCCGATATAAACCCCATTGAAAATCTATGGGAATTCTTAGATAAGCAAATACGAGACAAAAATTATTCAAACAAGGATGAACATGGTTGGTTTTCTATAATTCAATGAACGTTGCTTCTTTTTTTCTGTAATTGTTTTGCTTTGTCTATATATTTTTGTACTTCATAGTTCTAGTTTTTTTTCAATTAATTTTTTATTGAAGGGAGTCTACTGAATTTATATATAAGTAAGTATTATGCTATAACGAAATATGTATACAGGTTGGTGTATTAATAAAACAAGTTAAAAAAGAAATACAGCACAATATTGATTTGTCTATATACTTTTGTTCATTACTGTAGATGCAGAAGATGGAGTTAAATGACCATGAGCCTCATAGAACTGTAAGTATTTCACAGAATGCTGCTGTGGCTCGATCAACAGCACATTGGATTCTACAAGGAGAGCAGCCGCACCATTACCATATTCAACGTGTGCAGGTACTTCTTCCAGAAGACTACTCAAAGAGAGACCAATTTTGCAGAATGGTGCTCCAACAATTCAGAAAATCAGTTTTACAAAAAAGAATCAAGACAGTTTTTTGAAGGACACAAATTTGAAGAGAGCCAAATGGGCTAAGCTAATGAATAGTAAATTCCTTGGCCAATCTTCTTTGAAACAATCTACCAAAACTGCTAGATGAGATGTTATGCGAAACAGTTCTAGCAAGCTAGCCACAACACAATGTGATTCCACTATGACCATGCTCATTCAATACCCGCCATATTAATGATTTCCTAAATCGCATCCCATTCTGGACGATGGATTAATAGGATCTATTTATGTTTAAGGATTTACTGTCCCTATTTTCTATTTATATTACAAAAGGTCGATCACTGCGGTTGTATGAGCAAGTAATACTGTCTCTGTAATAATTGCATTATCCAAAATTATGTCAAAACAGTCCTTTTGGAATGCTTAGACCTAGAATTTGTTCAAGTTTGAAGACTTATAGTCCCTTAAATATTTTCAGACATGGCTGACAATCGCATTTATAACATTGAGTTCACAACATGGGAATAGTAGAGATTAAGGGTACCTGCAGCATTTTGTTTATCTTACACAAAGAATATTTAGAATATTTGATTATCTCAGAAGTATTTCGGAACGCCATAATATCCAGAACTTTTTCAACAATAGACACTTTATCTGTCCACTAATTTTTTGTACGTGGCGTGTTGAATATGGCGTAATATTTTTAACAACACATAAAATTGTGGTTTAGCCGAATTCTGTACCTACATTACCTGGACTAATTTTTTATTGATAGCTTTTTTCGAATACACAGCATTTTGGAACATATCATGTACTGCTGATTGATATAGCAACAGACTAAACTTCAGAAAAAACAGTGCAATCTCAAAAGTAGCGATTTTTAAAAATAGCAATTACCCAAAAACTGTGCACAATTGGATAAGAGGATAAATATGATTTTTCTGATTAGAAATGGCCCTCCCTATCACCTCCTTTCATTTGATCCATGGCTTTTCGGTCACCCAGTATAAAAATGGAAGGCTACTTGAGTGCTAGTTAAATATCCTATTCCTGATTTTCATTCTTTAGTTTCCATAACATGAGGCAACATTTTAATGGGTGGCTCTGCAGACTGCTTCAAGGCC